CACTAAAATGTTCACATCAAGCACTTATTATCTAATGAGATCAGAAAGTTAAAATTCTGTAAAATAAAATCTATGTTTGTCTATTATATATCTGGTGAATATTTAAACAATTAATGTTATTCATCATTTCTTCTAACTCAAAAATAATCATCTTATTCTCTTTCAATATCAATTATTCTAATTGATTTAATTTTTCATGCATGAAATATGATGTAAGAAATAAGTATTTTTTAGGGTTATGTTTTCTATTTTCAGAAACTACGAATTTGTCCAAAATAAATCAAAATTTTCCTCTTTATAGTTGCACCTTTTGAAATTCAGCTATATTTGTCTAAAGGTTAAAATGTGAGAAAAGGGTCTCTAAATTTTTGAATTTCGAACTGTTTTTCTGCTGTTTTAACAGTAAGTGGACTATTTTTTTCTATTTATGATAGAAAACTAGAAGAAAGATGTTATAATCTTTTCGAAATTATTTCTTTTCTGGTTCCTTTTATAGGCGAGAATAAAAGTAGAAACAAAAAAATGTTTTTAATCATTATATAGTAAGTATTAAAATGTGTCATCTATTGGTAAATATTTTATATTGATGTACTGTAAAATGTGATCCGACCATATAATTTTCAAACTAACTCTTGCCCAACCTAATCATTTTTCATCCAAAATGATATATCTAATTCCGCCACTCACTCACTTCTTAAAGCATTCTTTTATCTACATGATCCACCCTTGTTCTATTTCATCTCCTTTACATATTGGCTCAATTTATGAGGATTGAAATAATTCAGACTTATACTTAATTCTAGGGCCTCAAATTCAAATTCTCTCTCTAAATTATCTCTATGTTCTTATTTATCATTTTTTTTCTCCTAATTAGTTGAGTCAAGTCTATTTTAGATTATCATTTCTCAATTCATCAAGCTCTTCATCCTCACTAAAGCTATCATCCTCTAATTTGTGTACATGATGTACATTATCATCATCACTATCAAATTATCCAATTTTTGTTAATGTCATCTCTACATCTCCCCCATCAGTTGATGTTTTCCCACTTGAAATTCGTTTTTCTTTATTATTGTCCTTTCTCCCTTCTACTAAAATTAAGTGATTTTTCATAATCAGTTGTTGTTTCTTCATTTGGAGGTTCTTCCTCCTCATTATCTTCACTATATTCATCCTTCAATTGTGAGCAATAAATAATTTTACTCAATTTTTCTGTTACTATTTTTTCAGTTTTAATATTTTCATTTCTTCCTAGTGGCTCATACACTTCCTCAATGATTCTTCTAAAAAGTTGATGCCCAAGGATTGTTGTTTCCAAAGGACAAGAAGATGCATCAATATCATCACATTGATGATATGAGAATTGATTTTGAAGATTAAAACTCTCTAATATATGTGAAGATTTTTTTTGATTATTATGAGTAGTATGTTGCTTCTTAAGTTCTTGCTGACTATCTAGAAATTCCTAACTAATTCTCAAATTTTCCATAATGGAATAAAAACATTGGATCCATTGGGCACTTTGTCCTATAAGCTGTTCTAGTGTTATGGGCAATGGGGAGTGATCTGCCTTCTTGCTGCTTCTCGTTCTGTTCTCTCCTTGAACCGTCTCCGCTTCCCGCTGGTTAAGCTCCCGGGGCAGTGTGGAAGGCGACGGTCAGCTCTCCCGCCTACGTGGCGTGGATGATGAGGTGAGGACCTCATCAATACGCCCCCCTAGAACTCACCTTGTCCATAAGGTGAGAGTGTACTCCCTGCGCTGCTAAGCGTTTTGGCCGGAGAGAGCTGTAAGGTGGCCGCCGTGGGGAAGAACGGATTGAGTTCATCCGTCAGGACCTGGCCGGGGGGTGGCAAAGCCTCGGCTGGTGATGCGAAGTCAGAACGTCGATCAATCCAGCCTCTTTGCTCCTGTGGCTGGTTGACGTGATGGAGAGATGGAACTACTTTGCTGACGGTGTGACCATACCTGCCGGGGTGGCAGATGTGGGTCCGGAGAGATGTGACAATCCCTTCGTGTAAGTAGGCCGGAACAGCTGCTTGTGTTGGGGTCGTATGATGTCAGGGTGGGGAGGAAAAGGCTGATATCGGAGCCTAGGATGGTGGTGACGGTTGATTGGGCAGTTGTGTGAGGACCGGCCTGGAACGGTTTGGCCGTAAGCCCACGACCCTGGATAGCCCATTTGTTGGGATAGACGACGAGGATTGGTAGGTCGTCCATACAGAAGACGAACTTGAGGATCTCGGGGATCCGATGCGCGCTCTTCCCTTGTAGCTCTGATGGATGGGTCGGCCGTGGTGGAGGGGAGCGAAGTTGGCCCCGATCCTCGAGTTGTGGGGCGTCCCAATGTGGGAGAATGTATGTGCCGCGACCACTGAATGTATCGTTCGCCAGTGGGATGTCGTGGGGTGGGGAATGAAGTAACTCTGGCCCTCGTGGAAGTGATAGATGCGGGTGAGGTGGATACTCTCTTAAGAAATCGTCTCCGCTGGACCCGCGCGTGGAGGGATCGTACTGCGGAGCACGGGTCCAGGGCCCGGGGACGTCAATGTGGGTCGTGCTGAACGGGTGGAGGGTCGCCGGTGGTTGTCGAAGGTTGTTCAAGGCCTGTGAGATGGGGGGAGCTGCCGCCAACGGAATCCACCTGGAAACCAACTCGCAGTATGCTCCGCGCTTTTCCCGACTTTTACCTAGCGGAAAAGGAAAAAAATTTGAGGGGAAGTATTGATGAGGTCCTCGCCTCATCATATGTGCCACGTAGGCGACGAAGCTGACCGTCGCCTACCTCAAATGCGCAGGAGCTGAACCAGCGGGAAGCGGAGACGATTGTAGAAGGCGGACCGGTCCCCGTTCCAGTGGCCGGGAGCCTATAAAACTCCCTCTGGGCCAAGCGGGAAGAGCAGGCAAGAAGAAGAATAGAATCTTACCCGCTCTAAGGGTGGTATTGAGTCTGACCCGTTCTAAGAGTCTCTGGCGTATCTTCATACCCATCGGGGTATCTGTCGTCTCTTAGCCTATCCCATTACCCCGGGCCCTATCAGAGACTCACTCGCACCACTAACCCGACGGAACTTGCTTCAACAGATAATGACCCTGAGTCTTATTTAAACTTTGGTCATCGTCTCTCGAAGGTAGGTCGGGAGGTCAGGGAGTGAGGGCCACCCGAAGCGTTCATCTTCGTTTTCCTTTTCTTAAAGTTTTCTTCGCTCGTGTTCTCCACTGGTCTGGGTCTTCTGGTCATCCTCTTCTTACAGTCGTCGAGAATATTTTTGTCTATGGGTCTGGTTGACTTCTCCAGTCTGAAAGGAGAGTCTGCCGTGTGGTAGTGTCATCTTGAGTCTTGTACACTGGTTAATCATTGTCTCTCACCCTCTTTCTTATTATTTTATTATTAGAGCGTCATCATTTCGTCCCGACCTACTGTTCCAACACTGTTGAGAATTGTCTCAAAACCGGGGTTCCCACCAGAATACAGCAACTAGGCGTGCGCCCGGCAGATCTCACCGCTTGGCCTTGTCGCTGCTCTTCTTTCCACCCCGATTACTCATCTTCTAGGCTATAATTTCCCTACGGAGAGGAGTCCGATTCTTCCCATTCCCATTCTTCTTCACTTCCTGTTCCGAATGGGAGGGGCTTTCTCTCTCTTCTGGATCACAGGAATGAGCGATCAGCTGACGTAAGGAGAGATTAAGTGGAGAGGTTTTTGTCCCATAGAAAGCGCCCCAGTCGTCATTTCTCCCGGAGAATTGGAGGTGCACCCTCCGATCACCCTCTCCTATCCCTCGCCGTGGACGGGAGGGTGCATGCCGCCTCCCTCTCCTTTCCCTCGAGACAGAGGGTTGACTAATACCCTTGATGAATCTTAAGCATGGCCTGCTCCTGAGAGAGAGACATGGTGGGTGTGTGGGGGATTGAATGCGCCGCCAAACGCGCGATGGAATCGGGAAGCGAAAGATTCGTCGCGAGACCGACATCATGTGTATTATTATCCAGCTTAAACTTGTGAATTGGATGTGGTCGACTCGAAGGATAATCAAGAGAATCTAGTGCAAATCACAGCGAGAGAGAGCAATAGATCGATAAGATAGATAGAGATAGATAGAGTTAGAGAGAGAGAGGGGTGGGGCGGGTGTGCACGCGGTTTAGGACCCTTTCAAAGAGGACATTTTTTTCACCTTTCAATCTTCATCACGACGCATGCCTGCGCCGTCGATGGTCTGTCATCCACTTTACGGCGCGATGCCGACAGATTTTTATTATCATCTTTAAAGCATATTTTCACCGTTGATGCCGACGGGTTGCCAATAAATAATATTTTATCTCGTACTCTGAAAAAGAAATAGCGGTCTGCGGAGCTGTTGCCGTGCATAAATTCTAACAATGACTCGAATTGGCCCAGTAAACTATGTATTTAATACAAAAATATGGAGTTTCGAAGCACAGGTATCGTGAGCCACCGACGGAGTCTTCTACCGACCTCGTGGGCATCAATCGATCCAAAAAATATCGGCTTGTCGACGGCGCCCTCGATCGACACCGATCCGTGCCCGGCAGTTGTATGGCTTTCTCTTACGTCAACGGCGACTTTTGAGGTCCAGGACATAGACTTCAACGTGTGGACAGGGATACAGGTTTGGTGGGAAAGATTCATACAGTGGCGGCTTGCTTGATCCACAGTTAGAGAGGAATCAACCGCCTCCTAGAATCGTCGGGAGGGTGAGAAGAAGCGGTCGCCCTGCGAAACCTTCCCCGGAAGGAGAAGTCCCGCTAGTTTTGGTTCGATGCCGTCGTGAGCTATTGATTCCTGGTTTAGGGTCGGTGATACTCGATATTCTCTGTAGAAGCTGCTTCTGGGCCGGCAAGCCAGAGAAGCCTCTTCTCCAAGTCTTCGAGTTCGCTCAGGGCAACGGCGGGCTGCTGGAGCTGATAGCCGTGAAGGGTTCGGCTTGGAAGGCTAGGAGGTTCCCTCATTCGAGCCGGCAACCGCTGTTTCAGGCCCGGCATGGATGTCTCCGTCCGCCAGAGAGCCGCCCTGCTTCCGGAGGCGCCGCCGCTTCTACTCTTGCTTCTGATATCTGTCGCGAAAATTCGATCAGTTTCTTCCTCCACAGACCCTTCAGATAGTGAGCATTCCGTATTTTCTGCACCTCTCGCTCCCTGCCTCTGACGCACGAAGCACTCGAGTTCCCATAATAAATGCGGCGCTTATCGGTCGAACCGATCATCACCCATGTTAAAAGCTGGATTGCGAAACGCGCATGCTTAATTACAGACGCCAGCAATTAATCGGGCCATGTTCGTTGACTTCTGAGCAAAAAATTTCAGCTGCGGCACTGAGAGCTCTGATGGAGGACTGGGAGAACACGCCGCCGAGCTGGGGAAGACGGATGATCCCTGCGGCAACCCCTGGGAAGGAGTCATCTGCAACAATTCAAGGGTCACTCGATTGTCAGACCCTCCATCCTCCTCTCTATACAAGGCCCCAACTATCTCCGACGCCTTAGGAGCAATCCCCTTAACGTCTGCATCTCTTTCAGGAGCTTGTCGTCCATGGGGCTCAAGGGAACGCTGAGCGGAGACATCGGGCAGCTCACAGAGCTTCGGTCCCTGTAAGCTCCTCCCATGGTACATCGCCATCTGTGCTTCTTCCGTTCTAGTGGGATCTAAGCAATTAAAAGGGAACTGCAGTGATCTTTCATACAACAAGGATCTAGGTGGACCGATCACCAAATCCATCGGGAATTTGAAGAAGATCACGACTCTGTAAGACTCATCATCCCCAGATTTCACAGCTGCTCTCCATCATTCTTCCTCCTCGTCGGCCTTTTGGTCTGATTAATTTGGCGTCAATGGGTGTGTGGGGTCTTAGGATCTTGGCCGCCTGCAGCTTCTCGGGGAGCATCCCGTCGGAAATCGGCGATCTCGAGGACCTCTTGTACCTGTAAGAGTAACCAGATCGAACTAATGGACTTGTTGACGAAGACAAGAAGTGTAACCGTGACGAAACTTGATTACCTGAATCCATCTCACTTTTCTTCGCAGAGCTCTGAACAACAATAACCTCACGGGCATCATACCCCCGAGCTTTGGGAAGCTCTCTAACCTTTATTGGTTCGATATCGCGGAAAACCAGCTCACCGGGCCGATTCCCGTCTCCTCAGGGAGCACCCCCGGATTGGATCAGCTCCTCCAAGTGAGGCACTTGTGAGTATTTCTGTCTAAAATCAAACAATAAGGAGAAATATAAGGAGATTCTCATCTCCTCGAAAGGATAATCTTCGGAGGCTCATGCTAACCAGAATCTGTCGGCTTGCCAGCCATTTCAACAATAACCAGCTATCAAGAACCATCTCGGAGAATCTCTTCAGCTCCAACATGACCTTGATCCACATGTAAGAAGCGGCGCCGATATGCCTGCCAGGGATTTCCGGCCATGGAGGGTCCGCATCTCCTGACTGTTGGTTTGCCCACGTCTTGTAGACTCTTCGACGGGAATAGACTGACGGGGGCATTCCGGAGTCGCTGGGCCTCGTGACGAAGCTGGAGGTTCTGTGAGTACCCATTCTCCGCCGAAGCTCAGTTTTCTCGTTTGTGATGAACAACCTCCTCTCCACTGCGTAGTGTTGGACTGATGATGGATCGATCTCCCCCATCTGTCGGTCTTCTCTGCAACAGTCGGCTCGATAGGAATGGTCTGACCGGCCCAGTTCCTTCCGGGATCGGCACCCTGACGGCCCTCAGAGAGCTGTAAGAGTATTCCCTGGAGCAGGGCCACCTCCTTCATCCGCTGCCTCGCGATTCCTTCTCATCCGCTGCCTCACTCACATCTGGTTCAGGAACCTGTCGAATAACCGATTGACGGGAAAGATGCCTGATCTCAGCGGGTTGAACATCGTGAACTATGTGTAAGCAGCTTCCCATTACTCGGCCGGCCGTCGGGGCCGCCGCGTCCTTCGCCGTCGTCTGGTAGTTCTCTAACGTGTCGTCCTCACTGACCGACAGAGACTTGAGCAACAACTCCTTCAGCACGTCCGAGGCTCCAGCTTGGCTCGGGAAGCTTCAATCTCTGACCGCTCTGTGAGTCTCCGGATAACCCATCCGACTGCTAATCTCTTGAGGAATGGGGAGCCATCTGTGACCGTCGTCGTCTTCCTTCCTCGTCCAGGGTGATTCAGTCAGGGAATCTCACCGGCGCGGTTCCGTCGGCGCTGTTCGGCTTCCCGCAGCTGCAGGAAGTGTAAGCTCTCTGCGACAGACTTGCACCACCATCATCTGGAAACTCTCAACCTGTTCTTGGAAAGCGCCTCACCGTTGACTCTCGGCTCGGGCAACAACAGCTTCAACGGCTCCCTCAATCTGGGGTCAAACATAAGCCCCCAACTGCAGGTAGTGGATTTTCGGAACAACAATATCAGCGGCATCTCGTTCAAATCGCAGTACGGGAACACGCTGAAGTGAGCGAACACGGGCCTTCCCCCTCTTCCCATGAAAAGACAACTCTCCCATGGAGAGAGCCGCTTCCCTTCCTGGATGTAACTCGGCGGTGGGTGCAGGCTCATGGGAAATCCCATCTGCAACGCCCAGAACTCGGGCTCCAGTTACTGCCAACAACAGTTTCATCATACGCCCTACACCACCAGTCTCTCCCATTGCGGCTCCTCGACGTGCCCCGAGGATCAAAGTTTCAGCCCCAATAACTGCGAATGCGCGTTCCCCTACGTGGGGACGCTGATTTTCAGGGGCCTCTTCTTCAGGGACTTGAGCAACAGGACGAGGTTCCAGGATCTCGAAACGAGCCTCTGGACGGAGCTGCATCTCGCAAACGGGGCGGTGTCCCTCCAGAATCCCTTCTTCGATAGCGACAGCTACCTCCGGGTGCAGCTGCGGCTCTTCCCTGTCGACAGACCGTACTTCAACCGCTCGGAGGTGATGAGGATTGGGTTCCAACTGAGCTACCAGACCTACAAGCCCCCGCCCGAGTGGGGCCCCTATCTATTTGTCGCCTTACCCTACGTCTTCCAAGGTACCAGCCGATGATTCTTCTTCTTATTCTCCTTCTTTTTCTTCTTCTCCTCCGCCTCCTCCTCCTGCTCCTCCTCCCCCCCTGCCATTAACTGTGGAAGCAACGCGCTTCAGCTGAGGAGGGCGGCGACGGGAAGACGTCGATTGGCAAGGGCGTGGTGGCCGGGATAGCGGCGGCGTCTGCTATCCTGGTGATTGGGCTGATATTCCTGGCCGTGTACGCCGTGAGGCACAGGAGAAGAGCTCAGAGCTGCGGCGGCGCGCCGAAGCTGAAGGGAGCGAGATTCTTCTCTTTCGACGAGCTCAAAAGGAGCACCAACGGCTTCTCAGAAGCTAATGAGATCGGATCTGGAAGCTACGGCAAGGTAAAAAAAACCATGCACGCCTCCATCCCTCGGCCCTCACTAGACCTTCTTCCTCATCGAGAATTGTACTCCTCTTCGTCCCGATCTTCAGGTCTACAGAGGCGTTCTTCCTTGCGGGCAAATCGTCGCCATCAAAAGAGCGCAGCAGGGATCCACGCAAGGTGCGCACGAGTTCAGAACCGAGATCGAGCTGCTCTCGAGGGTCCACCACAGGAACCTCGTGCGTCTCGTCGGCTTCTGCTTCGACCAGAGTGAGCAGATGCTGGTCTACGAGTACATCCCCAACGGAACCCTAAGGGAGAGCTTGTCCGGTGAGTTATCCGGTAAAGGAAATTCTCCGGCGAGGACCATGAGAATCCCTCCCTAACTGGACGAGCTCTTCACGTAGGGAAGAGCGGAATCCAGCTCAATTGGAACAGGAGGCTGAGGGTCGCCCTAGGTTCGGCGAGGGGGCTAGCCTACCTCCACGCGCTCGCAGACCCCCCGATCATCCACAGAGACGTCAAGACCAGTAACATCATCCTGGACGAGGATGTGACGGCCAAAGTCGCCGACTTTGGTCTCTCCAAGTTGATCTCCGATATAGAGAAGAGCCATGTCTCCACCCAGGTCAAAGGAACCCTGGTGAGACTTCCTCCCCATATGTCAACCCTCTCATCGGGTGTCCCTCTCTCTCTCTCTCTATCCATCCATCCATCCATCCATCCATCCATCCATCTATCTATCTATCTCTATCTATCTACCTATCTATCTACCTATCTATCTATCTCGCAGGGCTACCTCGATCCGGAGTATTTTATGACCCAGCAACTGACGGACAGGAGCGACGTCTATAGCTTCGGGGTGGTGATGCTGGAGCTGATCACCGGTAAGGTACCAATCGAGAGGGGGAGGCACATCGTTCGCGACATCAGAGTCGCCATGAACTCGCAGGACCGGGAGCTCTGCGGCCTAAGGGACTACATCGATCCGCTCCTCCTAAGCTCTCCGGCCCTCCCCGGCTTCGCCAGGTTCGTCGGGCTGGCCATGCGCTGCGTCGAGGTGTCGGCGGCGGCGCGCCCTACGATGAACGTCGTCGTGAAGGAGATCGAGTCCATCTTGCAGGACGAAGGCATGAATACGGACTACACCTCGGCGGCCTCCTCCGCCAGGGACTTCAGCGTGGCGAGGGTCGGCACCGCCGCCGTCCCTCGTCAGCCCTACGGCGACGCGGTGGTGAGGAAGGAGGTGAGCAGCGACTCCTTCGACTACAGCGGCAGGTACGCCCTGCCCACCAGGGTAGAGCCGAAGTAGCAGAGCCCAGTTCTCCTGTCCTCCCCCTTAGCAAAATAGCGACGCTTGATGAAAAGTTAGAAGCTTTTTCCCACTTGAAAAACCGGAGAATCAGATTTTCTTGATTACATTCAGGACGGAAAATCAAATTTTTTTCTTTTCTGAAGGAAACCCAGGAGAGGCGTCCCGAAGGGTCCACTGCCTGATGTTCGAATATATAGCCAAGATGACAAACTGAGCGAAGCAGAGGGCCATGATCAGTGCCTCAAATAGAAAAGGGTACCTCCTTGGGGGCCGTACGATCAGGTAGACAAGGTGAAGCAGGGCAGAGGAGAAGGATGACAATGCCATCACAGTCTGAAGCTTCCAGGGTATACGAGGGCGGCGCCTCCCGTGCACTTCTATGGGGAGGCGATAGATCAAGCCAAAAAGAGAAAGGAGGGCTCCATACTGCAGGGTCAAGCCGTCCCGGCGTAGCAGAGGGAACATTGAGAACAATGCGTGGTAAGTCAACCAGCCGAAGGCCGTAGGTTCCTCCAGTGCCAAAAGGCTGGCCGGAATAAGAGGGAGGAGAATCGACTTCTCATGAACTGCGGGGAGAAACAATGAGGTCAATAAAATCGCAGATTAAATCAAAGGTATTTATTATAGCGCAAAAGGTAGAACAAAGATGGAAGGGGCGATTCGACGACCTTGATATGAGAAGAGATAGAAGGAGAAGGAGCTATTTAGGAGCGCATGGAGGAATCCATGATTGCTCGGGGACTTGATCTGCTGAACCGTCGATGGCAGAAATGAAATGACGGTGGCACATAAACTGAAGAGCTTCAACGACTTTACTGTAAAACGCATCTTCCACTTGATCAAAGTTGAGGTGCTGCACCAAAAGTTGGCGACATAGTCCTCATAAATTCCTCGCTCAAAGGGAGCTAAACGGGATAGGACCTGCATTGATTTTGCCATAAAGTAACTTTATACAAGGAAAAAATAAAAAAATGGAACATAACAAGCAGAAATGGGGGCTCGGAGGAGAGAGAGAGAGAGGGAGATAGATAGATAGATAGATAGATAGAGAGAGAGAGATGGATAACTAGATGGAGGAGAGAGAGAGAGAGAGAGAGAGAGAGAGAGAGGAGTCAACGCACAGTGTGAATAAATTACCAAGTGTGGTGGATGTAAACCCTGATAATTCCAACCTAACAAGAGACTTTCTTCACAGGAGCGGAAAATAAAATTGTAATGCAGGCAAAATATAAATATCTACCTCACGAGCTGCATCAAGCGAATACAAATAAGGCCACCACATGAGGACGAATGTAGCCAAGACCACGATAGCCAATTTCATGACTGAAAGAATAGGATTATGACGTCTGAGGCATTTCCCCAGGAGGTGGGCGAAAAAAGCAGGCGCATAATACGCACTCATCTGTAAGAACCAAAACATGTGGAATACAGTTAGCGATAGCTCTTCATACAAGACTCTACACAACTAAAATCTAAGCAGTGTCTCCTGAACGTATTTGTATAATCTAGTGTATATTTCTATGTTTACACGGTTACCATTAAAGTCATGAACCAAGAACTGGACAAGATGCTCTGATTACTTGATTCGATCAAGCGATTTATTGGGCACATTCATATTTTGGCATTACTTAAAGCAAATGCAACCTTAAGGATAAGAGTTAAGTTGTATCTTTTTACAGTGGATGCAGCTAGTGATACTTCCAATGCCAAGATATCATCTCCTGCCACAGCGATGGGCAGGCGGGGAATGGTTTTTGGGTAGTCTTGAGTGATGATCAGCGCTCAGAAAAGCCCAAAGGAGGAGATAAATCATTTGTCTTTTCCAAGCCCAAGATCTACACCAAGAGGAGAGCTTGTGGAAGACGAGATAAGAGTCTGGTGCTGATGGTGGTTTCAATTTGAAAGGCAAGAGACAGATAATGGACCCAAAGATGAGATGGCCCCGAAGATCTGCTGGCCAATAGTCGTTTTAAGGGAGAGATGCTAATTGCATGGTGGCGAGAACTGAATATAACTTGAAGGTGGAGGCAGGGAACTCTGGTACAGATATACATGTTTCTAACATGTGTGGGGTCTCCAAAATCGAGTAAATTCGTTAAAAATTGCAGACCTATGATCTGTCAGAAGTGGAAGGAGGCAGTAGTTCAAAGGCTTTCAGATCTACCTTTTCACTCGTTTCAAATTCGGAAGATTACAATGAGCAGCCTATAGAAGCCACGATTGGAAATCAAGGACAAAATAATTGCGTTGTTGTCCAAAGCAGTGGTTAGAAAGGTGAGGAAGAGGAGGCTGTTCTCTTAGGGCATCAAAAGGAATTTGAATGTAGCTCTCCTTAGCAAGCAATTTGCACAACCGAGTAACGTTGAAGGAAATCTATGGGCCAAGGTCGTGAAGGAAAAACATACAGTAGTCGTCTCACAGGGCATTGTCCTAAGGCGCTCCCTCATGCATACGTTGTCCACAGAAGCAATAATGCTACGCCATTGTCAATACAACTTCCAGAGCCTAATCTGAAGCCCTTTCGAAAACAAGAAAAATAAAGAGAATCGGTTGAAATCAGTAAATTTCACTTAGACCGATTATAAACCAATCTAGGGCTTCGAGGGGCCATCACACTGACTGCTGCAGGTGGATGAAAATAGAAAGTTGAAAAAATGCCAAGAAACTGGAAGATGCATGTCAACATTTTTTTCATAGGGAATTTTTCGTTCTTGGGAGGTTATGAAGTTCTAAATTTCAAAGGCTGGTAAAATATACAAGGGATATCGTAAGTAAAAGTATGTAATTTCTTGGGAGCAGAGAGGTTTAGATTCTCGTACAGGAGACTGTACTAGATTTTTTTTCTGAATTCGTTTTCTCACTGGTAACATGTGGCATCTACCTCGCCCTCAAAAATTGTATTTTTTGATGAAAAAGTAAGGATTTAATAGTCTAGCCTCATGCGAAATTGGTGCCTATAGCCTGTGGATAAATATGTGGCTGTCGTAATTCAATTTTCTACTCATATAGAAGATCATATATAGATAAAATGTATGACGCAAAGAAAGATCTAACAAAACACCGGGAGAAAGAGGCAGATAAATACCTGTTTATGGTTAAGGGAAAGACAGAAAAGAAAAGAGCCCAGAAGCTCACGGCCAGAGAGGATGGCTGCCACGGCTCCGATCATGAATCCAAGGCTAATGCAATTGTACTGAGAAAATAAGTTGCAGTGCGTCATAAATAAGTCCGAATGGAACTCGCAGACACTGTACAACGACAGGGGAGCATCTCTGCCTGCTCACAAACCTGAAAATGTCCATGATCGATTAAAATCAGACACGGATTAAGGAGGATCATGGCAAGCAGCCACTCGTGAGTCACGGAGCCATCTCCTCTGCCTCTGCGGATCCGGCGACCAAAATAGATAAACACAAAGCAAAGCGCGGCCGGGAAAAATACGAGAAGATCCGACGACAGAACCGTCCATCTCATCAGCAGCTTCCTGATTCAATAGAAAGAAACAATAAGCATCGAAGAATGGGGAACGCGCGGAGAAAAAGGAGAGGAAGCGGGACGGAATAGGGTGAAGGGCGGTGCACTTACGACTTGGAGGATTCGAAGCCGCGCGAGAGGAACAGGGCGACGGAATCCGGAACGAAGGGTTGGAGGAAGAGGCGCCCGTGGACGTAGCTCTGGTAAGCAGTGAGCGGCGGGTAGTCCAGCCCCCAGTAGGCGAGATCGTTGGACGAGGTGTTGCGGTACCACTCGGAAGGGGGAGTGTGGATAGTAATCTCCATCCAATGCCGCTGGGCTTCGTAGTCGCCGTACATCGGCGGGCGGCGCCGCCCAGAGTACGGCCCTAGCGCCACGAGCACTCGCACCAGCAGCGCGAATAGAGAGACGGCGAGAATACGCACCATGGAGGTGCTCGCCGCCCCGAAGAAATACGGAGGGCGCTCCTCTTCCACCTCCCCCGCCGTGGGGCTCTCCTTCCTTCTCCTCCCCATCCCTGTGACGCTCGATCTGCTACTCTCCCTCTCCACAACGATCTGGTTCCCCCTCACCTTAGAGGGAGGACCACTTCGAGTAGGGTGCTCTACTGGGCTGGGCCAGCACCCAGCTTAGTCCGGCGGCCCAATATTCATTTAACTAGAACAAAGCCTATTAATCTCGTCATAACGTCCAATTACTGCTTTAAAATTGTGGTATGACACGAAATGACCCGATTCCTGACATGACCGTTGACCAAGAACCACTAACACAGAAGAACCGGCGCACTGAGGACTGATCGATGGTTCGATTTCAGTCTGGTGATGAAAGAATCAAGAAGAGAAGCACCGGGGAAGAAGGGGCCGAGAAAAGTCAAAAGAAGGGGCCAAAAAGACCGATCTTTGACCCAATGGGCTGCGACCCACTTGAGGAGCCACATACAGCAATCATCTGATCCTATGAAACAAGAAAAAAAGGGTGATTTACCTGCGGGGATTGACTTATGCCAACATCTCCTGGTCCATCTGGATGTGTTGGCACCCCGTTTCATGGCAAGGATTTCCTCTGCGCAGAGCCTGATTCGTCAGCCTGGGTCTTTATTTCCGATGAATGTCAGTAATCTGGTCGTCAAACCTCTTGAGCCGTCCGATTGGGGTTCTTCTCTCTTCCCCCATCCATTAACACACATGAAATGATCTCAAAATCTAGGGTTCTTCATCGGGCGTCATCGGTTCACATTGCACTCGTCCATGAACTGGTCCTGCTGTGTCAGGTAGTTTCTCCAGTACGTTTTGTACTGGGGAATCCCGAGTTCTAACCAGGGCTTCATGTTCCCATTATAGTGCAGGATGGCGGCCTTCTGAATGGCGTCTCTGCTGACCGCGTAGTTGGTGCCCAGCCCTGACAAGACCCAGGAATCATCCAACACGTAGATGAGATCCTGAGAAGCAAGCAAGCTCGAAGGTAGGGCGGCAGTTCTCCATGACGTATGGGTTGTCTCTTGCGACTTCATATGCTGGAAGAACACATTATATGAAGTGTGAGAAATGAATAAATTCGTTGGAATTTGTTTCATGATGAACATTGGTAAAGTGGATTTTACTTCTTCTAATGCACAAAAGCATTAAAGATTTGTATAACATGAAGTTTTTTTCTTGAAAATCACATAAAATTCATAGAAAGTTGATGCTGAAATTTCAATAAAAAAATGATTACAAGGAAAAACGAGTGTAAAAGCAGGAAAAAACTGCATCTGGCACATAATAGAACTAAAGTAATCTGATTGTAATGAAGATCTGAAGAGCTCTTTAAAGATGTTTATCGCCAACCCAAAGTTATACATAGTCAACTAAGAGGTTAATTTTTTTTTACCTACGTTTCATGAAACTTAAAGAACATCACGCGGCATTAGCAGTAATCAGTTTTCGTGTCACCCTCTCCTTCACTCAATCAATCACCAACTCGCGCATCTTGGTAGAGTAAGAGAATATACACTTCACCGATTCCCACCAGGTGTTTAGGGACGAAAACGCATGAATATTGAAAGCTTTTCAGGGAATAAGAGCGGTTTTAGGTTTTCAACTATGTGAGACAAGGACATGATTAATTAATATTTCGCAACTAAAAAAGGAACAGCTCACCTGCTCATCTTCACGTCGACAGTGAACGAGCACATTGAAGTACACCCCCACAGTCATTAGTAAGAAGATTCATAATCAGAGGGTATTCAAGAAGGGGTAAAAGCTGCATTACCTTGCTGAGAAGCTTCTGGTAAGTTCCAGTGACATTAAGGTTCCTCCACTGATCTAGGTCTACTACGTTTAGGCCAAACAGCCAGAGACACGCTTCTTTGTCGTAGTCTTCTTCACCCAAGTAACTTTCCAGGTGACCTAATCGCAACTCACAGAATTCTACAGCACCAATCGCCTTTTCCTTCAAGTCAAGGTTCCATAAAGGTGATAAATCACGCTGAACAACAACAGCATCGTCCAAAACTACTATCCTTTTAAGATTCTTGAATATATCAGGAAGAAGAAAGTATGCATGACTGGGAGTTGAGATATATTCAGTTCTTCTATCCACAAGAGATGGTTGATCAACACTTCGAACTGAAATTCGGAACTCCTCGGACAATGAAAGGTGTGGCTGCATACCCAACTGGGAGTTATTCAGAAAGTAATAGTAATCCTCAATATCTGTAACATGAATCAATGCCTTCTTGTAAACATTTCTTGAAAACCACATTTTCATGGAAAAGAAATTCTGACTGTCGGTGAGCAGATGGAAAACCAAAGTCTCACTTTCCTGTAGATACAAAAGAAACTATGTCAAGATATTGGCTTAGAAATATGTGTAGTGTGCTCTTTGGCCAAAAAAGAATTCTAACCTTGGCATTCATCACTGTTGAGTTAATAGCAACAGCAGATGCAAGTATGTTACTCGAAAAAATAACATAATGTTGAAGGGCAGGGTTAGCAAGCCTTTCGGAATGTACATCCTCCATATCAAACAAAGGAGAATTGAAATATTCAACCGTTAATCTCAACGATAGACAGTGGAGACTCTTGGACATTGTCTGAACACCAAGGTGGTAAAGAAATGCACTCTGCCTCCTATGAAAGTGCGCTTCATCTTCTGTCAAGTCAAGGATTTGTTGCAGTTTCTTGTTAACATTAACGCAACCAAGGTGGAAAGATTTGACTCTGCCAATGATGACTTCCATACTATGTACTTTCTTCTCAACGCTGGAAAAAGAAAATAAAAAATATTAGTATTTCCTCTAACAAAGAATAGAACCATGATTCTAACCCACTTGTGTTTCATGTTTAACGTCAGGAAATGTGTCAACAGATTACTAAAAACCAGTATGTAACCACACTAACAAAGATCATTTCAAAAAAGAAACCAATAAAATGCTAAGATATCATATACTTTCTAAATTCGAATTCTTCTCAGGAAAAGAAATTTATACACTCAGTGATAAAGCATGTAACCACACTCGGCTTAATCTTATACCGAACGGCAGATCATTTCCCGAGAAACTAAATGCCAATGTCACACGTCATCAACAAAAAAAAAAACGGGCATGCAAAACACATGCAATTAAACATGAGAAAATTGACCTCATGACTACCCAAGCCTCCTGCATAAAAACTCTAGAAAGATTGAAAAAATGGAAAGTTCAGCATTTCCATCTGGCCCCTAACGCTGTTGAATAATAAAAGAATTCAAAAATTCAGTTTCACAGCCAATCATAGACCACTTCGAAGGAGATTCATATTAAGACTGCTAAAGTATTGGCATCATAAAATTACGACAGCAAAGATAGAATATCTCTCTATGACGCCATTTTCTACGTCAGAATAAAACTTCGCTCAAGTCACGTCGAGGCATAAAATTGGTGGGAAAAGTAGCATATATTTCATCGAGCAGGCACTGTCCCTAACAATCAGGTAGCGACTCCGCTGACTGGACTGCAGGCCAACACCACAGGAAGGAAACCAGTCTAACTACATCCAGGGGTAGTTCATCAAAAGCAGGGGACACAAATTTAAGTAATACCAGACAAAGACAGCAGACCTGGACTGTCTGTGTGCAGTGTGAGATTTTATGCAGATGGCAGGGCAGTGCAAACAACATTCCCCACCACAAACCAAACAAATAATCTGCAGATTATTCCAAATATGATTCAAAAAGAATCGCCTATATAATCCCGAATCAAAAGAGAGGGGATTAACCTGTGTCTAATTGACCAATCCAGACGGAAAGCTGTGGGCAATATTCCCATCATGTTTAATATAATTTTGAAACACCTTTTAATATAAATACCGGCGTGTCCATAGGTTTGTTGAACATGATGATAACTGAAGTTTCTATCCCCAAATTTCGAGATTTTTTAAGATCTTAAAAGTAAATAACCTTTGACGAGGACTCGAAAATACATATATAGGCGTTGAAAACTAAAAACGCACAATATGAACATGACAAAAGTTGCAGGTAAAATCAGCCATAATCTTCTCCTCATTTAAACAAACCAGACGATAAGGTATTAAATGTTTACTGGGAATACTAAGTAGTATCATATAAACGCGATTCTCCACATGAACAATACTAGTGTTTCTTATCTTGTCAATTCCGTCTTTAAACCTATTATTTGGCTACCATATTTTGGTACAGGTTGGATGTATCAACAAATTTACTGAGAATTCAGCTAAAGCAGCGCATGATTACAAGTGAAATCGTTCAAGAGAACGGAGAAAATAGATTTCGACACAAAGATCTCATAAACGCAAATATATTTTGACACTACAGACGGACATCTCCCTCTTATGAGATCAGTGCATGTCAATACAGGTGAGAACCAAATGTCAATAACATCATGTTGGTCATGATCAAAACTTTTTAAAGCGAGCATACGACCCTAGAAGGTTTCGAACATTCATAGGTGTTGGCGCATAGTTGATTTAAATTGTAACAAGCGACAAATGAGTCAAACTAATCCGACTAAATTTTATAGCATTCCGAGTCTTGATATGATAGGGAGTTAACATCATAAAGGAAAACAGCAAACGCACAACATTCCTGCAAAAATGCCCCACTTGCTGCTGCCAGAAGGGGATCATCTACACAGCATGACACAAAGTGACAGAGTAAATTGTAAAAAAACCCCATATGAAGCTGATGCAATATGAGATCAAGCTACCCACAACTCAAGAAATCATAATTCGTACCGAATTCAGAACATTTCTCGTCTGATACAATGTCATATTTCAAAATATTTCCGACACAAACCTTGATGACAGGCGTTAGATAATTTCAGAAATAAAATAAATAACAAGCAGACAAACTCAACCCAGGCCGGCTTGCATTGAAGATAAAATGGTTCAGCACCTCGCCATGTAAGTTTTCTTTTTAAACAACAGAAAAGATGTGAACCTGAGATGTATATTACAAATATCCATATGAATGAAGAGTGAAGGTAGATATCATACAGAAGAAATATAGAAATTATTGTTCGGTTCACTCAGAAAAAAGAGAAAATAAAAAGCAAAGGAGGGCAGAATAAAAAGGTTGAAATTACTTACTTGATGGGAAGGTCTGCATCTACCAGAGCGTCACTAAGCATTCGTTCATGATCTTGAATATTCTGCCTCAGTTCAAGAGACAACTTCTCTTGAGAGTGAAGCTTAGCAATACTTGGGTAGTAAGACCTCGCCACAAAAAGCTGGTCTTTCATTTTCTTCACCAAGGAATCCTGCATTTTCTCCTTATATTCCACAGACCATAGGCAGTAGCTTCCAAATTCGAGCTGACATGTTTGTTCAGTTTCATCCCCAGAAGCAGTAGTTTCTAAATGTGCTGTTGCACTGGTACTTATAATTCTCTGACCAGGTGTGTCAATCTGCTATAAATTTATAGAAAAGTGAGAACAAAAGAGCAGTAGAATCGGTCATTTTCTGCATAATTCCCATTAAACATCAGGACAAGAAGGTCCAGATGATTGGGTTTTGGGGGAAAAAAAACGTCCTAGTACAACAAAGTACATTTATTCAACAGTTGAAAGGAATTGCACTGCATCATAAGAACTAACTAAAGTTCTCAGAGAAGCATCGTGCTCAAAATAAATCCTCATAGATTTTAGTCATCCATTCATTAACTGAAAAAGGATGTTTACCTTTTCTTTGGTAGCAAGTGGTCTCTGCGCAACTGTTTTAGATGTAGGCACAGCTGCGTTGAAAAAAGAAATGACGAAAAAAATTGATCATAAGTTATGAACAGCATTTAAGGACAACAGTTGGCTTTCAAGAGTCTTAGGGCGGCTTAAAACGTCCAAGTCACAAACCTTCCGAACCGGAGTCTTTTGGTAGAGAAGAAACGATGAAGCTTTTACTGGCGTTATTTCCACTAGAACCCTCCCTTTGCAAATTTTCATCACTCATCTTCGGAACATCTTCATCATCCTAGAACACAGTAATTGAAATTATACTGGGTAATCAAAATCCGAACTGATCACATAAAAACCAGCGTTAGTGAGAATGAAGATTATGTACTGGTTATGATGCATCAAGAGCAAACTTCGGAACCTATGAAGATTGGGTACTTGATTGCAGATAAAAATTATCCTCTGGCTTATTTTTCAAATAAAAAAATTATTTACAGTTTCTTCTGGTTTCAACAATATCTCGTTAAATTAGTACGTTCCCTAGGTAGGTACAGGGAAGAAAACAGATATCGTCTGCTGCATGTATAAAATCCAAGTAAATAAATAATAACGAGATAGAAAACCTTAGAGATCGATGGCCCAAATCTTCTAATAAGATTCTCCACAACTCTTGTCTGATCGTCCTGCATGAGATTCACAAAAGCACAATGGATGTGATTATTTGAAAAATATAAATGTTCAATATTTAAGCAGCTTTATCTTCATGTTTTAAGATGCATTTAAATGTAGTCCAGCAAAAGAGATCACTAGTGTGATATTATCTAATCGAAAGGAAAGGACTCGAAAAGGAAAGGGAGAAACCTCTCCAGGATTACGATCATCTTTGGGGGCGGCCTTCTCAAATCTTCCTAAGGGAGAATTCTAGTCCAGTCAAAATTAATGCAAGTAAGTACCAAAATAAAATCATTAAACACAAATTCGATTCATAAACAGAAAAAAGTAACTGACCAAAGATGAAGTGTCGTCACTTAGGTACCCTGCAAAGACAGGCAAGATACCGTTAGAGATTTCCTAGTTTAAAATTGCGAAAAAAGATGGGAAGATATGAAAAGTGACATCATCCAAGATGACGATTAGAAACCAACAACAAGAAATGAAACTAAAATAGTCTGAATTTACTTCTGGAAAAACAAGTCGGAGAAAAAACGGATCTCTAAAATTCGGCCAACGAGAAGCAGAGGACAGCATATCTTGTGGTAGTAACGACGAGGCAACCCTGTTCACTGACTGTCCTCTGTCGACATACAGTAACGATATCAAACGCGAAAATGGAGGGACCTCTGTCGACATACAGTAACGAGCACTCTAAAACAGGACCCTAACCAGATTTGGTTGCCGCAGAAAACAATCCGTGCAGAAAGGATGTAGATCTGCCATTGAGGATCGCAGGGTTCTCCTTGACGGAGTAACAAATTATCGGGTTTCCTAGCGTACCGTAGGGAAAGCGGTTGTGGAGGCCGAGAAGGAACGCTAGTGGGACGAGCAGCGAGAAGACGACCAGGGCGACAACCGCCAATGCGAAGCCCTTCCACCTCCTCTTCCCCGGGGGAGAGGAAGCGACAAAGCCCCTCATCTCCTGCTCTCCTCCCTTTTATCCGCTTTTACTCGCCTCGTCAACCTCGCTCCCTTCATCCGCACGCTGACCCCATGCATCACCCTGAACTCGCGCAGACACGATGCTCCAGCTTCCCTCGTCTCTCCCACTCCGCTTCCTCCCCCGCCCTTCTCTACCCTCTTCACCACTCCAGAGCCAGTGAAGAAAAAGCCTCGACGAGAAGATCAGGGGTGGGGGAGGAAAGAAGAAGGAAGAGTGAGTTTAGAGAGAGAGAGGACTGAGACAGAGAGAGAGACAGAGAGAAAGAGAGTTGGCGACGAGGCGGGGATCAGAGGTTGTGTTGCAAGAAAAGGGTGGAACGGAGGGTACAAATAATACGAATCTTAACTGAATAAATTGCTCAGTGATTTCAGTTGATTATTCCATTAATAATAATTAAACATTAATCGGTGTTGTACTGTTCCTCATAAGCCCCACTCATTTTGCATGATTACAAAAAATCCCTTACACTGCTCGAAATTCGTTCCGCTGGGAATATCTGCATTAATTAAATCAGGAATCTGGTTGGAGAGAATACGATCCGCCGACCGTTGAGATTTGGTCCACCTGGCTATGTCGGTGGTGCGTGATGGACAGTTGAGATGACCCAATCGCCCAGAGGCCGTAGTACGCGTGGGAACATCTACACCGGTCGATGCCATGGACCTGTGATTCGACAGTAACCCACCCGGGACTATTACACAGAGGGACCTGAGAAAAATACGATTCTGCTAAAAACCCTCCTATTAAAAGATCGTGTTCGAGCGCACGTGACCAATCAGGGGGGTTATTCGAAAAATCCACGCCGGAGAAGAAGCCCTCTCTTCTTCCTCTTCCTCTTCCTCTTCCTCTTCCTCTTCCTCTTCTTCCGCGGCGGCGATAAGAGCGGCGCCGCCGTTCCTTCTCGTCGACGCTGCGCCGGAGACTTTCACAAGGATGAGCACGAGAAAGTAAAGAGAAGGGCACCGGCGTCATGGAATGGGGGCCCAGCCGATGTTAGGGAACGGAGAGAATTGCCCGCGGAAGCCGATTAATCCCGGCCATGAAGCACTTGCCGGGTTGTGTTGAAGTCACTGTGAGACGACTGAAGGTAAGAAGCCTCGCCGGTGGACTAACAGAGAACCGAAAAGCCTCGTCGGCAAAGCCCCCGCTGGACCAACGAAACGACGAGGCAACCCTGTTCTAAGTTCATTGCGACAATATGCAAGAATCATTTGAAGACATCTTTATGTGAGAAGGAAAACTCACTGTAAGAGGAGGTCAGCAGCTGATGGATCCCATGCGTGGCGCGAGCAGGGTGCAGAAAGCAGGTTAGCACGGAGATTCACAGAGCGTCGCAGGCTCAACGACGATGCGGCAAACGGCAGCAATACCGCAAATGCACTGCAGAAGCATAAGAGCAGCGGAGGGAGAATTCCCAAGAAGATGCAGCCGAATGCAGTCAGTGATCAATGCAGATGTTTTGAATATTATGGCCAAATATGATCGACAATATCTGAGTTTCCCTTCTCTTTTCTCGAACTATCTGAGTACCCATAGTTTTATCCGGAACTAGCATCGGGTGATAGCCATGGAGGACCGTACTGAAGATGACAAGGGCATTGCGCGTCTCACTCACAAAAAATTAACCTCTTCACAATCCCCTGATAGATGTTATAGAATAACAGGAGCATGCAATCTGCAAAACTTGCCGCATGGCCTGTTCTGCTTATCAGATTCAGGCTAAAACAAAACAGCTTAGGAAATTATTTTATCAACTTTTTTCTCATTCACTAGAGGATGCAAAGAATATTATGAGTATGTAACTATGATTCGATGTATCTACCTTATGTCTTCACAGCACTTCATTAGTGACTTCAGAGGCTGAATTCCGAATCTTACTGGAAATTCTCTCCGTCAAAGCCGAAGCAACTGAATATTTGCTGTCGTCGTAACAAGCATTTACAAACCCAGCATAAGTTATGTAATCCAAGTCGTGGTCTTTGTCCAGCAATTTGTGGAAGAAGAAGGCAGCCTGCGCCAGTTTTCCTTCAGAAGACAGTTTCCTCACTAAGATATTGGCAGTCCGGACCCAGAGTTTTCCATCAAGCATGTCCAAAATAGCCAAAGCACCGGAGATTTCATCTTTCATACAGAGCTCATATGCCAAGGTGACACGAGTCACTTCACATGGGCAGAGTCCCCTATCAACCATGGCTCTATACAGGGCCTGCGCTTCTTCTAACTTTGACTCCTTGCAGAGACCGCTAATAAGAGCACCATAAGTTACAGAGTCAGCCACACAACCGTTGATGGCCATCTTTTCAAAGATCTCCATGGCGAGGTCCACCTTCCCATCCCTGCAATACCCACTTATCATCGAGGTGAAAGTTTGCTTTTTTGGTACCAACCCCAGCTTAAGAGCTTCATGAAGAAATCTCTCGCCATCCTCCATTCTCCTTTGCCTGCAGAAAGAAGAAATTAGCGTTGTGTATGTGTGCATATCGGGCTGGCATCCGAATTTCTCCATCAAATGAAAGAAATCCAAGGCCCGAGATGTATCTCCTTGCTTGCAGAGCTCACTGATGAGAACTGTGAATGTGGCCCGGTCAGGTAGAGGTCCATATCTGAAGCATGTATGAAGAAGCCTGTAAGCGTCGCCCTCCCTCCCTTTCCTAAAGAGGCAATTGAGAACTGCATTGTAAGTGCATATATTGGGGGGGCAACCTTCTGCAGTCATTTGGCCCATCAATTCATATGAACGGGCCAAATCTCCAGCCTTGCAGTATCCGTTGATCAGAGTGGTGTAAGTGCTGGCGTTTGGTGCCAGGCCCTGCTCCCTCATCCTCCCCAGCAGCATCTCCGCCCTGTTCATCTTATCCTCCTTACAGTACCCTCCTATCATGGCAGTGTATGTGAAGACATTTGGCTTGTAATTATCACTTCTTACCAGCTTGAGGAATAGCCTGAATGCTCTCTCTGTCCACCCAATCTTGCACAGGCCGTCAATTAGGGTAGTGTGGATGAAGACGTTTGGCTTCAGACCCCTCCTGGTCATCTGCTCCAGTGCCTGGAACGCTTGCTTCACGCTGCCTCTCTTGCACAGACAATTAATCAGAGAGGAGTAGTTGATCACATTAGGATGCAGACCCAGATCAATCATCTTTTCGAAGGCACATATGACAGTGCCCGAACGATTCGCCTCACTCAGCGCATCAATCACCACAGTGCACGTCACATTATCTATCGTCAAGCCCCTGTCAATCATTTCCTTCAAAAGCTTCTCCACAGATGTGATGCGACCAGCTCTGCAGCAGGCAACGATCGTCGTCCTGTAGCTGCAAGCGTCAGGAGAAACCCCGTAGGTGGGCATTTTCCCGAACAGCTGCTCGACGAAATCCGTGGCACCCATTTCGGCGGCGACGCTGAGAATCCAATTAGCGGTGTGAACATTGAGACGCAGGCCCTGGTTTCTCATCTCGAAGACCATATCCACCGCCTGCTTCAGCCTTCCGACCTCCGCGAAGCTCGTCACCATGCATCTCATCACCTCCTGGGCCTTGTCAAAGTTGGCGCGACGGAGAAGGGCGGATGCCGCCGTGATGTACAGCCGCAGGAAATGCCTGAACTCCTTCTGGGAGACGGCCCAGTGGAAAAAGCTCATCGCCGCCACGGATCCTTCCTCGTCCGCAATCATCGCGAACACGGTCGCCGCCTGCTCCGCCCTCAGATCCCGCGCATCGATGCGAGCCCTCCGGAGCTTCCAGTCGCCGGCTTCGCACGAGTCGCAGACCAGACGGCAGATTCTTCCGACGACATCACCCGAGCTCTCAGCAGCATCTGAGACTTGGCAGAAGTTCGCCGGAAAACCAGTCGTTGGATAACTCGGGGCAGGGAGGTGAGAGAAGGCTGTACACAAGGGCCTCCCCCGCCGCCTAACTCTCGTGAGAAGTGCGAGGAGGTGTGGAGGACTTGTAACCGAGGGGGAGGATGGCGAGCGGAGAGAGAACGGCATCTCCAGGTAGCCTTCGGACTTCACGAAGGGCCTTCCATGGCGCAGGTCGGAGAAGAAGGGTCAGTGCCCAGCGACGGACGGAGAAGAAGGATCTTTGGGCCCCAGTTGGCCTGTTTCAGCGGTCAGCCTACGATGGGGAAATCTTCCTCCATTTCCAGGAGTTCTGATATCAGCGGAATCAGTCCAATGCATGAGAAATAATTGATCTTAGACAAGGTCCACGTACGTTGACTTCCGATAAAACCCACAACTTCGTCCTCTCTCTTTCTCTCTCTAACTATGTGCACACAGCGATTACCTTCAGTCACCTGCCCGCGACAGTCACCAAACAGATGACAAATATATTTCCAAAAGACAAGCAAAGCCTCTTTCTCTCATCTTCTCTCTCTCTAAAGAAACTGAAGATCAACAGTTCTCTTGTGTATAAAAATGCCATCTTGCCACTAGTTTTCCCCTAGTCGACGACATCAAGTAAGAGGACGAAAGTGTGCCCATATTATCCACCATGTTAGCTAAAAGTCGACGATTACGGAAGAAGGTAGCCCTCATCCTTCCTTCCCTCATCAGAAGAGGGTCTTGAGAGTTTCGGAAGGCTTCCACTGGGGCCTGCTATCATCCAGGGGGGACCTGCACTGCTTCTGCAACTCGGAGAAGCGAGCAGCGTCGAAGTTGTGCTTCACGAAGAGCTTCTTCTGCCTCGAGAGGAAGAGCCTCTTCATCAAGTCCTGGTAGGTCGGGTCCCTTGAGGTGAAGAGGAAGTAAGCGTATCCGACCAGGAGCCCGGTGGTCGTCGTGAAGAAGGCGATGGGTTCCATGACGTCCCACGAGAACTCCCAGAAAGTCAACCGGAAGAAGAGGCCCACCTGCACCACGAAGAACCCCAGACCAGACCAGAGGATCCCCCGAACCTGGCGGTGGGCCAGGAAGTCGATCTCCTCCTTTCTCTTCAAGAGCTCTCGGAGCTCCTCCCGACGGGGATCGTCCTCCGGGGTCAACGCCAGCGGGACGGCCTTCTTCATCAGCTCCACCACCTGAAAACGATTTCAAGAGACAAGAGCAGAAGGAGCATTAAAGAAGAAATAAGAAAGGAAGGATCTTGGAAGCAAGAACGATTCTAAATGGGGAAGCTCTCCGAGCTTCAGAATGGTCTATGACGAATATCCAGCAAAATCCAGAAGGCTCTGAGACTACTTTTTCATTGATCGATATTTTTCAAACCGCTGACTTTCTCCTAATAGTTTCAGGGGTCCTTGACCATTCATCATCTTCTTGAAGGAAAGTCAGACGAGCAAACCAGGGAAGAATGGGACATCCTTCAGAAACAGATTGCTACCCGAAGAGGGAGAACTCCAGCACCATGACGGAAGAAATACAGCAAAAAAGGGAGGAAGATCTCGTGACGGTATGAGATCCCAAGCAATGCCGCTCTAATGCGGTTTCCTTCAAGACGATTACAGGAGCCCAGATGATCTCTCGAGTCCTTCCTAAGATCAAAACTATGGTGGGAAGATGAAGAACGCAGTTTTGACCAAAACCCATTATGTCAACGGAAAACCTTGGAAATCGGATCATGGGTTTGGCGTATTTGGGGATTTAAAGGATTATCCATAAACGACTCCCACCAGCATTGGCGAGCTCCGATGACCAAGAACCCAGAAGAATCCAGAAGGCGGGGTGGGGGGAGGGAACAGTCTCCTGATCTCTCATTCGCAGGAGAACACATTATCTGTTTCATCCTAAAATTAATATTATGTTTTAAGATAGATTGGCTGTAAAATAATCATATTCAGACCAAGGTTGGGAAAAATGACCGAAAATCTAGATTCGTATCTGTTAGTATTCCGCAGCAGTGTTTTCGGGGGGTGGGGTGTGGGGGCGGGGGTGGGCTAGAATAAGATGAGAAAAAGTACTAAGAGAGGAATCTAGGAATAATCACCTTGTCTGGATGAAGATAGACCTTGTCTCTGAACAGCAGGATCACGCCGGCGTCGTCAAGGACCCTCGTGAAGGCCACCGCTTCCTCGCCGGACTTGGCCACCCCCATCGCCAAGCAGGCGTCCAAGAGCTCCGAGTAGCCGATCACCTCCTCCCCCTCCATCCCCAGCTTCCTCTTCAGAGCCTCCACGTTCACCAGACGCAGCAGCTTCTTCGCCTCCGGGAAGGACAGATTGTCGCCCTCTTCGCGGCCGGGGGCCACCACACCGCCGACCTCGCTGCCACCGCCGCCATCGGCTAGAACAGGGGCGGCCCCCGCGGCAGGCGGCGGAGGAGGCGACGACGAAGAAGACGAGGAGAACGGCGGAAGATGCGCGGCGGAAGATGGCGAGTACTGCCCCGACGAGGAGAACTCGCGGATCCACGGGAGGTTCCGCCATTGCTCTGCGCACCCACAGCGGCTCCCCCTCAGCGATCCCCCCACCAGCGCCCGGAAGAGCATCCTGGAGGTCGCCGCCGATCTCCACATCCTTTTCCTTCCTTTTCCCCCCTCCTAAGCAACCATGTCACAAAAAATACAGAAGAGAGAGAGAGAGAGAGAGAGAGAGAGAGGGAGAGGGGGAGAGAGAGGGGGAGAGGGGGAGAGAGAGGGAGAGGGGGAGAGAGAGAGAGAGAGGAGCGGGGAGAGAGAGGGGAGAGAGAGAGAGAGAGAGAGAGAGAGGAGAGAGAGGGGAGAGGGGAGAGAGGGAGAGGGGAGAGAGAGGGAGAGAGAGAGAGAGAGGGGAGAGGGGAGAGAGAGGGAGAGGGGGGAGAGAGAGAGAGAGAGAGGGAGAGAGAGAGAGAGAGAGAGGGAGAGGGGGAGAGAGAGAGAGAGAGAGAGAGAGGGAGAGGGGGAGAGAGAGAAAGAGAGAGAGAGAGAGAGAGAGAGAAAGGCGTGGGTTGCGACGGGGCAAGAGGCTGAGGAGGAGAAGGAGAGGCGGCGAGGGATTTCAGCGGGGCAAGATTAGACTGGTCGCTGCGAGTCACTCTCCCGAACGTTATTTCCGAAATTAAGAGGACCCCTGCGTCCACATCAACCTATCGACGCGAAATCTTCGGGTTTACTCAAAATCATGCTGACATTCAGAATCTACCAACTTCGGAGCTTTTCATTCAAGGATTTCTCACACAACCCGGATGAGGAAGAAGACCAAATCCGGCGGCGGAAAAGTATGCGCCGACAGTCGTCCCACCCCCCTATGACTCTTCCTGGGTTTTTGATGAGGCGGGCGGGATTGACCAAAATCCTGCCGTCCACCTTGCCGACTGCAGGACATCAGCCGCCCCCTCCCCCCCCCCACCACCACCACCACCTTCCGTTGCTTTCCTACGAGGAAGGGGGCTGCGATCTCCAACTGTCGCATGATCAAAAGGGATGAGATATGGTCGTCTCCCTAAAGTGTAAAGTGGCCAACTTGCCCACCTTCTATCATGGAGAGCTGCGTGGGTTTCCTTCCTAGTCTCTCTCTCTCTCTCCTCGCAGATTTCGGCGGCAGGGGGCGGGGGGAGAAGGAGGGCTCTGCACGTGCGGCAGGCAATTGGCCTTTGGATTTTCTTTTGGTCCAAGAATTAGGGCGGCGGCAGTGGCCGCACGTGCTGAACACAGAGAGAGAGAGGGGGCGACGGCGGTAGCCGTTGGATCACTGCGCGTGGGTCTTTCTGGAGAGAGCCTTCTTCAGGCCGCGGAGGATCTTCCAGAACCAGAAGATGTTCATCACTGCAAGCGTGGAAGGCACGGCGAGGAGGCTGTAGAACCCTAAAGTGAACATCGTCTTCACCTGGAGAAGAGGCCCTGGGAAGATCATCAACACGGCCTGCGGAGAGGATGAAGATCTTCACAGGTTGAGCGAGATTACCTGATCGAAGTTGTGGTACATGTGGCCAAAGAGAAAGAAGAACAGGATGATCCTCGCAAACTGCGTCGACGAACAGTGGGCGATCAGGTCACCGAGAGAGTTGTTGCCCTTCGTCTGAATTTTTCTCAAGTTGGAAATATTTCATGGGTCTGACTCACCAGCCATCCAAGAGTCAACGCAATGCCGTTCCACAGATAAAGCTTGGAACTTTTCAGCCCGGAGAGGTCCAGATACCTGCAGAAGAAGCCCTGGTTATTTCTTGCACACTGAAAAAATGGCGGCAAGCTGATATGAGGGCACTGGGAGCTGGCGTTCACCATCTTAGGTTTACAAACGGGGTGGTGATCTCAGAGAACAAAACCATGAGTATGTAGAGATGCGCCTGGCCGCTCAGGAGAGCGAGGGAAAAGGAATACAGGGAGAGCCCGTGGTGGACAATCTGCGCAGGAGATCGCGGCAGAAATGAATCAGAAAGAACAACAGCTCACAGAATAACAGCTCAGGAAGGAATCGGTCCTACTTACATATTCCACGCCACCTAAAGCCGGGAATAGCCAAAGAATCATCCTCAGGTCATAGATGAAGTAGCCGAGAGAAATCTGGATCCAAGTGCCCACAGATTTGAGTCAACAGAAGATGTGCATAGTTGTGGTGCAAGCTATTTATATATGGAAAATCAGGACAACAGCGGGTAGCCATGGATGAGGTGACAATGGGCCTCAGGCGAGGTGATCGTCGTTTCCTTTCTGAATCATGAGTTGACCAAAAAATTTGCAGAGTCATGCTAATTAGGAGGGGTACTGCAAGCCAGAGTTTCCTTCAATCTGGGTGGAGGAAGTGTGAGGCTCTTTCCTCTTCTTTTTTTTTTTGTTCCACAGACAGATCTTTGAAAGATGTGAGCTCCAGTGAGGCTCAGACTCTTTGGAAACTGGGTGGAAAATGCGTACTAGTATATAAAAAATTGACTGAAATAGAAGGAATTTCGCTCATTGATCTAGCAATTCAGCAAACAGAACCCATAAATGTGCTCAGCTTTTTCTGAGAATGCTTGAATAGAATACTTCAGTACATTGAAATGAGAAGATCCAGGAGCAAGAACGCGTACAATGAAAGCAGGGTCAGAAAATTACCCCGAAAATGGCATCAGAAACAACAGATTTTCGGTCTATAATGAGCTCCGGATGAGCTCCATCCTTGAAGAGGTCTGATATGACTACCAGGTAGAAAGAAACGATGGCTACAACGATTGCATGAAATGTAGAGAAGCCCCTGCAGGATGAGTTGCAAGAACCTGACAGTCAAAATTAATAAGAAAATGGATGAAAGGAGAAGATCTAGCGTGGAGCGAAGACTGGAAACCAGAAAGAGTAATCCTCACCGGTTGTTCCACTCGATTTTTTGCGATTCGCTCAGTCGAGAATAACTCTGAAACCGCGATGAGCTAAAACACCTGGTCACTTCGTAGACCTTGAAATAATTAAAATGCATCATTAAAAAAAAAAAAACTACCCAATGCTCATTCGAAGAGACAGACATCGAAATGAAACATGAATGCACATAGGGGAACATAATTAGTCACAGACAATCGCAGAGTCATGCACACAAATGGGCCAGCAACAAATCTGAGGCGCAACAACAGAATTAAGAAAACAATCATCAACGATTGTCATAAATTAACATTAATTAAGCGCAATCGAGTGTTCCGACTATTCTCTCTCGAATATGCTGATACAAGAAGGAGAACGAAACAATGAATGCTTGTTTGTGATTAGATTCAGCAAAGGTTGGAGATCATAATGTATAGACAAGTCTTGTTTCAAAATAATTTTACCTTTAAATAAAAATAAACCAGATTTAGTAGCTCTCAAAGGAGACTCAGGTGGACAGACGACGGGCATTATGATTTCGAGAGCACATGACAGACACTTGTTTCGTTGATAAAAAAAATCTGTGTTATTTAGCTGAGCATTGTCCTTTTGCAGGGGTCAGGTTAGCAAGTTCAGAAATAAAGAAACGATTTCAAGTTTCAAATAAATCAGAGAAAATATCGATAGTAAAGCTTGTATACGTGACATAATTAACCGGTAGAAAATCAACAGGCGTATGATAGAGATACAATGGAAAAAAATAAATTCAAGCCACTAATTGAGAAACAAACAAGCTTAGATGATCCGCATTACTAGTATCGGAGAACATTAAAATTAGGCGATGATATGATATATTCGCTTCAATATAATGCACTGTACTATCAAACAAATGGAGCAACTTAAGGGCGTCATACTTTTGTAATGAACAGTGCTTCGATGGTCCGATTGGAAAACAGTGAATACAGGAAAGGCGGGAAAGCACTTCTCCAGTAATTCGGTGCGAGTATTCCCTGGGTGACAAGGTCTGCTCCATACCCAAAACTCTTGGACAATACAATTCATCTGTGAGAGTTTCTTGCATATATTATTATATAAACTTGTGATCAAACAAATATATGGGCATCCGTCAAACAAAATCTCCTTGCTGTTGATTATCAAACAGCTTATCATTAAAGAAGACCGATCAACTTGACGACAAGAAATAATGAGATGATGAACAACGCCAAAAGATAAAAGTCCTAACACAGATGATCTGATAGAAACAGTGTAAGAGACAATCATACGAGTATTGTCAAACACATTTGAACAAAGGCATTTATGAGGTAAGTCAATCCACTTTGCTATTACCGAGAGTGAAAACGTGCCAGAACAGTAGTACCTACGCGCACCATAACACCAGGCAAACCTTACACGGGTCTAAGATTTCTAGAGGGATTGTACGAATGAGAAGGCAGGTGCTTACAATCTTGCTCATAATTACGCCGCAAGCAATAGATATAGGCCACAGAACCCGTTCACACGCGCCGAAATTGATGTTCATATCTCCTGTTGTAATGCTCCGAAACTATCAGGGAACCGAAGTCTGTATTGAAAAAAAAAAAAAAACAAGATGTTGAGTTAGACAGGACAAGACGTCGTAGATGTGAAGACGTGAAAAATCTTAGAAACCCATAGCCGACGATTCTTAGAGATTAATCATTTCCAAGAACGATGACATGACTGAGTCTGTCCTAAGTTTAACAGAAAGAAGCATATCGTGGAGAACCGTGGGGAACAAGAAAGCAGTTACATGAGAAAAAACCCGCATGAGACAGAGGGACCCAATTATAGATCACAATCGGAAATAAGAAATAAGAATAAGACGTACGAACTAGGATTATAAGAACGCGAAAAAAATTTCAGAAAACGCCTCCACAAGCATCCTTGTAAGACAGAGAAAACAGTCGCCAATCCGCGCTACTCCCCTGAAAAAAAAAAAATGAAAAATCCCCAAGCTACCCATGTCTTCAATTCCAGGGAGAGGAGTAAAAAGCAGGGATCCGACTCTTCGCGCCAGAGTCGCCTGAAATCGGCGAAGCCATCGCGGAACCAGATCCGGAGGCAGAGAAGGCAACCTTAGCGTCGCTTCCAAAAACGCCACTCGCAGATTGGGAAACACAGCTCACCAGAAGCGGACGAACGGACGCACGAGGAACGGGGAGAGTCCACCGAGTTTACCCCGACGACCGGGAACCCGTTCTCGATCTTTTCTACCGCCGCCGCCGCGAAGGATCGAGGAAGCTACAGTCGACGGCACTCCCCTCCGCCATTTTTGCACATCAGGCCGTCGCAAATACTCAACCCCCGCGGGAGAAGATCCACACGTCCAAGCAGCAGTGCCTGGTTCCCCCTACTCGTTCCAGAATATTCCCTCGAATTGGACGAGGAGTCGCCGACCTCTAGCGGCCGGGGCCACCACAGTTCGCCGTCGGCGAGAACTCCGGCGACAGGCCCGGTGAGCCCCGGCGGTTAACCTTACCCCCCACCGCCTGCTGCGCTGGCATTCTGCATCGAAGAAATTCAGGCGGGGAATCTTCGTGAGGGCGGAGTTGGAGCAGGTGAGCGCATCCATTGACCGGTGATCGCACACCGAACAAGACCGCGTCTTTTATAGACCATTCGCCATCCACGCACCCAAAAAAAGTAAATCCAAAGTTAAAATATAAACTTAATAAATAAATAAATGCCAGCGCTTCGGGCATCTTATCAGGTCTCGGATTTTGATTTCGGTGCTCTCCCGTCCTCCTCTAGAGGCCGTTGATATGTTCATAAATATTATTTTAATCAGAGCGCCGAATTGTTTTTTTAAAAAATACACTCGTAATTACGAGTGGATTTCTTTGTGGAAAAACCGGTTTTTATTTTCTTCAACCAATAAATAAATATATACCAGAAAAATGCGTGTTATTAAATAATTCGGAATTATCCGAATCATTTAGGGATAGTCATGCTTTGTTTTTAACGGCTCATTCCCTAGGAACGAAAGTACCCTGTTACCGTACTCGGATCACCATAGAGTCCGAATTATCTAATGAACAGCTAGCGAACAGCCAATGAACTGCTATCGCATCTCGAGCTGAGCCCACCAATGAGCAGCCAACTTTCTCGGCCTTTAACGAGGGAGCACGCGGCGGGCATGAACAGTTGGCGTTGACAATGATGGATCATACGCTGTTCCTCTCTAATTTCCCGAAATAAACGAAGAGGAGAAGGGTTTTTCTATGCCGTGGTTGGAGGGGAAGAGCACCGTCGACAGGGCGATAACCGAAGCTTCTTCCTTGCTTAACTCGCCGTCTCCGGCGGCGGCGCCTACCTGGTGGCGGCGGCGTAGGCGGCGCCGCCGCCGATGGGCTTCCATGCGGAGGCCGTGAGGAGAGGCAGGTCCTTCCACCCGAGCCTGAGGGCGCCGTTCTCCTCCACGAGGGTGTACCCGTCGGAGGGAAACATGCTGAGGAGGAGGGTGGCCTGGTGGGCGGCAGCTCCGCCGAGGGAGATCCCCCGGAAGCCGGACTGGCTCAGCTTCTCGCGCCAGTTCTGGAACTTGACCTCGCCGGTGCGGGCGGCGCCGCCCACCGCCAGCACGTTGCGGATCTCCCGCGAGAGCAGCTGCTGCTCCACGATATGCCGCTCGTGGGAATCCTCCGCGTAGGTCGCCCCCAGCGAGTCGAACAGCGCCGAGTAATAGTGGATCGCCTCCACGAACCGAGCCAAGAACGAGCCCGCATGGCTCAGATCCTGCTCCACCATCGTCACCACCTTCGGCGCCAACCTGTGCGTCACAGAGAAATCCCTGTTGATCTCCAGAACGCATCAAATTTACGGCGGTGGCTTGATTGGACAGGACCCGGGGAAATTTCCCCGACCCGTCCAATCAGCAAAGCACTAATCTTTGCGGCCGGAAGCTGAATCAATCCCATCCCCGACAAAGCAGGAAAGAACTTGGTGAAGACGGGGGAGCTAGTCCGCCGGTCGTCACTGTTAGCGGGCACAGTCCGCCATTGCCCCATTGTGAGAAAGAAAACATCTGCTAGTTAATAACCCATGAGAGTTATGAACCTTTAGGACTTTTCTGGGGTCATGGAAAGTGCCGATCGTCTGCCATTGTCGCCGGCCAAGAGAGCCAAAGATGAAACCCTGCCGGAGACGGCGGCGGTGCAATTCCAAATGGGGAAGGGGGACCGGTTATTCCCTGATAGAGAAACTTACCGCTGCAGTAGCCAAAGGGTGTTCGCGTCCGAACCCGTGACGTCGTAGAGCGAGTGGTGCAGCCAGTGGACAGCAACAGCCTCCCGCTTGCTCACATGTAGGCGCTCGGGGTCGACGTTGCCGGCTTTCTCCGCCACCGGGTAGAACTCAAATGGTAGCCCCAGCGTCTCTGCAAAGTCCGTCAGCCGCTTCCCCGTCGCCTCCAGCGCGTCCATCGACGTTCCCAGGCCGGTGAGGCGGACGTATGGCGGTCCTCCTGGCCTGGAGGCGAGAATGTGGAAGAGACCCGGCCATTGGAGGCCCTGCATAATATCCAGGTCGATGATGTGCACCCGTTCTTCCCTCTCGAACGCCTCCTGGATCGCCTGGTTCGCGGTGAAGTGGGAGAATTTGACGAAGGGGCTGATGCCGTTGAAGACCTGGTACGCCGTCGCGAGCTTCTGGCGGTGCACCGCCGCCGGGGGTAGCGGCGCGTAGATGCCCAGGCAAGAGCTCACGAGGCGGGCGGACATGGCTTCGGAGAAGTAGGCGGCGATGCGCTGGGCGGAAGTTCCGAACGGCGTCGATAGCTCTGAGATCTCGAGCAGCATGCGGTTGGCCTCCTCTAGGTTGTCGGCGGAGACGGCTTCGGCGCACTGGAGAAGGAGGGTCAGCAGGTGGAGCCCTTCCTCGTCTCGCTTCTGCTTCCTCAGTTCCTCCTTTTTCTCTCGCGTTGCCACCGCGGCCGCCGCTTGCGCCGCCGCAGCTGCGGCGGCGGCGGTTTCTTCTGTCGTAGCGCTGGTCTGTTGCTCCGGCTCCTGTTGCTGCTGCTGCTGCATCGGCGGCGGCGGCGGCGGCGGCGGCGGTAGCTGTTGAGAAGGGTACTGCTGGTTCTGTTGTGGCCGGTGCGGCTGCTGCTGCTGCTGCTGCGACGAATGAGGCAATGAGTTGGGTGGAGCAGCGGTAGCTGCGACGCGGCTGTGCAGCTGGGTCTGGTTGCCCTCCCAGTTAAGGAACTGGTTCGCCGGCGGCCTCCGAGGGGTCGACTGCACTAACGCCGCCGCCGCAGGCTGTGGGAGTCTTATCTCGCCTCTCTTTCCGGGGAGCTCGGCGATTCCGGCGGGGAGGGAGAGGGGAGTTCCCTGCAGTTGAAGATTGTTCTGGTGGTGATCGGCTGGAGTGGCGAAGGAGGAGGTGAGCGAGCGAAGGCGATACTCAAGGACGGCGGCCAGGTTAGGATTGCAGGGATGGACGATCTCCCTCACGTTCTGAATGAGCTGGGGGATCGAGACCTCCGTCGAGGAACTGGTGATCAGGTCCCGGATTATTCCATCGATCCAGGCGGTGGCGTTGCTCGAAGGACCGTCGTCGGCGGAGGAGGGAACAAGGGGAAGGCCACCATTGTCGCCTCGGTCGAGCTCCGACTGGAAGAGCGGCAGGCCCGAGAAGCCGCAGACAGGCGGCGGAGCGGAAGGCGGAGGAAGCCTCTGCAGGCCGCCGGGAGAAGGCAGCATAGGTTGCGGGCCAGCCCCGGCGTTGCTGCCGTCGATGTTCAGCGTAGGGAGGAGAAGAGAGGGAGGTCCCCCGAGATCTCCAACAAAGGTGGGGCTACCAGTGGTGGCGACGGGCGCTCGGCGGGAGAAACGCTGGTGGGCATACCCGGCGGAGGCATCCTCGTGGAGGTCGAGCTCGGCGGCGGTCCTCTTCCTCACCATAGCGGTAGCGTAGGCCTTCCCTCCCCACCCCAGGCCCTCGAGCTGCTGCGGCGGAAGTGGCGCTAATGGCGGCAGTGCCCACGCCTGTGCGGAGAAGCAGACGCTGCTACTATTCGCAGTGGCACAAGTATCGGCTGCGTTATTAATGGCGCCGCTGTTATTGCAGAGGGAGGAAGATGGGAACGGGGAGGAGTCGCCGGTGCTGCCGCTGTCATAGCGATGGGGGAGGAGGAGGCAGGAGGAGTTGGAGGCCATCAGAAAAAACAAGAGGAAAGGGTTCTGAGCCTGCTCAGGGGGGTTGGAAGCGGATGAAAGCGATAACGATAACGGCGACAATAATAACTACGAGATTGACAAGATGCAGACGGCAGCGTGAGGAAGAAAGAGGAGACGGCCCTAGCGGTGGTGGTGGTTCGAGGCGGGCCGCTCTGCTGGGGGGTTTAGTCCTACGCTCCAGGGGCAGGGATTCGGCCCTGCCCGGTCCGATTCCCACTGTCTTCCCCCTATCGCCTCCATAAAAATTCCATTTTTTTGACTCCGGGAGAGAGAGAGAGGAGAGGGGTTTCTTTTTTCAACTGAGGATGTTGAAATGGCCACGAGAATGACGAAGCCCACCCGAGTTGGAGTCGTCCGCCGGACCGGTGACAGCCGGAGGACCACTGGATCAGAGGAGGAGGAGGGGGTTGCAGCTTTTGGCGTGGGATACCAAGTGATGCTCTTTTCAGGAGCATATGTTTCCATCCGCCGCTCCCCCTCCCCGCCAGGACAAATTCTATTTTTGGCTCTTTCTCCCCGTTGCTCGGGCGAGTTACGAATCGGAGAGAATCATTGAGCTCACGGGTTTTACAGAAATAAGCTTGGTAAATCTCAGAACAGGTAGATTCGCCCGCCGCCATTCAGAAAATGTGGATTATTTGGCCGAGTCGAGGATTGGAGCTGTCGCTTCGTAGCTACAGCGTTCTCCGCCATCGCCTCCGTCTCGAGCAGTGCGAAGCTCTGCGCAAGGCCCCCACTCACTCTTCCTCCGGGATCTCCGCCCTATTGGAGCAATAGGCTGGAGAGAGCCCGGAACAGTAAGATCATTTGAGGGTTCTCGACCGAAGGATGAAGATGGAAACGATCTCCAGATGGGGATGAACAGTGAACGTCTGCGATCTCCGGGTTCGATCTTGGCGGAGGTAGCTCTATTTTGATGTGCTGACTTGGCAGATCCTAAATCTTTCGTGGCGGGGAAGTCGTTTGGCTCTCCCTCTCGCCGGTCGTTCATCATCCTCTTGCTGCCTCCGTCGACGACAGGTCACCGTCGACATCAGTCGGCACAGTTCGCTATATGACGTCGGAGCTGCCGAAATGGCCGGACAGGGATATCGATGGTTTCTTCAGATGGGAAGAGAGAGAGAGAGAGAGAGAGAGAGAGGAGGGTGGGGGACAGACTGAGAGGGGGGGACAGACAGGGACACGATGGCGGTCTATACGCACGGAGAGGCTACTGTCGCGACCCCAGGCCGCGGTTGTTTGGGAATACTTGTTCTCTTCTGTACGACTAGGGTTCCCTGCCCTCCCTGCTTTGGATGGAAGTGGAAGCTTCCCCTCGCTGTAAACCCTTCATCTTACCACCCTGGAGGCTTGTCCTACGGAAGGCAAGGTAGCTGCAGATTTCTAGGGTTGTAACTATCGGGAAGGTGAGAAGGAGCTCGGGTGGAGGAAAAACTGCTGTTCACCGGAATTTGATGATCCGGGAAGAATCCTGCGGCAGCCACATGGAACCCGAACGGCGAGGTGAAGGGTTTCTTCATCGTCTTCCCCCAGGTAAGGGTGGAGACAAAACGATGCATCTCAGGTCGGCAACTTTTGGCCAGAGAGGGAGCGCGTGACTCCGATCCTCTGGCTCGCCCTGTTCACTCCCCCAGTCGGTCCTATCTCCCACAGACCCCACATCGACTCGAGACCAGCCGAGCAAGAGAACAGCGACACGACGAGAGAGAGAGAGAGAGAGAAAGAGCAGCCGAGAAAGGGTAGTCGTCGTCAGTTTCTCACTGTTTCAGGATGGAAAGTCCGGTGTCTTTTCGCCTGGAGAGCAGCCGAGAAAGGGCATCCGAGACCAATCAGGGCGTGAAGCGGAGAGGATATAAGCACTGGATACTCGACACTCTTTCTCTCTCTATCGGGAGCCTGTGGTAGATCGCGGAGACTTTACAGGAACGAAGATAGTTCACAGATTTTACCTTCTAGGGAAATATTTAGGGTTAAGACGCTCGCTGATCATCTGTAATGTAAACTTCGTAAATCGGGTTTCCCAGTTTCACCGTTCGAACGGCCGGTGTGAATTCCGAGCAGAGATAGGTCGGCCGTCTTCTCCCATTTCGAGGGCGTCATCGGTAAGACCATTGCCAGCGCCTACCATCCAAACAAATACGGCAGAAGGTCGAGTCCCCGCTGTGGAGTGGTTCTCTCTCTCTCTCTCTATCTCTCTTCATTTTTTCAAGTGGGGATCAGCGGAGGAAAGGTATCATCATCCGCGGCTGAAAGCTCCCCTTTTCATCCTACTTTGCATGCGATGAAGACGAAGAATCGGTAGAAAAGAAGGAGCCCTCGCGGGCCTCGGAAAGTAGCTTTGGAAACTGCGGACGATGGCTCGGAAAGTGGACTTCAACTGCACCACTTTCCGACGACCCTCGTCATGAGTCAACGGCGGCAGCAGCCTACCTTCTCTCTACATTTGTATTAACTAATCACCGCCTGCCTAAAAACTCGGCTCCAGAAAAAGAACACGAGAGGAAGAGGAAGAGGAAGAGGAAGACCCAGTTTAATACGATCTTTTCAGGTCGGGAAGCTAAAACCCATAGCTCCAGAGGGAGAGGAGAATCCCGCCACCATGCCGGCGGCGGATCAGGCAGCGTGGCGACGCCGGCACGAGCCAACGGGGGGCTGCCATCGCCTCGGCATGTGGGGGCACACACGGAGACGGTCACGGCGCGTGGGCCGGCACGGGGGAAGCTCCGCCGCGGGCTACGCGCTCCTTCCGACCACCCCCCCACCTGCTCCATTCTCGCCATCGTTTTCTAGCTTCGAGCCCCTCTCTGGTTGTCTCCTTCCTCCTATCCCCGGCCGTGCCGCCTCTTCCAACTGGAGTCCTTCCCCCTTGATGCAAGCGGCTCTCGTCCTCTTCGTCTTGTTTCCATCCCCCGGTGAATTATTTAATCCCCATTACCCCGCTGCCGCCATGTGAAGCTGCCTCGGCCCCCATGTCTCCTCGTGGGTAAGTAGCAGCGCCGCCTCCCCAGCCGACCTACGCAGGAAGGCAGCGCCGCCGTGAACTGCGCAAGATCGATGGGCTCTGCTGGCCCTCGACGGCCTCGCTCGCATTGGCTTTTGTTCTCGCCCACATCGGACCAGTCGCCTTCCTAGCTGGAATCTTGATGCTCCCCTTCCACTATTGACCGCCATTAAAAGGCTGCGGTTCTGTGTTGGGAGGTCCAAATAATTTGGACCCTTGTGTAACAATTCAACCTTTATGAATTAAAAACCCAACCCCAATCTGCCACGTGTATTTTTCAGATCCCGTAAAGTGGGAAAAAAAACTGAGCTCCCCTCATTTTATTTCTAATGGGCGGCGATAACTTTGTTTTGCATGAGACCCCACATTTACTCTATATTATGATATCATCCCTCTTCAAAAGCCAGCCTATTGAAGAATCTGGGCCGTTTCTAGCGGGCCTTCCGGTCTGGTGGGCCCACATTCGCTATCGTGGGCCATGGACCTGTTCCTTGATTCTCCCCCAATCCATCCAGTCGTCTTCCTTTACCCTTTTGGGGCCCACGTCCGACGTGGAGAACCCATTCCAGTTCTATTCAAACCTTTCTTTCCACTTCTCCCCGTTGAGCTATGACCGGGTAGGTATCCTTCTCCCGCGTCTCATCTTCCATCTTCCCCCCTTTGTTCTTCCCCTCCTCCATCGTCAGACAGGAAGCTGTTCTGCAAGATGCTGAAGAAACTCATCAGTAGAAAGCCCAAGAAGGCGCAGTCGACGCTCGCCACTTTGGATAAGCTCCGCGAGGTAACCGCTCTCTCCTTGTATGCTACGATGTGTGAGAATTTTAGCGTTTTCGGTTCGCCGTCCGATGAACTAGGTTTGAAGAGATCGGGTCGGAATCATATTTTTCTAATGCATCTATATTCCTTTCTCTCTCACTCCATTTGCACCCGTTTCTCTGCTGGACATTTTCAGTCGAAAACAGCGTGTGAGAGATATCCTGGATTTCCTCCTCGTATTTCTAATTTTTGGCGCAGAATGTGTTTTCCCATCGTAATACTTGCCTTCAAGCTGAGATGGTGTTTGTATCATCTGGACCAGAACGTTTGGTTTTGCGGATCAAATGTTTGTCGCTGATATTGTGCCTTGCTGACGCTCTAATCATCCTGTTTAACTAGAGACTGGGTAATCCTTCAGATCAAACTGTGTAGCTTGGTAAATTGATAAATCTAAAGCGTTGTAGGAAAGCTTTATCAACTTGTAATGTAATCAGGATCTGATTTTGACTTTGCGACCTTCGTAGCCTCTATTATAATCGCAAGACAATCATTAAATGTTCTTTGTCTTGTGTGTAGCTGGTGTGGTGCTATTGTGACTTCATATAGCTACTGCGATTCCGTCTTGCAAGAAAAAGTGCAATTAGATGTAATTTAATGAGATTTAATAAAATAGCAATATTTTATATTTGCTAACATTGCATGCTCTCAGACATTGGAAAATATGGAGAAGAAGGAAGATGTACTTCGGAAGAAAATTTCCAGAGAAGTCGAAAAGGCCAAGGATCTGGCAAAACTAAAGAACAAAAATGGTGAGCTTAGTCTCCGCATCATGAATTAGTCAGTTCTTCGCAATAATTGTTTTCGTTATGATAATTTTAAACGGCAAAAGGCGAAGGCGAAGGCTTTCTTCCCAAATCTATCAAATCATGGTAAAGATGATGAAACATTCGCAATCCTTAATGTTTTTATCCCGTGTCTTGCCTATCCATGTTTTACTTGTAGCACTCAGGTAAGCTTCCAGGCTTAAATGCCCAAGGTATTGCAATTTTGAGAACGTCCCATGCGCCAAAATATCGTGCACACAAAAACCACGGATAGAACTTTTGGTTATAAATATTACTTTATGCCACGCGGAGAGAAAAGTATCCTGCCATGTTTGGCATGCCCATCGTCTCATGGGAACAATGATGGAAACTCATGAGATGGAATATTTAATCTTCTTAGTTAGTGATGTGAACGGCTGTGCATGGCATTTATTTGCAAGGTTACCTTTCCATTCTTGCAGCTGCAATTCAGTGTTTGAAGAAAAAAAAGCTATATGAAGCTCAGATTGAGCAGCTTGGAAATTGCCAACTAAAAGTTCACGATCAGGTGTCCCCCGTGAACCAAAACAGATGTGTTATCCATCGAGAGAGATGTTTTTTGGTACTTTAGAATTTCAATATAATGCATATGATCTCGTGTAGATGATCGCCATGGAAAATGCGAACGCAACAACTGAGACGGTTGATGCTTTAAGAAGAGGTGCATCTGCAGTGAAGTCAATCAACCATTCTCTGTAAGAGAAAAACTTGTCACTCGAGATATCTCTTTATGTGTTTTTTTTTTTTTTAAAATCTGAAAAACATGCCATAAAGCAATGCCCAAAAGGTGGATGGGAAGTTAAAGCGGCCAAACTTCTAGTTCCATCATTTCTTTGACGAATAGTTCGAAAATAGATGAGGCCACGTAGAAAAATTGGCTGAAAAAGGCATCGGTTTGGTTTTTCTGATCTGAACACCTTGTTCCATTTTACAAAACATTAGCATCAAAACCTGGCATTTCTTGCTTATTGATTGTCTTGCCATTAGCCTAACTACCCTTGTCTTCTTGGGGTCGCCTGCTTATCGTCATTTTTTTCTGCCTATTTCCTGTTACAATATCGTTGAACAATGCATGCACCTGTTACCAATGCCTAAAGTGACTATAAACAACCTGGTGGATCATCTAGCCTCCTAGTTGTATAGGGGGGATATTTTATTTTCTGCGGGGAAACTATCAGCCATAGCTCGAATTGGGACACAAGTTCCCATTTCTAGACCATCTCCCTTGCAAAATCTTCTTGCCTTTGCCTGCTATGATGGATGAACCAGTATAATATATTGTCCTGGGCTTTGCTTACTGGAGAGCCAATGCTTCAAGGAAGAAAGAAGAAAGTTGCCATAGACCTTTAAATAGCTTCTGTATTGGCATTTGCAACACGGAATGTTGCCGATTTTGGTATTTTGACTATTGTTTTCCTAATCATTGTCCTTTGCGCCTCTCCTCTGACATGTAATTAGAAATAATTATTCAATAATGTTAACTTATATTTTCAGAATCAGACCCACTAGACCAGGATTCTCAGTATAGATGTCCATCTATCAATTCCCCCCCCCCCCCCCGGCTCAATAATGTCCAGTGGGTCCTAATCCACATGCCACGCCTGCAGCATTCTTTCTCCTTGATTGAAGCACTCCATTATTTTTACCATGGTTGGTTATCTTTCTTTCTTGGGCCATGCAGGAAGATCGATGAGATCGACAAGACAATGGAGCAACTCGGTGAACAATCAGAGAACATGAAGCAGATACAGGAAGCCCTCGCTGTTCATTCCTTCGCAGCAGACGACTTTGACGAGGTTTGATTCGCCATTGTTCTGCATAATATTCACCCACGAACTTATAATTTATTTCCTTGAAAGGCAAGGTTTTTATTTTGATTCTCATGAAGCGGACGATTTATGAAACTTGAACGAAAATGATCGCAGGACGAATTAGAAGCTGAGCTTGAAGAATTGGAAGAGATGGATGAACAACTTCCGCAGCCGCCACAGACCATCCCGGCGCCGCCGATCGTGTCGGCCCAGGAGCTTCCGGCTAGAGAAGTTGACGACCTCGCTGTGCGCCAGGCTGCCATGGCTCTCTGACCGCGCAAACTCTGACATCCCTGGTCAGCTTGGTGACGCCAGAATCTCCTATTTCATGGAGATTTACTCGCCTCTGTATTGTTCATAGGTAGATAGATTGACCTCTCAGGTTCTTGTACTCGTTTGTACCCTTTGGTGTATATATAATTGGGTTCCACTTATGTATGTTTGGCGGTCCATGCGCTATATAGAGAGAGAGAGAGAGGGAGGGAGAGAGAGAGAGTTCGGGCTCTGGGCTGCAGCTTAACGAATCATGGGCCCGGACTGGCCCAGTCTTACTCAGTGGCGGGTGAGGGGGAGGGTGTGTGGTCGTCGTCTGTGGGGATTTCCGTCGAACGGGTAAAGCGAACAGCGGAAGCGGCAGTATCCTGCCGCTGTAGCGGCGGAGCTCCGGAATAGCAGAGTCCGGGGGGTTCTTCCTCCCAATCTCCGGGAGGAGCTTGCAGCCGCGCCACACCTTCGAGTGGAGACCTCACCGGGGATTCGACGAGTCGGCTGGCGCAGAGGTCGCCGGCGAGCCGAGTCTGAGGGAGACTCGCCGGAGGAGGAGAAGCGGGAGAAAGCAACAGGGGGGAACTAGGAAGGATGATGAGAGCGGCGCTGTGGTGGCGTAGGAAACACCCATCTTCCGCCGCCGGGGGGCTCTTGTCGTCGGCGGCGGGCTGCCTCGACGCTTCCGGCGCGGCGGAGCAGAAAGAAGCGGCGGCGACGAAAAAGACGAGGAAGCGGAAGGATATCCCGCTCTTGGGGATCGATCTACCCGACGTATGGGATCCTCTCCGTTCCTCTTCTCCGGGAGGGCCTCCTCAGAACTCTGGTAAGCAACACTCGAAGGCACTTTGATTCCAGCTTTCTGTTTTAAGCTCTGTTGTCCTCATTGCTTGCTCATATGAACCTGAAACTGCATCGGACTGTTGCGCTGGTTCCGCTTTGATGTGCCGTGCTGTGCTTTTCTCCACGCCATTTACAGTATGATTTAGCTGCAATCTCTGCATGAAAGCTTCAGAAGAACATACCCGAAATGACCGGCTGCTGATCAATGCAGCATAAGAAAACTTGGTAGTTTTATTATTCATGTTATCTGATTTGTGCATGTTAGTTTGATCCTATGCAAACCATCTTATCCTGATCTCCGTGTCCCAGATAGACTGGTTCCAACCGTGATCGACGGGTCGGCCATGGCGGCCGAAATAAGATCAGAATTAGCTGAAGAAATCCGGCGGATGAAGGATGCTACCGGAAAAGTGCCCGGCTTGGCCGTTGTGTCGGTGGGTCAGAGAAGGGACTCCAAGTCTTATGTTAGATTCAAAATAAAGGCTTGTCAGGAAGTGGGCATCAAATGCCTGCTCGCGAATTACCCCGAGGATTGTGCAGAGGACGACGTAGTCAACGCCGTTTCAGATTTCAACGATGACCCATCAGTTCATGGTGTTCTTGTGCAGCTTCCTCTGCCCCAGGTAAACCTCTTCATCTACGCCGGAAAATCCCATGATTTCTGTTCCCGTTTCTTGTTCCGACACAAACGCGAAGCAAAAACCACCCTCGTTTCTCTGAGCAGCGCATGGACGAGGAGAGGATCTTGGGCGCCATCAGCGTGGAAAAGGATGTCGACGGGTTCCATCCTCTCAACATGGGAAATCTTGCTCTGAGGGGCAGAGAGCCGCTGTTCATCCCCTGCGCCTCCAAGGCCTGCATCGAGTTGCTGCTCCAAACTGGTGTTGAACTCCGAGGGAAGAATGTCGCCGTGATCGGACACAGCAAAGTGGTCGGCCTGCCGACATCTCTGTTGCTCCAGGTGATCAATTCTTCTCCCAAAAAAACAGCCTCCTTTTTTTTTCTCTCTCTCGTCATCCTCTCTGCGCTCCTCTCAGAGGCACCATGCAACAGTCAGCGTCGTCCATGCCTTCTCCAAGAACCCAGAAGAAATCACACGCCGAGCAGATATTGTGATCGCAGCCGCCGGAGTCCCCGACCTGGTCCGCGGCAGCTGGCTGAAACCAGGAGCGATTGTCGTTGATGTGGGAACGAATCCAGTCGAGGTAAAATCTTGGATGATGATGCTCTCCATTTATTCAGTCTAAGTGTGATGAGCTTACGGACTACAAATCATGGCAGGATCCCCACAGCGAGTATGGCTACCGGCTCAAGGGCGACGTCTGCTATGAGGAAGCCTTGGAGCTGGTCTCTGCCATTACACCCGTTCCCGGGGGAGTCGGCCCGGTGACCATCGCCATGCTCCTCTCCAACACCCTCGACGCCGCCAAACGTGCTTATGGGCTCTCCTAGTCCTCCACTCCTCTCATGTTCATATCATTTTCTGTGCCATTTGAGAAGCAGATGGAGTTTCTCCGGAAACTATGATGAGGTAATTGGACATAGCAAATATAATTATGGCATTAAAAAAAAGGGGGCATCTTTGACCTCGGGCCGGGCCTAATCTTCTCTGGGTTATTGCATTAAATCAATTTCAGGCTCTTCTAAGCTCTCTTAAGGTACTCTCTCTCTCTCGCTAATGGGCCAGCTGAGGTTGGTCTCGTTGATGACGTCTCTGATTATCTACCCATGTTCTGATTATTTAAATGATGGGTCTTCCTGTTGGAGAGTGCCGAGGGGAATTTTCTAGGGTTAAGAAATCAGAGTTTTTGAAGTCTGATGGAGAGAGTGGAGTTTGGTGCAAGGAAATCCCCTGTCTGTTGCTAAGGCACGTGGGGGGCGGCGGCTCGGTGGCTTGCCGTCCACGACGTCACCGCATCGACGGCATCGTTCCTCTGGGGGGGGCGGTTCGGCTCTCCGCGTCTTTGTGAGGAACGCGGTGCCGCCTTCCAGAGGGGGAGCAACCGTCGCGCCCAGCCTGATTTTCCCTCGTTTTCCTTGCCGGAGCTCCGCCTCGATACTGTGAAGGCCTGGAAGTGTCGTACTTCGCGTGGCCCGTCGTTGCCTCCGGCTGCTGTTGCTCGCGTCTGCGGGGTGACGGAGAACCCTAACCTCGTTTCCCTCGCGTGAGTGGGTTTCCTTTTTATTCCCTCGGCCATGGCGGGAGGATCGGAATTCTTGGGGGATCTGAAGAACCTGAGGCACTAGGTTGAAGCAGGGAGGTGCTGCGCGTTCCTCGATTCTGTGGTGAACCATGGAGTCTGAAAACAGTGCCTCGGAGAGTATGCAGAGTCCCGGTTTCCTGGTGAGCTGCATTCTAGGGGGGGCCTTCCTCGGGGTTTCCGTGTTGGCCTTCCACTTTGGAGCGCCGGTGCCGCTTCTAAACCAGCTCTCCTCAATCCTGCCGGTGGTTGGTAAATGGAAAAGGAGAAAGAAGAGACCAGTGCGTGTCTACATGGATGGATGCTTTGACATGATGCACTACGGTCATTGCAACGCCCTGCGTCAAGCCCGAGCTCTTGGTGATGAGCTTGTCGTGGGAGTCGTCAGTGACGACGAGATCATCGCCAACAAGGGTCCTCCCGTTACCCCATTGAACGAGAGGTGAGATATTGTATTTCAACGCTCATATTTGGTAAACTTCACCACCCAAAAAAAATACTTACAATAATCCTGAAGATTACAGATAGTGGAACTAGAATATTAGGTCAATTCACCTCCCCCAACCCCCCTCTTGGTTCCTTGTGCTGCCTTAATTTAGTGAACAAACTATAGTGATTAAAAAAATTAATCTACGATACATTCAAAGATCATTTAGAATTCAAGGCGATTAAACTTTTAGTTCTTATCGTTAACAAAAAACCTAGATTGCAACATTATATATTCACATCGTACTATTAGCAAGAGAATATTATTCATGTTCTTGTCTTTTCCCGCTCTTGCAGCTGTCACTATTTAATTTCTGGTGTAATTATATTTTTTGGAGAGTTTTAAATTGTGATTTGTTTTCAGGTATGCCCATTTAATGAGAATTGCATATTTTTCCAAAATTTCCTCTCACTTGCCCGCCTTGATCTTCTGTAATAATTTTTCCTTCTTGGTTTATATCTTCGCATGCATTTGTTTATGCATGTCGTCAATTCCTCTGGGGTGCCCTTCATCCTAGAAAAAGTATATATATGTTCTCGCGTGCCCATATCCATAGATGTTGGAACTTCTTGTCTTGTTGAGAAAAGATGTAGGCAGAAATATTTTAGAAATCCGGTATCCTAAAAATTCGAAGGGAAGTAGCCTTCATGTGAAATTGTAACAGATTATCCAGGGGAAAATCACTTTCTATTACGATTACTGTCATTCAGTGAATTGACCCCATAGAAGTTTAGTTCCTGCTTCATCCCAAGATATTTAGCAACTATTTATAACCCTATGAAGGAGGAAATGAATTTTTTTTCTGTTTACTATCTTTGTATTTAGAATGGATACTTCATCGTATCTGATTTTCCTTTCAGACATATTCCTTTCTCTGAAACACTTCCTTTACAAAATATTGCACTATTTATGGATGCCTAGTTGGACTTATTTTCCTTCAGGTTAATGGAGGTAAGTCATTTTTTCTATTTTTAGTTTAATCGGTTTTTCAAAATTTATATATTTAACGAGTGAATGTCTCTAGGAGGTTGGAAAGTTCCTTTTTCTATACGTGTAAGCTGGTTGTTTCGTATCTTAGTCACTCAGTAAAATTATGCCTCTTCTTTCGTGTACATTTATATTATTTCATTCATTGCAGGATAATAATGGTGGGTGCCGTGAAGTGGGTAGACCAGGTTATTCCAGATGCCCCTTACGCAATCACTGAAGAGTTTATGAAAAAGTTGTTCAATGAATATAACATCGACTATATCATCCATGGGGATGACCCTTGTCTTCTTCCAGATGGCACTGATGCTTATGCCCTTGCCAAAAAGGCTGGCCGATATAAGCAGATCAAGAGAACTGAAGGGGTATCAAGCACAGACATTGTTGGTATGGGAGGCTGCTCTTCTTTCGCTTAAGACTCTAACCTATTAGTTCCTTAAGCTCTCTCTTGTGTTCACCATCTCAAACCAAATCATTTCCTGCCCTGGGGATTTATACTGAAATTTTTTTGGCACCATCTGGGGTTTACACAGTCGTATTGCAAGAAATGCTATTTTTTAATCATTGATGATAAATAGTCCTTTATCATTATTAGTATTGCTATCATTTTGAGCTGTGCTGAGATGTATTGAATAATATATGTAGGTATTATCATCCTTTTCTTGGAAGATATAACGTTAAAAAGAAAGTTAGAGCTCCTTGTGTTACTTTCTCATTTGAAAACTGTCGCTCTGGAAGTTGCCCAATTGATTATTTTCTATCCACTCTAGAACTTGATCATATGTTCTTTTTTCTTTTTTTCTTTTTTTTTATGCATCCAAGTGGTATTGGTAAAAATAATAGTTTATTATTGACAGGTCGGATGCTTCTTTGCGTAAGAGAGAGATCTCTTGGCGATACTCATAATCATTCTTCCCTACAGAGGCAGTTCAGTCATGGGCACAACCAAAAGTTTGAGGACGGTGGGTCCGGCAATGGAACACGGGTATCTCATTTCTTGCCCACGTCTAGGCGAATTGTACAGTTCTCAAATGGGAAGGTAACCTTTCATTTTTTATGTACGGATTCTTTTACATATGTGGTTGTCGGGCTAAAATTATGGGTACGAGGAAAGGCTTCAATCAACGCATTTTGGTGATTTCAACTTTCATGCGATGGACATCCTTTTTCTCTCTCAAATTTGACCAAGAGGCTCTTACAAAATCCTTGCCTACCACCATCTGGTGAATCGTTGCTACCGTTTCTTCCTCTCATAGACCTCTAGCTGTTGACCTTCCCCACCCAGTCCATCCTTTCCCCCTTGAAATTGGGGGGAATTGGGTTTTGGTTTGGTGTCCTACTAGTCCATTGGCTGGCTTTGGGTAATACGTTATCAGAAATTCGACTTGAATACAATGCACGGGCTTCGGTTGAAATTTATTTCCTTCCCACACTGCTGGTAGCTTCCACCATACAGGCTTTTCACACACTTGCTTAGACTAGTCTGCTGTGGCCTTCTGACTTCCTTGAGATGCTAGTTGCAAGTGACTCACACTATGGATGATAAGCCAAGGAATTTTCTGCTGGACGAGCGAATCATGTATGATGTTGTCGGTGGAATTGGTTGGTTCCTTATCGTGAACAGATGGTATTGGCTGTATCTATCAAGTTAAGGTATGATAGAGACTGTTGGGATTAGTTGTGCATGGGAAATTAATGTGTGTAGATTAGAGCTTATTTATTTGTTGATATATTATACTTGATCATCTGGGGGACCTCTCTTTTCCTAGATTTTTTATAACTAGAAGAATTGCATTATTTACTTGTCGCGTGTTGGTGCATCTCTGCATTATCTTCCTTGTCGTATGGTTTCCGTGATTTTTTAAGTGAATTTTGATCGTTCGCTAATTGGCAAACCGTTCCTTGCATTAAGAATCAATGTCCTTTCTGTACTTTGCAGGGGCCGGGACCAGATGCTCGTATAGTTTATATAGATGGTGCCTTCGATCTGTTTCATGCTGGACATGTGGAGGTATAGCTTTTTCTTTGCTCTTCTTGGGTCATGATATATGATATGAAATTTGGATGTGGACCCGAGTATTCTTTACTAAAAACAGCAAATTGATAGCGGCATGCTTGCTAGATATCAAGCACACTTGTCAGATATCAAGCACACTTGATAGCGGCATGCTTGCTAGATATGAACTTTTTCAAACATGACGAGCACCTTGTTAGATATCAAGCACACTTTTTTTTTTTTTAAAATGTCAAGTTGATTCTGGTTATAAACGTGAATCATGTGGGAAAACTAAGATTGATAACATTGTGATACGGACAACTTTGTCACACAGGAGTCAAACTCTAAGTCAAGATAGGCTATGAATCTGTTTCAGTTAAGCAATTTTTTTCATGCTGCAAAAGGTTCTAGAGTGTCCTTCGCTGTCTCCTTGTCAGCCTGATCATAGGCTCCGGACAGAATTTCTCCATTTGTATAGACTTCTTGATGATGACCAATTTTTAGGTAAAAATCTATATCAATGGGGTAAGACGATGTTATTTGGACATCAATTTCCGCCGTCCAAAAAAATGATTTTGTACTTGTTTTCGTTCTTACCTTCAATATATTGATGACTCCATTTGCTCACAGATATTGAGGCTTGCCCGAGGGCTTGGAGATTTTCTGCTCGTTGGAATTCACACAGATCAAACAGTCAGGTTTCATCCTTCGCTCTCATTTCTGTTTTTCTCTATTCCAGTTGGGCCATTTTCTTGGGACCCTCATATTTAGTCTCCACGGGTTGACATTATCATCCCCACCTGGCCGAATAGTGAGCACAGAACTGTCCATTCTTGCATACAACAGCATTGACTGAGCTTTCTTTTTCTTGTGGAAAGAAATCACTGCCGACTGCTGCATATCTCATTAAGCATGATAATCGAGGTATTAATCTCACGTAATGGTTGCTGCAGTGCTCATAGAGGAGCCCATCGTCCCATTATGAATCTTCATGAACGGAGCTTGAGTGTCTTAGCCTGCCGCTATGTAGACGAGGTGATCATTGGGGCACCGTGGGAGGTGTCGAAAGATATGGTTGGTGCCTGCTTTTCAGTTTCTTTCCTACCTTTTTTTTTTTTTTTTTTTGAGATGTTTGTGAAGATGTCGATATTTCTAGAAAATATTGCAAAACGAATGAAGCATGCTGCAGGATTGCATCTAAAACCGAAATATATTTGACCATTTTGTGAGACATGACAGATCTTACCCAATCCTTTTCCATCTATCGTCTATGGAAAGTTGACAATTTTCATCCTTGTTTGACTTGTTGGACCCATGCGTCTGGGTCTCACTGTCTGCCACGGACTGTGGCTATATCTTCTCAGCATCTTCAAAAGCTTTAGCCTTTCTTCTCCAGCTACGATTTTACTCTCAGATGCATCTATTTTTTTAATAACCCATGTTTTTAGTACTCTTCTCCGTGTTGCTGAAAGTTCTATCTTTCCAAACTCTGCTTTGCCGCAGATGACAACCTTCAACATCTCTCTGGTCGTTCATGGAACAGTTTCTGAGTACAAAGACGTCCATAAGGTAACTCAGATAGCCCTGGTATGATCCGATTTCAGGCATACTGCAGCCCTAATGCCTGCCTGCCTGCCTGCTTCCCTTCCTTCTTCTGGAAATGTGGTTCCATTCCAGGAGAACTCCAACCCCTACGCCGTTCCAATCTCTATGGGCCTCTACAGACAGCTTGAGAGCCCGCTGGACATCACGACCAGCACGATCATCAGGAGGATCGTCTCTAATCACGAAGCCTATCAGGTATCTCTCTCTCTCTCTCTCTCTCTCTCTCTCTCTCTCTCTCTCTCTCTCTCTCTCTCTCTCTCTCTCTCTCTCTTTATCTCTATATATATATATATTTCTTACCCACCTTCCATTTAAGGAAAATTTCTCTCTCTTGATCAAGAATGGGTCCTCGTTGATCTCCTGCAGAAGCGAAACGAGAAGAAGGAAGAGAGTGAGAGGAAGTACTACGAGAACAAGGCTTTTGTAGCGGGCGACTGATTGGCGTGCCCCATTATATTCTGACCCCATGACGCCTTTCTTCCTCTTCCTCTTCTTCTCTGCCTCTGGATTCGGTACTTGTTCTGTTTCTGCCGCTCCCATCTCCCACATGAATGAATGGAGAGAGAGAGAGAGAGAGAGGGAGAGAGAGCTCGCAGCTCTGTATCTCTCTATCTCCCGACCATCCTCCAGCTTCGGTGCCCATCTTGAGCCACCCGCCCGTCTTAGGCTTGAGTTCTTTAATCCGCTCTGGTTTGCTGCGAGTTGTTGTCCATATCCATCTTAATGAAGTGTCACATGTTAATCATACTAATTCTTTGTTTAATTATGGGACGTAGTCAGGGTGGGTGGGGGCTGGCTTCCTTCTCAGATTCGATCTCATATGCTCCCAGTCTAGAGAGAGAGAGGAGAGAGGAGAGAGGAGAGGGAGATTAGCGGCTTTGTTCTTTAACCTGGTCGGTAAAGCCTGCTCCTTTCAGCGGCGCGCGTGCGGGAGCCCATCCACGTGCGGAGCCAGGGGGAGCCAGAAAAGCCAGAAAAAAAACACGGCGTGTAAGAAAAATATCGTCGAGCATAATTATAGTAGGCCCTGGAGGGGATGCCACGTCCCCCCCATTGACCCTGGAACCGCCACTGACACCCTCCACCACACACAGCAGCGCTGTTGCACGTGCCGGTGCTACACGTGCGTCGCCCCCGCACCTCCCCCCAAAGTTAACCCTCTCACGTGTGCCGCGCCCCGACAGACAGCCGACGTCAACGATGGCGACGCACGTTAGAGGACGCCTAACGTGATCCCACGAAGTTACATCCATTTACCCGTCACTCCCTTTCTCTCGAGTACACAATAAGAAAAGAGGAGCATCGTACTCCGCTCTGGTGGCCCCGCCCCAGCCTCCCCCCCCTCACGAAGCATTGAAGCGGCTGCTTCGGGTGGAGATACCGTTCTCCTCCGTGATGGCTCCAACGGCAGATCCCCCCGCGCCGAATAGAACCGGAAGGTCACGGGATCCTGGGCCCTTCCGCGGGAAGGAAGAGGCTCCAATTTCCTTAAACGGGACGAGATTTGAGCGCGATTGGTTGGTTGGTTGGTTGTGGGGAGGATTTCCTCTAATACAAGTAACGGCTACCCGCCGATCGCTCAATTATTTAATTTATTAAATATTATTTAGGGAAAATATCGTGGCCGTCCTTGGGCACGACTCCCCCTGCCATCCACCCCTGATTCACCATTCGAGAGCGAACATCCAGTTTCTCTCGGCCGATTGCACCGTCCGCCATCTAGCGCATTGTTGTCTACCGTCGGCCGTAGACGACAACACTCACGTCGACGAGTGTTGACCCGTCGTGAGTCCCCGCTTTCAGGTCGTCGGCAGACGACGCAGCCACGCGCCCTCAGCCGACTCGTGCGTGACTCTCCCCATCGGCGAGTCGATTCCAGCAGCCGCCCGGAGCGTCGAGATCCTCCATCGGCGAGTGCGCGGAATCAACCCCTGGTTTAGGTTTCGGGGGGCCTGCGCGGTTCCCTGTCCCTCTGCGCGGTTTCGGCGCGGTTCCCATTGTTGCTGCGGCCGCTCTCTCTCTCTCTCTCTCTCTCTCTCTCTCTCTCTCTCTCTCCCCTCCTTCTCCCTCTGTCTGTGATTACGGCACCCGTAGGAGCGACGCGGTAGCACGGGCTTGCGACCTCTCATAACTTCCTGCCGCAGGTTACGATCCTCGTCGTGAGTGTGTACTTTCGCCGTTCAGCATATTATGGGGGTTGGTTAATGTATTTCCGTTTCTGCTGGTTCGGCCTGACTCTTCCTTTCCGCGTGACAGTGGGGCCGATTCTTCGATGTTTTGCCTCAGTGTCATCCAACACGACCTCCGGCTACCGCCCCACCTGCTTAGCCTCTCTCTTCATAAGGCTATTAGAGGGCAGCTTGAGCGTCTCTTCTTAGACAAGGTCGTCGCGTTCTGTGTATTTACATTTATTTGGATACTACCTCTCTCTCTCTCCTACTTTCTTTACTCCCTTTCGAGTTTTCTAATTCATCTAATCTGTATATCTACTTATGACTGAAGGTTATTTCAAATTTGGGTCTTTGCGTTTCTGTCTATGATATCCAATCCGTTGAGGGTGGCTTTATCTTCCCTGGCGATGGGGCGTCCACGTATAAGGTGCTTTCTTATTTGAACATGACAGAATAATCAATGAAGTATTTCTTTTTTTAGATGAGCTACTAAAGGTAGGCAGTGCTGCATGTAGGTTAGCAACTTATTCTTGTTTTTAATGGAATACTATCTCTAATGATGGGTGGAGTGAGTACTACAAGTCTGAAATAAGCAAAGAAGAATAGACTAAGATGCTATAAGTGGACTTTCCTTACAGGAAAATTTAGATCCCCCAGGAAAGAACATTGTAACCATTTGTAGATCGAAAAAAAACATTCAGGGCATAATCTCATCATAGTATTGATTCATTCTTGGAATCTTTTTGGACTGGCTCAATCTTAGTCAACATTTCTACAGGCTTTATTCCTAACTAGCGTGATTTATAGATATATAACGTGGGTCACTATTTAGCTCTGTTGTTTCCAGAATTTTGGTTAGAACCGAAGTATTGACTTCTTTTTCGTACCAGAATTGTTTTTAGTTACTTCTTCGTATGCATGCTCTTTTGAGGTTGTCTATTTTTAATGTTTTTGCCCAAAAATGTTACTTTCACGAATTTTTTAAAGACTAATTTAGTTTATTTTCTCATTTTTCATCTGAAGTTTTTTACTGTCTTTTAGAATTGATATTATGAACTCTTTCCATCTAGGAAAAAAAATATTATTTGAGGAAATATCCCTACGCTTTGGAATGTCTTTGTCGTTCTTGTAGTATTAATTCAGTTATGTGATAGGTTGTATTCAGATTGGTGATGTTTCGTCCATTTGTTGGCGAGGTTCTGATTGGAAAACTTGAAGCATCTAGTGAGAGTGGCTTGAAAGGTATGGCTTTAAGTTTCCTTTTTATACCTGAGGGTGTTCAGCTTATTTTATATAACGTTATGAAATGTTTCAACAATGTTGTATTGCTCTCTAATTGCAACTTCTCATTTGTCTTTCTTCTTTGGTTTGTCCTTTTTATTGAAATTTTTAAATGTTAACCTTGTTTTCTGGATTTTATATGTTTGCAACTCCAATATTTTCTTGATCTTAGGATAATTAGTTCCACGGGGACTGAGAGGTGTTGTTGGGTGAATGGAAGACGACTGTAACAGTGAAAGAAAATAACGATATCTGAGGAGGATCGGACATATAACAGTTAAGATAAAAGTGCATATTTACATTCGTGTTGGCGATTTTAAGAAATATTCCATAATTTTTGAAGTTTAATGGAGCATGCCACTCATATTATCCTCTGATAAACATTAATGAAGTTGAGATAGAGTAAATGCAATTTTTTAGTTTTCAATGCGCTGTTGGCTATATTGAGGACTTTCAATGCTATGACTTTCATTGTTTAGTCTAAACGTTGGGAAAGGTTTTGTTAAAATGTCATTTTCGCGTCATTGGCCATTGTTAACACTCAATGGTCGTCTAGATAATGGCCAAAAGAACTTCTTTCGAAGGAATGTTTGTGTGCAACATGCCCCTAAACAAGTAGTTCCAACTTCTTTATTAGGGCAAGAAAATATCCTAAAATTGATATTACACTTGCTTGAAAACAAGACAACGAGGTGGCGGCCAAAATTCAAGAGGAATCTCGAGGATGACGAAGTTCCGAAACTCAAAAAACCTTTTGAGCATGCTTGTAGAGAGGAATATCCGTTGTGCATAGACAACGTTGGAGATGGGACAGAAAGGGAATGTTTTGATGGAGGCACTAGACATCCTCTTTCTCCTTAAAAAATAAAATTTTGATGAGCTAGTTGCTTTTATAAATAATGTTCGCAATATGTGCAGTCTGTGGAAAGGAAAAAAAGACTTGGGAACATTTATTTTTCTTTGGTAATCCTTTTCTCGGGGATTTGGTATTTCTTATGCCTCAATCACGTAGGTATATAGTGCCAATGAGCAAGTCATGTTCATGATCTGGGGGCATATTTGGGTTAGAACCGTCTACGAAATCTTGTATGGACGCTTTTAGGGGGGAGAGCAGTCCACCGTAAAGTTTTGATTGTTTGCTTCCAAGAAGGTGTAGGGTGTAGGATTGGATGAGATTGGGTAGGTTTGGAGGAGACGATTTTGCTTTTCTGGGTGTTCTTAGATTTTTATGTTTGGTTCAACACCATGTTTTTGATTGGAGACAATGGTGATGAATAGGGACTCTTTTTGAAGGCTCGGCTCAGAGATAACACGCCGAACATAATTCTATCCTTTTAATGATTTCAAGCAGTTTCCTTCATCATTTCAAATGAGAACTACCCGGATACAATTAAGGATTTGAAAGCAGCTTAAGCTCATTCCTGATCATATTTGGTTCAGGAGTTTGTCCACCTAAGGCGATTTATGTTGCCTTCAGTGATTAGGGTACTGCTACTATTGTGTCTTTTGAATTGTGTTCGTATTCCTATTAGAATGTCATGTTGGATTGGTTCTTTGCTGAGAAGTGCTGACCGAAACTAGGAAAAAGAGCTAAATGTACTTTTAAAAACGTATCCACTTCCTTCTATGATACACTGGAATGTTCCATATGTATTGCTGAATCAATGAATTTCAATACGGAATTTTAACATGCAGACATAGCAGGACAGAGAAGTTTGGTTGGTGGGTGAAATGTTGACGGATTTATTATGTTACTATTTTGTGGTTCTCACCATGATCTTTGTTCACGGTTGATGGATTCATTCGTCTCACCATGAGTTCTCTTATGTGCATCATCTTAGATGGCCCTTATATTTTTTGTTCTTGCATGTATGACCTGCTATGTGGATGCTTGCAATATGATTGGAACCTCTGATTGCAGTATCTCTTGGCTTTTTCAATGACATTCACATTCCTCGACATCTTCTACAGCAACCATGCACTCTGTGAGTGATGTTTTTTCTTCAAATATACTCCTATTTAATAATATTTAACATTTCCTGTGTTGTAAGAGAGGTGTTCGACCACGATTTTCTTATGTTTTCTATTGTGCTCTATGTTTTCTGATCATTACAGGGGAAAAGATGGAGTTTGGACTTGGGACTATAGTGGGTCATTGCTGTCTTTGGATATTGATGAGCAGGTTATTTTGATTTTATTTTGATTTTTTTTTTCTGTAAATACGTAGATTGTAACTTAAGTGAATGTTTTCCCTTAAATACTCTTCTTATTTGTGACTTGCAGATACGTTTCCGAGTAAGCAATATTAAGTACCCTCCGATTCCAGTCAGGCAAGAGGAAGATGCAAAGCCATTTGCTCCTATGGAGATTACAGTAAGTTAGGGATCACTTGATGTGAATCATTGGAAGTCTAGGGTTTCTTAAATCCTTGTCGGTAGATTAAATTGATACAGGATTATTACCTCCTCTTAGCACTGTTCATGTGATGTGATTCATGCGGTCAAGGCTTCTGAACCAGGCTGGTCTGGGCTTTTCCTTTTCTTTTTTTTCTTTTTTTTCTGTAGGTAATCTGATTGATGATTTTGACTTGAAGTGTCTCATCCCGTCTTCTGACCTTCTTGCAGGGCGACATATATGGAGATGGCTTGGGCTTGGTGTCGTGGTGGGAGGAATGACGAGTTGCTGCCCATGCAGGGTTGACCTTGTGGGGAGAACCACCACAGCCATGAGCAGCATGCGCGATCCGTACTTGAAGAGGATATTATCCTTCAGACCACCCTGTACAAAATGAGCTCAATTGAACCGTTGACTTTTGGGTACCATGTTGTTCTGCATAGTTACCAGCCCCCGATTGACCTTTACCTTGAACTTGTCTAGCAAGTAAAAAAACGGCGGCCAGATTGATCGGGAGGTCTGATGAGACCTGCAGAGATGATGGCAGTGAGAGAGGGACAGAGGGGTTGCAATCTTTGGCCATAATTAATGGCTCGACATCTGTCTCCGCCACTTACCCTGTTCTTCTGTCAGTGACATCATCGATATTTTGAGAGTTCTTCAGGGGTATTTACCGCAGCCTTTTCTCCGCGTGCCGCCGACAACCCTTGCTGTGCGGGATCACCCGGGTCAGAGGCGATGGCCGTCGGTTCCGATTTGAACGCTTTCTTTCGTCTTATATAATTTCTCTTAATGGGAAATTTCGGTCGTCTTCAATCGGGTCCTTGATGGGGGAACTTCCCGTCCCCGGTCTTTCCCAGCCCCTCCTTCTCCTCGGTCGCCCGCCTCAACGTTGGACGCCCTCATCCGCCACTTCGCTTGATCCCATCGATACGAATTCTTTGACTTCGTCTGGGATTTACCAAAGCGGGAAATCCAGCGGGTGGTAGAAGGTTTCTTCAGGGTTTTGGTCCCGTAATTGTGTGGGGTTGTCCGATTTGGTCGCCACGCCCTTGTCCTGTTCCCGGTTATGAGGTGTATCTGCTTTGGGGTCTCGTGTAGATGGACGGAAAGCGATTCACCGTCACCCCCCGGGCCTGCTGCAACCGCCGGATCGTGGCCGGGAAGAGGCCACGGGGGGACGGGTTCTTGAACAGTGTGAAGAAGCTGCACCGGCGGGAGATATGCTCCAAGCGAGACCGTTCTTTCTCTATGAGTAACGCCCAAGAGAGGTTCAGGAACATTCAGCTGCAGGTCGGTGGTGTTCCCTCGAGTTGCGGGGAATTTGCTGTATTTCTTGATCTTTCTCTCTTTCCTCACAACGTGTCGTACAGATCAAAGGAACAGTAGAGAATGGTGGGAAATTATGGAAGACATGGGTCAATCCGTCTCTTTCAGTCATGATTTTATGCATTATGTTTTTTCGCCATGTAATCAGCAAAACAAAAACCGAAAAATATCTATTTAATTATTCGTTGGAGGTAGATGCATGACTCTTGAAGCATTTAGAGGACATAGAAAACACCTTAGTTTCCACTGTGCTGGAGGTTTGCCGGGCAAGTAATTAGTATCTACTTAAAATCGCGTAAGTTTCGATGATGATGAAGCTCAGTTAGCTTGGATATGTAGCTTGAAGACGGTAGAACTTTTCTTCATGCAGTAAGATGAAGGAGAATTAGATCCAAGGTACTCTGGATGGTATGAAGGTAGGGATAAAAGGGCTGCTTGGGTTGGTTTAAGACAAAGCATGTCTACTTCCCACATCATTAAACGACGAACCCCAATTCAATCTCAATTAATTATCGTTTATTCCGGGTTCTAGCCGAACTCTCTTTGCATTATGACAATATCTAGGCGCAATAGAGGATCAGAAGTGTCATGTACTGGTGATTGTCATGCACAAATTCAAATAAAGAAGGTTCCAGCGTTAGTCCTGGTAGTGGATCAATAATAATTGAGGTATGATAACATGACTTTTCATGGAAATCGGGGTGACTCTTTGGCTTGAGTATTATACCTAGAGGAGTACCATTGTCTAAATGTTTCATCCCTGTTTATTCTGATCTAAATTTATGTTTCCTTCGGTATGCACTCTCTCTCTCTCTCTTTCTCTCACGTTTACCTTTACACGGGAGATAAGATAATGATTGTGAAAAATTTTCAATTTTACCTGGACGCTGCAATTAAAATTTTAGATGTTACCAATTTTCATCGTATACCTATAGCCTGCTCGAGTCCGTTGAGATGTGTTATTGTGAATCCAAAGTAGACCTCAATTCATCATTGATTTATAAACAATATTTCTGTGTATAGGTATTCTAAATGCAGTTTTTTTTTTTCATAGGAAATATGATGAAATTAATAAGGTTCTGTGAATCTCCTATTTCAGGGGGAACTTGATACCCATGATCCCAAGGGACGTCGTTCCTTGCAGCTCCCCTTCTTGAGGAAAAGATCTAGAATAGTTGAAATTGTTGCGGTGCAGGGCATCATTTTTGCTCTGGCACAAGGTGGTGTTTGTGCAGCGTTTAATAGAGGTTAGCATATTGTGGGCATAATTTGTTCTTACTGGGAACGCTCATGTTACATGTGTACAATAATTTTTTTTACTTATTTTTTTATGGGGGATTTTCACTTGCAGAAACAAAGCAGAGGATATGTTTTTTGAATGTGAGCCCTGATGAACTAATTCGCAGCCTGTTTTATAACAAAAATAATGAGTCCCTCATTACGGTTTCAGTCTATGCTTCTGACAACTTCAGCTCTTTGAAATGTAGAACAACCAGGATAGAGTTTGTGCATTGCCCATCCCTATTTCTTTTGTCTACTCTTTTCGAATTTCTGCTCTTAGACTTACATCTGAACTGGGTTCTCCAGATATATCAAAAGGGGAAAGCCTGATGCTGGATATGCGCTTTTTGAGTCAGAATCACTAAAATATCCTGGTTTTGTAGAGTTTGACGATGTAAATGCCAAGGTTCTAACATTTTCTGCTCAGGATAGGTAAGTTGTCCCCCTAAACATTGTATTAATCTGGTTTTTCAATTAGTACTGACATCCGTTTCAATTTTTGTATCATTAGCATTTACAAGGTATTCGACTTAAAGAACTATACACTGCTGTACTCTATATCTGACAAGAATATCCAGGAAATAAAGATTAGGTAAAATTTTCGTCCAGCTTTTTTTTCTTTCCTTTTCCCTTACATTTCCTTGATTTTTCGGTGCATAAGTGAAAGCTGCTCATGTATTATCTGATACACTTGGAAAACGTGTAGTCTTCTCTAAAAGAATAATACCTTGTGTTTTTTATCACTTTCAAACATATTAAAATCGGGATATGCTACTCGTCTACATGAGTTAAATTGAAATAAATAATTACTGTATTTCAGTTCCGATGCTCATTTGCAATCATATACAAATCAAGATGTTTTTCCAAGAAAGAATGAGGGCAGAAAATACTTTTGCGTATATTGAGTTGCCTTAAATTTCATTTAACTGTAAAACAGGCAACCATAGCTAGAATCGAATAATAATGCGATTGGTCTTAGTCCTTTATTTTATTTTTGAATTGCACCACGTCATGAGCTTCCAGATTCAAGGGCTGGTGTCGTCAGATAATCCATGCCTTCATAGTGGTCTCAATATGGCTTGTGAGATGTCGCCAAGGGCCAAAGATGATTAATTGGCAGCATGGTATCATCACAGAGGGTATCAATCATCCATTCAGTCTTTAGATTACCTAAAACCAGAATGCAATGTGATGCAATTTTGTCTCAAGCATGGCATATATTTTGTTATACAGGAATGCATCTTAGAATCGATGTTTTCTCCTTAATATTTGTTGATGATATCGTGAATTTTCCCCTCTGTGCTATCCTTTGATAGCGCTCGACTTATGCTTTTCAACACAAGGCCTCTGTGATGAGTTGTTGATTTCTTGCGTGCATCTAAATTATTTCATGCATTATTTTCTGGCCCACCCTTGTGTGAATATATATTTATTTCGCACGCATTGATATGCAGTCCAGGTATAATGTTATTGATATTTAAAAGAGCTACCAGCCACGTTCCTCTCAAGATAATCTCTATAGAGGATGGAACTGTCCTGAAAGCCTTTAATCATCTTTTGCATCGGAACAAGAAAGTTGACTTTATAGAACAGTTTAATGAGAAGCTCCTTGTCAAGCAAGAGGATGAAAATCTCCAAATTCTTGATGTAAGGTTTTTTTTATGCAATGATCAATCAGTATAGAAAGGAATCGCCGTTTTTTTCATTGCCTTGCAATTTTTTTGATAAAAAATAACTTTTTAGGTCCGGGACTTCCAGTTAACTGAAGTAAGCAAATCAGAGTTTCTGACTCCATCAGCATTCATCTTTCTATACGAGAACCAGTTATTTCTGACATTCCGGAATCGTACGGCTGCAGTTTGGAATTTTCGAGGTGAACTTGTTACATCTTTTGAGGATCATCTACTATGGCATCCCGACTGCAATACCAACAACATATACATAACAAGTGACCAAGATCTAATAATTTCTTATTGCAAGGCTGATTCTGATGATCCAGCAGATGGCAACGGTAACTTTAGTCCTTTTTGGAACATTCCTTTGATTAGCTGACCTGCTAAAGATTAATTTTACCTCTGTTTACCAAGCGCGTTCTTGGATCAGGTTTATTGGTTTGTTGAATTCTAAAAAGGCCTCGGTGCTTTGCATTTGGTTGTTTTGTTCTCACATGCCTGGTTACTAATAATTTGTTTAGAGCGGGGCTTACTTCGGAATCGTATAATAAATTTGATTTGACTTATTTGAATGACTAAAAAGTCCATTCTTCAACCCCTGCTTCACACCCATGGGTTTTCCCCGTTGGAGCGAAGGAAAAATACTGGGCCAAGAGAGGAGTCGATGACTGAAGCACCAGCCATTCAGCATTGGTGTCCGATCATTCGACGAATTCCTCCGAGGATTCAAAGGGCATCAATGACAACCTACTGGAGATGATGGAGCTAATATCCTTCTGATTGAAACCATTATCTCACCAAACTTCTGCCGCCTCTTGATAGGGGGCGCAGTGGGCTGAATAGAGGCCTTTAGAATCTATTACAGTCCTCACTGCATTTTTCATTTACAACATGTTCTTCCATGATTCATGCCTTACTTCCTAGATCCTCAGCGGATAACATTTTGATATAGGAATCAAAATTCGCAGGCGGCATACCTGCTGCTGCAATCTCCATCGCATTTCCCTGGGTGCAGACTTTTTCTTTCATAGAGCTCTCTCTTCTGTAGCATGAAGAGCTTTTTATAGATTTTAATGTTTTGGGTAGCTAACCTGGAGTAGAGCCACCATCATTCCTCCATGTTTAAGCTCATATTCACCTGATAGCATCTTTGTGTGACCAATGTTTCCTACTGCAGCGACACTCCTTCATAGACCACATTGAAGACGCAGAGTAGCTCTGTAGAGAGAATTTTTTCTCATCTGTCATCTGAATATATCTCCCCATCTCCCTGGGGAAGTTGCCAGATAAGTTCTCGCGTCCTGTTTTGCTACATTACCCAGATAAGAAAGCCTAAAACTGTCACCTGTTCGCATTCAATTATCTGCCTCTTATCCAGGTTATGGTTAACAGCGATATCTATGATCATGCGCATCCAGAAAGGAAAAAATGAATCTCCTAGAGCTAAGGTCTCCTCTGCGTTTAACACTGTACTATTCCTTTGGAGAGGACGGTCTACTCTTCTTTTTGGGTGTTGGAGATGAAATCCGGGAATGCCTTTCAATCGTCTTCTTGTCGGAGTCTATAGGAACCGGAGCTTCTCATGGGCTGTCCTTTTTCTGTGAGAAGAATTTCAGTGGTTATTTCCTTCCACCTGAATTTCACTGGCACTGGAGCTTCCGAAGAGCGCAGATTTTCTTTCTATTTCTCATAAAAAATGAGATGTCCAGATTAACTCCTTGTAGAAACTCTCTGTTGTCTTGCTCTTGCTATTACACTCAAAAACTTTCCGCTATTTATGATTCAGAGAAGCAGAAAATAAACTGGACAAGAACAAGGTTTTTTTATTCCTTTTTACCGTTGGAGATGTAGATGATGCAGATGCTTGCTCCACAGCCTGCTATTAATTATTTTCCATATAAGCATAACATCATCTTTGACCTATATACATATGCCTACGGAAAGAATTCCAGAGTCAAATTGTCCTTTTTCTATTGGCGTATTTTGATATTGGACCGTTCTGTGTTCATCCATTTTTTTTAATAATTTGGTAACTTGGTAGTCTCTGAACTACCATTTGGGTGATATGAAAACTTTGAATAAGTCTAGTCGAAATGTGCTTGATGAACATAAATAATTATATACAGGATTTTGAACGCAGTGGGAGAAATCCTGCTGACGTGTTAGAGCATTGTGAATTTAAATCGAAATTTTGTCTGAAAAGACGATAGTTGACCCTATGTGAAACTTGGGCATGGTTCAGTTTTTATTTTGGAATATACATGAGTAGATGAATACATGCACATCCATATTAAATCTTCATCACATCCACATCATATGCCCGAGGTCAACGCTTAAAACCCAGGTATGCATCGGAAAGGCAACAGTTTCTATCACCAAAGGCGAAAATTTTCTGAATATACGTTAGTCCATTATCTGCATCGCTAGATCAGCAGCATTTTCTTTCAGGTCTCACGTGCAACATCAAGAACTGGGCATTTCATAAATGCTTGAGCATAATCGGAGTTGAAGAGGACCCGCCAAGCCTGCGCTTTGCTGAATAATTACAGCTTTTAAAAGGATCATTATTTTATTAAATTCTCTGTATATTTATGCCATAGTGCACGATGACTTAGCCAACTCCATTTTTGGTACTCTGAAATTTTCTGGTTGTTCTCAGGAGCCGGATCTCTGAATATCAGCAACATACTTACGGGAAAATGCCTTGCTAAGATTCGAGCAAGCAACTCAAGAGCACAGCACTGTTCTTCCAGATTCCTCCGGAACACAGTTGGGGAAGCGTTGGAAGACATCACTGCCCTTTATTACGATGAAGACCACAACGAGATCTACACCGGCAACAGGCAGGGCCTGGTCCACGTCTGGTCAAGCTAACGGCCGACTGCTCAGCTCTGGCCCAGGTTCATCAATCCAGCTCCGCTCCTGCGGGAATGTCTCTTCTCTTCTTCTTCTTCTTTGTCCCTTGTAATTCCCATTTGACGGCGCTCGTCATATCCGATAGGAATGTACCCATTTTATGTCCCTATTTAAAGGACAGAATTATAGCTAAGATTTCGCATGATCTGCTGGATCCGTATGAACGAATGTCAACTCTCCCACCGGGCATCTCTGTGGCCCTCGTCAGGCGTGGTCCAAGAAGGGAGGGGACCAGGAGAGGCTTTCCGGTAGCATCAGTGGGTGTCGTCCAGCTCTCCATGTGCCCCATCATGGCGTGGTGTGCGCTTCCGCGATACGCCAACGGTGACCCAGCTGTGCGGGCCGGCGGCGGCCGGCGGCGGCCGGCGGCCCGGAGGAGGAACCGCCGCTTTAAAGTCTCCCCTTGCCTCATACGCAAAGAGATAACAGGGAGAGAGAGCGAGAGTTTAGTACTGTGAGAGCAAAGGAAGGGCCTTTCTAAAGGAGACGGAAGTCCTGCTCCTACCCATTCAGGCCTTGGTAAAGACGGAGCAGGCAATTATCCACCCAAAGCGGGGGAAGGTGGATCCGCCCCACATGGGCTCACATGCTGCTCTTCGTAAAAGCCCCTGAAAGGCAGAGAGAGAGAGAGAGAGAGAGAGAGAGAGAGGCCGGTGATGCGTCAGCCTTCTGCTCGGAGGGGACCCAAGTCTTCTTCTTGACGGGAAGGAAGGGGAGGGCCGAGTTGAGACCCAGGAAACCCGTTCCGAGTCGACCCGCCGGCTCTGTTAATTCAAAATCTTCTCTCCGGGTGATTCAAGTGGACACCCTCATTTACTGCACGGCGATTCTACGACTCGCTGGGGACCCCGAATCTTGCACTACTCTACCGTTAGAGACGTTCAACGGCGACTCGGGTGAGCCGATCCCGGCGAGTCGCATGCGCCGTTGTGCGGTAGCTTCTGGCTGTCGCTACGTTGCCGTTGTGGGTTCAGAAGCACGACTCGTGCGGTGGGGCCCACACCTGGCAGCATTAATAAAATTAATAACTGAAAATGTAATATTACTAGTAAGGTATGAAAAAACGGAGTTTGGGGGGTGAGTTAGAAAGATTTAATGCCATATATTTATATAGATAAGGGTTACATATGTAAGAAAATATTTCCGTTTCCTCGTATGCGTTTGGTTGCGAGGCACTGTCCGCAGTCTCCTCAGAGCGGCACTACCAGTCGCATCATCTCGCTGTTGCTTTCCTCTCTCTGCCGGCACAAAGGAGAGAGAGAGGGTGGAGGAACATCTGAGGAAGCGACAGTGGAGTGAGGGAAAATCGCGGAAGGCGAGGCCGAAGTGGTAGTTTTCCTCGTTTCAGATCTGGTGAGTCCTCGCCATCCGCATTCCTCTCTGTTGCATTCCCGGATAGATGGTTGTTCGGGTTGACTTCCATTAGATCTCCCAGGCCCAGTGGGAGTTGGATCTCGAGACATCCGCCCGGGCTCTCTCGTCCCCGGGTTTGCTTATTCTTTCTCGTCCCTTGGCTTCCTGCGTTTCGACACTCTTTGAAGAGTTCTAGTCGCTGCGATTTTAGTCCATGGACAGATTTTTTCCTTTCTGGGGGAATGCCCTTCAGTGCATGTTGTTGGGCAAGCCGAGGTCTCCTGGCGAGTGGGTTTGAGCTGTAGAAGGAGACTAGTTTTGATCTTTAGTAGCTTTCTGTTGATGACGTGATGACAAAGTCCCGCTTGGTATCGACCATTTCTATTTAGTTTTTCCTATAACCTGCTATTTGCTCACAGGGATAGTTTCTACATCTATTGGTAATGGTATGCTGCGAAAGCAGCACGGAATGCAATCCCTTCAGAATCGCCATTGGATGGGTGATCTGAACTTTTTCCCTCAGAAAATTAAGCTCATCTGTTACTTTCAGGACGATGCGACCAACGTTTTAGAAATGATGCTGGTTTCGTTTTACTTGATTCGAGTCGAAGGGCAGGTCTGTAAAAAAATCGTTGTCATGCTTCGATTTGTGGCAATTCACGATGCAACGAGTAGATCGAGTTTTAGCTCTGTACTGAATGTGCGAGTTTCGAATCTTCTACTTATATGTTGTGTCAAATGGAGTTGATGAGATTACCTTCCATCTTCCCTCCTTTCTACAGTTCCCGTTGATTACGCGTCATTGCGTCATTTCGTTTCCATTAAACGAAATAGAAGCATCAGACATGTTATGTGCTGATGTATTTATTTATTTCAGAATAGGAATAAGATGTCTTTATGTCTTTTCTTCAATTATTGACTTTTGAATCAGTCTGGATTAAGCTAAGTGCCTAAGCATGAAAGGTCAAATAGAATGTTTCAAGAAACTCTTGGTAGATTAGGGTGTTTAGTTTTGCTCTCATATTTAGTCCTGAGTTTTTGGTATTTTCATCCGTGGTCTGAAGGAGGACCCTCTTGCCTCTTCAGGTAATCAATGGGTACTTCAGCATTGTCAGATATTTATGTTTGTGAAATATCCCAGCCTCAATTAGTGGTTTGTGTTCCTGGGTTGCGGTTAATACACATTCCATAGTTCTTCTGATGAAATCTAAGTTATCAAGATGAAAAATTTTGCGTATTAGATATCATGGTAAGCTGACAGTATCTGGCAGCGAGAAATTCTTTATTTGGTGTAGCGGTTTGATTGCATCTTAGGGAATAACTTAAAGAAATACCTTGTACGATGGCGAGTATTCAGAAATGGAATATTTATCGGAATGTATGAGCGAAAAACGTTATAAAATTATAATTTCCATATTAGGAAAAAAAGTCCTCCCCAAAGGGATAATTGTGAGAATGATGAAGAGATCTATATTAATATTTTTATACTTGCTTTTTAGTTATGGCTATTCCACAACCGATCTGCAGTGGATCCTTGAAACTAATTTTAGGTCGATGGGTGCTTTAGTTGAAATCTGGCAGTAATTGTGTGGAAGGATTGCTCTTGGGGATATATTTCTACTGCTATGGTTGATGTGGTCCTTTCTTAATTGGATAAATAATGCAGGTACCTTTTTTTTGGTGGGAGAATTCTCTGGAGCGGTGCCTAAAGATCAACTTAGACAGAATGGATGGAGGAATAGATGACAATGCAGTGTTGGATTCTGCTACATTTTACACCATAGCTTACCAGAACAGGTGCCTCCAGTCTTTTTCATTTTCTTCGTTTTTATTCTTTCTCTCTTGCCCTAAATAGACTGCTTTTATAAAAATACGGAACGCAAAAATGCAAGCTGAAGTAGCCACCTCTGGTAAAACCATCTAAAAAGAATAAGCAGAAACTCAGCAAGGCTGATTCCTAGGTCAGATATATTCAAAATTATATAGTGCTTTTTTATTGCTGATGTATTGGTCGTTCTCTTGTGCCTTTTCATGGATTAGTCATTCTTGCCATTTGCTGCTCTGATCCCGAGAGAGAGAGAGAGAGAGAGAGCACTATTTCTTACGATTATGCTAGAATGGCCAAATGCTCTCCAGGAAAAGAATAATGGGTCAAGTAAACAAGAAAAAAGTAGTAATGTTGGTGAATTTTCCTGGGAATCAAGAACTTTATCTTGCATGCTCCGTTTGCAATATCATGCAAGTTCATCAAAAAAAAAATTCTATTACCAATGTATTTGCATCTTTCTTTAGATGAATATGAATTTATGTTCCGGTCTTCCCTGGCTATTTACGAAAGAATTATTGCAGATTCGATGCTATTATTTGCTGCAAGGGCAGGACAGAAAAAATAGCGTCAGGCATGCTAGATCAGTTAGTTTTCCATTTACCAGGAGCAAATGACTGCCAATCGAGAGGTCCAAGTGACAGCTTTAAGCTTGAGCTGACCAGAGTGACGGAAGATTTCTCATGGTTCACGAAGTCCACTCTATCACGGTATTCATTATATGCACCGTCTATTTCTGTATGTGCAATCGCACTATGCCCTGAAAACCAGTGCGTTACTAATAAACATATGCATTTTTTCCAGCTTCTTGTGTCTTGTATGTGCACCTGAATCGTTAAAAAGTGCCAGTTTGATTGCAAATGAGATTTCTCAGTTAGAAGATGCCAGAAATTTTCATCTTGCCCTGTATGCTAAGGTAGTCTATTTATCATTCCTTCATAACTTCCTTTCATCTAGCCTGTGCTCCCTCTCATCAAATCCCTGTTTCTCTCAGGACCTCGCAAATCTATCAGGAGATGTACCAATAGGTATGCCCCATCAAATCCTTAATTTTGGTTTTTCAGATCTGCCTCTTTGGAAGGAAGCGTTCCAAATAACTTCATTCATTTCCACGATGCATTGCTAGTGACAATTTATACCCACGATGAGTGACAGAATAAATAACGTAGAATGCTTATGTCACAAGTCCCATACTAAAATTAATGACGCATGCCTGCAATTGTTGACGCACTAAATAATGCAGAACATTTGACAAATCCTGCCCCACTATTTACACTGGCTCATGCATGATTTTGGTAACGTTTACACTTTGAGATCATTTCGCGATTCTATTAGACTAATAGCATTGTCTGGTTGAAGAAATCACACCTGAAGTTTAAATAAAGAGGTGGTGTAAAGTTGTAACTTGGTAATGCTGTACCTTTATTTAGAAAGAGGATCTGGTTTCTCTATTATATTAGTTATCTTCCTAGATTCAAACGAGAGAGATTTACACTTGTAGTTTTCTTTGAAATTTTATTTCTTTCTTTCATTTTCATCATTTTTCCTATTGCCACCAATATACTTCTTTACCCTACAGATATTGGAAACTCAAATGAGAGGGGCTTAACACCAAAAGTAAGCATACTGCTACTATTTTAGCTTCCCGTCTTCTCTAATTTCATATATTTGTTAACTGAACGTCACGGAAAAAATTACAGGTTCAATCTGACACATCTTCTGATCCTACGAAGTAAGCATCTTCTCCTGCCTGTTGCTTCCACAATGTGAGGATCTCTTTTGAGTACGAATGCTTTGTACATGTAGAAATGAATTGCTCCGGGCAATGGATGTGAGACTTTTGGCATTAAAGGAGGAGCTTTCTGCATCTTTCGGTCGAGCTCTGGGATCTGTGCCGTCTACGTATTGTATCTCAGATCTAACATCATTTTGTGACTACTTTGGGGCTGCTAAGATGAGGTACTGTCATCCACAATAGAATTCAGTGATTCTTTGTGTAGAACATGAGCAAATGTCGTACCTTTCAATCTTCCTCTTTTTTGTTCACATCAACTCGTATTTTTTCGTCTGAAAGCTTAAACTGAGAGGTCATCCATTATAACAGTGCCTCCATTTGATAATTCATCTTTCACTAGTGTTTCATTTTTAGAAGTTTATGGACCTGAATCTATTGCCTCATATCCTCTGTTTAATGGATGAGTTCTACGTTTTCTTATAAGTGATCTTTGTTTGTAGTGTTTATCATCCAAAACTACTTTCGACTACATAAAACTCGCAAATTCTTGAATAAAACAGACACTTTTAAGCATGCTATAATTGGTGAAATTTACCTGTTCTTTCTCTGATAAATGCAGTCACAATATGGAAAAGTTACATATTTTCCTTTCTTGTTCTTTCCTAGGAATCATTTGGTCAAATATTTGGAATTACGCTCAAAGGAGGAAGCTTTGAGCGCTTCAGCAAATGACTTCCGTCATAAATGTGAAAAAACATCGGAAATGACCTCTCAACCTGCTTCACCGACTGATAATCTGAGAATTGTTAGAACTGGCGTTTCCCCAGCAAAAATAGCTCAGGCTGAACGACAAATCTCATCAGAAAGTGAGGCTTCTGATTCTTCTGATGATGACAAGGCCTTCACAGAGAGAAGCCGTCCTCTTATAAGAGCTGCATCGCCAAGAAGATCAGCATCACCTATGCGACGGGTCCAGATCGGAAGATCTGGATCACGTAGGCCAGCTGCCCTTACCATTAGGAGCCTTAGTTACTTTCCACCAAGGGAAAAAATGTCATACAAGGATGCTGATGGAAATAGCAGTTGTGATGAAGAACCTGATAAGCTACCAAACAGAACGGAAGCCTCAGTGAGGAGAATGAGTGTCCAAGATGCAATTAATCTTTTTGAAAGTAAACAGAGAGATCAAAGTCTGAATGGTCAGAACCGAAAATCTTGTACTGAGGCATCTTCTAGTGCTAACAAGTCTGTTTTAAGAAGATGGAGTTCTGGTATGTGTGAGTCTAGAAAACAGGAACCTCAAGTTGGTACTTCTGATGGTGGGCTGCGGAGCAACTCTGACAATGTACCTCCTAGTGTAGAAGAGAAGAATTTGTACGAACTGAAGCCAGAATCTAACACTCCTGAAGCTGTTCCAAATATATCCCATATTCCAGTGGCCGAACTGCCTGCTCCAGAAGAGAGGATGTCATCTAATGCAGTGGATTTCCCTGTTGATTTACCAGCACAAGAAGCTGATGAGACTCAAGAAAAAGTTACGGATTCATCAGTATGGACTAGGCAGAAGGAAGCTGAGTTGAACCAAATGCTGATGAAGTTTATGGAGACCAAACCCTCCAAGTACCGAAATAACACTTCCAGTACTATTCAAAACCATGCACCCTCTGGTCAGAAGAGAGGGACTCTGCATAGGCAGCCCAAGGAGAAAATTGAAGGAAAGTATCAGACTGAGACTGCTAGAAAGCGAACTGAGAAGGAAGCACAATCTAAATTTACCCATGAAACACCAATTCAGAGAAAAACGAAGACAGTTTCAAAGGCTGCAGGTGCCCCAGTTTCAAAGGCTGTAGATTCATTGAGTCATACTCAAAAATTACGAAGAAATTCTTCTCCTCCAGTTTTATCCAAAAAGGATGTGTCAAAATCAGTTGCTACTAAGAAGCCATCACCCAAAAGCGTATTGCCAGTGCCTCAAACACGTAACTCATTGCCATCTACTCCTTCCCCTAGAACGGCTGGAACACCACGTTCTGATATTTCAGCTGCAACAGTTACCAATAGCAATGTGCCAAGTAGACATAAGCCTCAGCATTTGCCGTCTCCCACTAAACCTAGCCCAAAAATAGAGAGAACACCACGCCCGTTAAAGAGTGCAAAAGTGGCATTAAATGAAGGCAAAATAGTACCAAAAAACCAAGAGGACAGGAAGCAGAATTCAGTGTTGAGCAGCAAAAGCGCAAAATCAAAAGTTCTAGCGCCTTCAGGGAATGACGCCGGTGCAGTTTCAACTAAGCCTACGGTTCCAGCCAAGCCTAAACTCCACAGCAAGGCACCTAAGAAGAGCAGTGTCGTGCCACTGGAATCAAAACCCTTCTTAAAGAAAGGTACCGCCACTGGTCCAGGTGCTGGCCCCGAAGCAGCAAAGGCACCATCTGATGATTCTTCGAAGACCAATGGGAATCTTGTACTAGATGAAGAGAAGGAATCTGCTGTGGGAGCAAACGAAGCGATCTCTCAGCCATCCAAAGATGTTTTAGTCGAAACGAGGAATGATGATGATGATGCTGCTAAATGTGACAATTTATTGGATAATGATTTGAATCATGAGAAGATAGAGACTGCAGGTCCCGTTGTAGAAGTTGACGACAGTACCATCAAGTTGGCAGAAGCCCATGTTGAAGAGAACCAACCTTATGAGGTGTTAGGCATCTCATCTGCAGCGTGGGAGGAAACAGATCAAGAGAGGGTCGATGAGTCAGGCGGCACTTCCATGCCCCAGATGGCAGCTTCTGATATAGCACCTGTGTCATCATCAAGCTCTCGTATCCGACATTCGTTGTCACAGATGCTTCAAGCTGAGAATGGCGAGCCAGAGATGCTTGAGTGGGGAAATGCTGAAAACCCACCTGCCTTGGTCCATCAAAAGGACGCACCCAAGGGATTGAAAAGGCTTCTGAAATTTGCTCGCAAAACTAAAGGGGAGGTAAACCTGTCTGGTTGGTCCACCCCATCTGTCTTTTCTGATGGAGAGGAAGACGCGGAAGAGGTCAAGACCAACAGTAAGAGAAGCTCAGATGCCTCGTTGAGGAAAGCAACTCTCCAACCAAAAGGGTCAGGAAAACAAAAGAACATGCTTTCTGAAAGCTATGATGGAGGTTATCCGGACAAGAGAAGAATGGACTATCCTGATGTTCCCGAAATTCTACCAGGTACCTTATATTTTAATCACATCGCTATTTCTTGATGTTTTTGAATTCTGGTTCAGTTTTAGCAACATTTTCGCATTGCATTTTCTCCATAGTGCATAAATGCGATCTGGAATTCATGGAACGTGATTGAATGAAGTCTGTTATATTGAAATAATATTTAATATTCTTCTTTCGGACGACTTTTGGTCCTTGTTTCTAGAATCTCTTACAACTAGCCTCGTTATCTGTTAGATCTTGATGTTGACAGAACAGAAGGGTGATGAATCTTGGCTTTCTGGTGAATATTCTAGCACAAAGTGAAAGTAAAGGCATCAGACTCGATTCCAACTTGAACTGACTCAACTCTGATCCTCTGAGGCCTCTGCGTAGAATTAATTCCGAAACAATGGATTTCTTCTAAAATCCTCCGTTCGGCGACTCGGGCAATCCCAAAGCCTACCTTGCTTTCCTTTCCGATACTTATAAACTGCCAAATAAGCTCTAATACCCCAAGTTGAGATCTGAAACTTCTGGTTTCCTTGATTAACGAATCTCCAACTTCACTTCAACATCATCTAATTGGCAGACCATGTTTGACCATGATCTTTGTTCCATGCTCCTGATGGGCCTCTTTCCATGTCTTTTGGCTGGATCAAAATCCTCACTGCTCTTTCGTCATATGAACATTCATGGGTCAAAAGTCGAAAGAGTTGTCCTCACTCTCTGCAATGCGTCTTCGTAACCCTAAAAATTAATGTACATCGAACCTTAAAAAAATGATCACCTTCCCTCTCTCCCATCTTCCTTGAATATTATGCCTTAAACGACGATAAATATTTCTCTTTTGTAGCTCAATCGACCCAATTTCCGTCTTCGAATTCTCATAAGCTGAGAGAAGGACCATCAAACAAAGGTGCGCCCGGCATCCCATCTGGTTTACTGATACTGAATTATTTGATCTCCCTGTGTTGATCTCTTCAAAAGTCTCACTGACTGTGGTGCTCCATGTCCAGCAACTCGATCCTTCTTCTCCCTCTCGACATTCAGAAGCAGCAAAACAGGTGATCCAAAGCCTCGGTGACATTAAAAGGTTCGCTTCCAGTTCATCCCAGACCACTCAAAGAGAACCAAGACTCCCTTTTCTTCTTCCTTTATTTATTTATTTATTTATTTTACTATTGTTATTTTTTTCCATTCAAGGTTGTGGATGCTGCCTACTAGCAATGTCAGGCTGAATCGCAGTGCCCCCATTTTCTCTATGTAAATTCAGGATGCCCACTGTGATATCGCCTTGCTTCCCCAGAGTGCTAACACCGTTGTTGCCTCTTAGTGATACTGTGCTCTTCAGATTAACCTCTGCCCACGCAGAGTTGGAGCCGAGCGCCTCCGTACGGCAAGGAGGTGTGCTGTACTGATGTCTGATGTGTCTTCGTGATGTGATTGAAGCCGAAATGTGTACTCTTTTTCTTTCCTTCTTTTTTTTCGTTTACTGGAGGAGATTGAAGGTGAAATCTTGTAGATTTTTACTTAACTGCTTCATCGATTGTCGGAGAGTCTACTGTAAATTCTGGACTCTCCACAGGATCACACAAGCAGCCGTGTTATGGTGAATCACAATCACCTGATCTTATCAATCTGATCACGCAAGCGATAGAATCTTCACTATCTTGAGAATTTTTTGAGTTGGTATACTTAGCCAAAATCGATCCAGACCTGTTGATTTACTTATTCTGGGTACCTTAATATTTATTCTGGGGTCGCCTGCATCATTATTAAGATAATTTAATTCCTGAAGCACATGACATCTGAATCCATGGAGGGAATGCTTAAGCTTTACGTACATCAAGTTGCAAGCGATACAGAGCTGTCGAAGGAGGACCCGATATGCTGTAGAACGAACTCGTAGATCTTCCTCTTCAACTGTTCAATGGCGCCTCTCATGGGGTCCTCCGGCGTGTGCCCCACGGCGTCCAGCCAGTCGTTTACCAGCTTTAAACGGGAGAGGACGGCAGCAATCCGAGCATTGTCGTAGGGCGGGGTCTCGCCTCCGTCGCCGGTGAGTTGGAAGCCGGCGGCCACCGCTTCCTCGACGAACTTCAAGAACCAGACCTGCATCTCGCGCTGAAGCGCGTGGGCCAGCTCCAGCGTCTCCCCAACTCCGCACCCTCCCGTTGACCACCACACATTCTTAACAGGGTTTTGAGCCGGTACCTTTGCATTCTTGGATGGCGTCCCCAGGGAGGAGCTCTTCCTGGGCAGGCCCGACGATGATCTTGCCGGCGGCTCGGCGGAGGAAGGGGAAATCCTCCAAGAATTCAGGAGCTTCTCGGAGCTCTTCAGCTTTCCAGGCCCTCCTGATCCAGCATTCAGCAAGGAGACGACCTCGAGATCAGTGGCTAATGCGGCGTCGATCCAGAGCTGTATAGACTTGTATCGGTCACCGCATAGGGCGTCTCTCGGCAGAGAATTGGCCCGGTGGGCGGCCAGGGCCTCCGCCACCGCAGTCCACTTGACGGCATCTCCGTAGATCGATAGGAAGCGATCGACTGTTGGAAGAGGCTTTCCAGCTCTCGAGGATGAACACAGATCGGAGAACATGCTGCCACCATGAGAGGAATGTGAGCAAACTACAGATCACGAAGAGGGGAAGAGAGCACATTCCGGAGAGCGGAATCCGGGTTTACCTGAGGCTTCTTACGATAGACTCGGTCGCCGATGCTTCCTCCAGAGCTTCAGCCGCAGCTGCAAAGGCAACGCTTCTCCTATGCAAAGCATCCTGCGCCATTCAGAGGTCGTGAAGAATATCGATTAAAGAAAAGTTTTCCAGATTCCGAAGGTTTTCCCCGGGGGAGGGAAGAACTCATCTTTCTATCCCAGATTTTATTAAAGAAAATGCCATGAGGTAAGATCTTCAGTGCCCCACCAACCTTCCCGAGCTTCACAAGGTTATCCGAGAGAGCATCGAGTGGGATGCTGCCATCAGTCCATTTTCTGTCGTGGACTGTGATTCTTGGGGCCCCTCGGCTTGGCTTATCAGGTACAGCGGATAATTCGTTGTTGCAGCTGGCCCTGGGCTTTTCGTCGATTGGCGTCTGCTCGCCCTCGGATTCTTGTTCTCCCCCGACATCACTCAAACGCCTTGATATGGCGATCTAAGGGTGCATTTAATTGGCAAAGAGAAATGCATGATTTACGAGGGATCAACGAAGACAATGAAAATAAAAGATCACAGCGCAGAAACATGGGATCTTTCGCGAGATTTTTCAATGAGAAAATCGACGACGGCATAAATAGAAAGAATTTATGGGAAAATTACGGAGAAGGATGATCAATCTGAATTGCAATATCAATGCCCACAATTGAATCCCAATGGTTTTCCAATGGAATTATACTCCGGAACTTTTTTTCAATACTTCTCCTGCACTCTCAATGGATACTCAAGACGATGACGGGGAACAAAAGTAGTACGAACGGAAAGCTGGAAGCAAAAAATGATGGTGAACCTGAGTTCGCAGAATGGCTTGTTTATCCACCGCGTTCTTCGATCCCGTCTTCTCCTTCGTCTCTGAAGCATTTGATGACGTATCGTCCCAGCTCTTACGGGATGATCTCATGGACACCATCAAAGCATCAGACGCTTTCGATATACCCGCAGCAATGGCCGATATCTTCTTCTTGTTGCCCCCCTCTCCAGCCATCGGTGAGAGCTTTAGAACGCCGGACAATCTCCTCCCCGGTGACATGGAATTCCGCCGCCCCATTGGTGAAGCAGCCTTCCGTCCGCCCGCAGGTGATGGATGCCGATACCTTGACGGGACTACAATGGCAGGCTCCCTCGTCGTCCGACGGTTGTCCTCCTTTGCGGCGACTAGGCTTGGCACCTCACATTTAGACGGAACAGGCGACGAAGCTCTAGAATTAGCCCGTCCCATGGCGGGAGACGACGGCCTCGAAGGCGCCCTACCCGCCGGAGAAGGATCCCGTTCTGGCGCAGTCACCACACTCTTCCTCGACGATGATTTCACAGAAGCGGGAGATGAGAACCGCCTCTTTGTCGCTGCCGCCGTCGTGACATTCTCATGCCCCCTGGCAGGGGCCACGTTTTCCCTCGCTGCAAACACCGCCCTGGTAACTGGGCCACTCCTGTCGTCAGAATTCCTGGACACAACCTGAAGCGGCAGCTGCTGCGTGGTAATGGTAGGGGGCGGTGGCGGCGGTGCCCCGCCATTGCCATGCTCGGCTGATGTCGCGGGCTGGATGAGGAAGCCGTCGCCGCTCGGAGAAACCTGGACAACCAGGGGATCGGGACTCCCCACAAAGGGGTGAGGGCGGCCATGGATGGGACGGACGCCGTATGCGCGGGGGACGGGGGATCCCTCAAAATGGAGGCGCTCTACGTGGACGAACTGGCCGAGCTGCGCGCGGTTGGAGAGGATAACGTCGGAGTCGCGATCGGAGAGGGAGACGTAGGTGGAGTTGGCGGAATCGGAGAGCTGGACGTAGAAGCCATGGCTGGGCCAGAGATCCGGCCCGGCTAGGGCCGGCACGATGCCGATCACCTGCAAGAGCGCCGATCGATGCTCCCCGGCAACCCTAGTGTCGGTGTTCATCGACTGGAGCAGCTTCAGCAGGACTCCCGGCGTGAGGGACGCCATGGAGATGCCCCCTTTGCAATCTCTACGGCCAGAATTCTAGCTATACAAGAGAGGAAGAACCCCGGCGCGATGCCGCCCCCGTTCTTCCGTCGCGTTGGTGATGGAGGAGAGAGAGAGAGATGATTAATGGGGGGAGGAATCTGTGAGCCGTTGGGGGGGCAGCTCCTTTTCAAAATTCAAAAGCCCGCCCATTTGCCCCCTCTTCATCCTCCAGATGACAGCGACTGAGACGTCCGTTAAATGGAGAAAGTAAGAGCTGTTCACCAGCCGATTTGACGTGTCGGCCAGTCAAGTGGGCCTCTTACGTAATCAAACGGAGCGCTCAACACTTGGGACAAAATGGCCGTGTCAGTCCACGCACACGTATTTTCATCGTTTTGGATTTTTCTCTTCTTCCTCTCCACATAAATAGGGCACACACATATTGGTGAACTCATCTCTCTCTCTCTCTCTCTCTCTCTCTCTCTCTCTCTCTCTCTCTCTCTCTCTCTCTCTCTCTCTCTCTCTCCCCTCTCTCTCTCTTACCCTCATTTACTTACCCTCGTGGGAGATGCGAGTATACCAACAAACCGCAGGAAGGAAACTATCTTTTTTTTCTGTTTGGAGTAAATTATGGTTGTTTTCTTCAACTTAATACATTAAACATTAAATCTTAATTGGGCTTACATGAACTCAGAGTACATCAACCTGTTGCCAGCTGTAAAACCTCTTTATGATGTCAAAAGCTGAAAAATATTATAATAAAAAAGGTCATTTTATGATTATTTACCTTAGTACTTATTGCATAAGCAACTAATAACGTTGGGAAAAAAAAATCAGAGATTGATCAAAAATGCTTTTAACAATATGTACTCAATTTACAAATACAAGATAACAAAGAAAAAAGAAAAAGAGTAGGAAGTGAATAGTTTAGTACATGCAATCTCATATTTTAGCATATAAAATATGTGATGCAGAATAATGTAGCATTGATCAAGTTTTATGTTTCAAGATATGAGAAGTTAGAATGTGAATTATATATTATAAAAAGCTTCATATGATACATTATATTGCAAAATACTGCAATATATTAAGTTTTATATCAAGCTTATGTGAAAATACATTGAAAAATATCAAAGCACATCAAGAATCATGTTAAGGATATCCAAATATGTCATAAAAAAGACAAATAATGTTGCAAACTAGCTAAGTAATTGTCTCATATTTTGATATGTTATAATACATTGCATAATAGTTAATACATCAATAATATTTTAGTACATATAAATTAAATTGCAGAATAATATAATATATTATAAATTATTTTTTAATACATAATGAGGATATATGAATTAAATCACCGAATAATAGAATATATTATGCTATTGAAATGATAGATATATCAAGTTTAATATTCTATTATGTTAGAATTATACTGCAAAACTCAAGTATCAAGTTCAAAAGAAAATTATAATTAAGTCTATATACTAAGCTCAATATTTTACTATATAAAGAGTTTACATTAGAAAAAAAGTATTAAGCTTATCCAAATTCTACAAATAACTATCTATATTATGTTCAAGATGCTGTATGTGAGAATTACATAATTTAATGTCTTAGTTTATTGAAAATTTACATTACAAAAGACTGTTCTTGAACACAAGAGTGATATGTAAATGATTTCGTACAGAAAGTTCAATATTTAGTATATAATAATGATCTAATCCACATATACATAGATTTTATAGTATGAAATACAAGGAAAATATGCATAGAATTTAGTATATAAATCAAATTACTTTGATATAAGGGAATTCCAGTAGAATATAATGTAGTGTATAAAGTCACATGTCGCAAGACATTTAATTTACATTGTCATAATTTAGTATGAAAAGTTTTATATCTCAATATGTGAAATTTAGATTGCGATATATGTCAACAAGCAAACCTGCCTATCTTACTATGTAAAGTTTACATTGCACACAACACAAGTTTTGAATCAAAGAGTCATGAGCTAAGTTAATATATGACATTGCATATCTAAATGCATAAATTTTATAATAAAAAATTGAAGTCCCAAGACTTGGAGTGAGATGTAGATAATATAGTATTATCAACTTTAACTGTAGCAAAAACAATATATGGTTGACACTTTGTGATAATGACTTGAGCACCTATTGTAGTATACATAACATGCATGATAAATGTATCAATAAACCTCATAATCATGCCATCATCCTAAATCAGCACCAAACTTTATCAACAAAGACAACTCATACTAATCTAAAACTGTAAAGAAAGGTTCCCCAGTCAAAAAAAAATAGTTTTAAAATGAATGGATTAAGAAGGAACTCATTATAAAGTTGAGAAAATTAGAAATTTCAAGGAAAGAGTAAGTATGAAAAATGTAATTGAGAAGCCAAAGTAAAGATATATACTTGAAAAATTATGCATCTAGCAATAAGAATAAGCATATTCATGTTTAAATGTACAAAAGCTTCTAAATTTCAAGACAATATTTTTGTTGCCTTCTGGAGCCTTATTGATTTTAATGTTGACAAAAATAATAATGTAATTGCATACATTTTAATTTGATTTTTATGTATTCTATTTTAGTAATTTTTATTCAAACTTAATAGTTGTGTATTCTCCTATAGGTGTAAATCTAAAAGCCAAGTGTTTGTCACATTTGGGCTGCTATAATCTCAAATATAATAGAACTAAGCTAATAGCCAGTCTTTAGCTATTGACGCAAAACATTTCTACTAACTTCAATGTGGTATCTTTTTAAGAGTAGAGTGAGCCCAGATGGCTTAACGACTAAAAATCATGTGGCTCTCTTGTTTAATCTTATAATAATAAATAAGGAGTTATCTCACGTGGGTTTAGAGTGTCATTGAATTGTTACATCATACCCCCCCCTTCCATCTTATTTCATTCGGAAAAGAGAATAAATTCACCTATTCCCTTCTTTTTATTTATTATTGACTTCATAAAACCCACAAATATATCATTTAAAAATATATCTTATAATTATTCAAACACTTTTATTATTTACTACTAAGATGGTATTATAGTTTGTCATAATTCTTAGACAATGATACTACATTATTACTATATTTTTTTCATGAATATATCAAATAATTAATCGTCAAATTAAAAAGTAAAGTCAATGAGTATTCATAGGGAGCAATAGTTTTGTACGAAATTTCAAAAGATATTAGCTTATAGTTATCCTATCTAGTAGGGCGCAGAAACCAAATAAACATATTATTCTAGACCAAAATCAATGTTGTTAATTAGGCGAGCTGAGCCGGGCATTCCAGCACCAAGTCACTCCTCGCCCAATCCAAACGAGAACGGCGCGCAAGACTGCAAACCGTAATCTGTGCAGTCGACGAACATATGGTTTCATCGGAGATGCTGGAACGAGAAGCTTGGCCAATAACGCTCTCTTGGATGGAAGAGCCAGCGAAAGCGGTACGAGGAATTTCTTAGGCAGAGTCAGCGCCGCCTCCATAAGCCGCAGACTTCATTCATTGTGTCGTAGTAAATGTTACCAAGACGATATGTGAGTAAACTCGCTCTCCGAACTCGCTTCAACTTCCGGGGTGGCCAATGCAAGTCGGTCCATTTGGCTACCAGTCTGATCTCTTTCTTCCTTCTCTCTCTCTCTCTCTCTCTCTCTCTCTCTACTGTATGTGAACTAAAGCGGAAATAGCATATAAAATTCATCGTCCCTCTCTCCACTTCTGATCTTTGCGAGAGGAAGGGAGACTCTTCTTCCTCATTATGAAGACTACTGGAAAAGGGGAGCTGAGGATCAGTCAAAAAGAGAAGATTTATCACAATAAAGAAGGAATCGAGAGGCATCATTGAGGGGGAATTCCTTTTCCTTGCTTCTCGTTCTTCTTTCCGGTGGTGGAAGATTCAAAATTTCTGCACGGCGACCTCCACGGCACACAGAAGCCACCCTACCACCGGAAGATGTGGAGAGAAAAGGAGTCGTGTCAGGGAACCTCACTCGATCTTATCTGCGTTGTGATGCTTTCTGAAATGGCCTTTGATGAATTCTGCGCGTGCAAACCGAGGAGGAAGTGGAGGGAGGCGGGGGGGGGGGGGCGGTGGGGGAGAGGAAGGGGAGGGGGAAGGAAGGAGCTTCAGGGTTTTCCTCGATGAACACCATCCCCTCCCTCCTCTATCCGAACATCTGCTCGAGCAAGATCACCATCGCCATGGCGACGGCGGGGTCGAAGCCCGGCTGCACGACGAGGCGGAACACGTCCACACCCAAGGCGACGCCCTTGACGGCCTCCTTCCTCTTGATCTCCGCCATCATCTGCCGGTTCTCGTCGTAGACTGCGCAGCACCTCTGCGAGTAGGAGCCCTCGATGTCGTAGGAGCCGCCGCGGCCGCCGGCGGCATTGCGTTGTGTGACCTGCGCCAGCGCCTTGTGTTGCAGGAGCTGGACGTGCTTCTTCGCCGAGAAGAGGGGATTGGTGGTCTCCTCCCCCTCGTAGACGAGCCAGTGGTCCCCCAGGCAAAGCTTCTGCACATGTCATGTTTCGAAGATATCTCCTCAGCGACGACGGAGGAAGAAAATAGCTCTTGCCGGCAATATAATCCGATTCACTCTGAGCCATCATTGATCGGCAAGTAATTACCTTTCTACGGACGGCGAGAAGGGGGACGCCTGTGGCATCCATGAGGACGATCTCCCCCTTGCTCCCGGAGGTGTAGTTGTCGACGCGGTAGACGAGGTCGCCGCAGGAGTCGAAGACGGTGAACCCATCGCAGTTGAAGAGGAGGGACTTCCTCCAGACGGTCAGCGCCACCGCTTCCCCGCCGGAGCGGTCCGGCGGGCTCGGCACGCCGGAGGAGATGGCGTTGGGGTGCACCTTCGGCATCTTCCACCCGGAGGACTCCAAGGTCTCGTCTCCGCTTGGCTAAGAGCTGGGATTGAATCGCTTCTTCTTCTTCTTCCTGCGTTCCTCAGCATGGGGGTTGCGGCTGGGAGACTCACCCCCTGCGGGACCAACCCCATATATAGACCCTGATGGTCACAAATGCCCTCACCGCAGGCCTAAAACCCCTCCTTGTACGACGCTCATTACTTCCATCTCCGCAGGCGTCGTCATCTTAGGGTCCACCTCTCGCCCCCCGAGTCCGAAAGGGAAATACTTCAGACTCGGGCTTAGCACAGTAACGGCGGAAGACTGTTATCAAAAATCTACCTTTATTTTCAAGGTAAAAAAGGAAGGAACCACCATGGGGCAAGTAAACCATTCCTCTACGTCTTCCTGGCAGGGGACCCTGTCGAGTAAAGTCTCCATTAAACAATCTCGCCGCTGCGCCGGGTTTAGATTGAGCTCTAGAACAATTAAACAACTATTTACAGTATATTCGACGAGGATCGGGATGACGTAGACCGTGCAGAGGAGAAACTGCACATGGCGTAGCGGGCTACAGTCCATGCATTCAATTCGACGTACTTGTCGCGCGTTTCTCTTCCGCGAGACCAACCACGTGATGCCCGAGGCAGACGATGAGGCTTGTTGATGCGCCGCGGGTGGGGGGGCCTCGGCGTAGGGAAGAGATATGTCGATGGCGCGGTCGCGGCAGCTACGCGCAACTGGCCGCCGACCGGGTCGGCTCCAATTGGCGGGGCGCCGGAAAGGTCACAGGGGGTCCCTTTCGCTCGGTTCTCTCCCGGGCTTTGTGTGGCCGAGTGGCGCCGCCCTCACCCCGACCTTCCAAATTTGTCAGCCATCAATGGGTTTGAATGGGTTTACCGGCAACTTTTTTTAAGAGGGAGAGAAATTCTGAGGCTATTCGATGGTCCAGCGGGCCGCCGTGCCGGCGATTGCTACCTTTCTTACGAAGAAGCGCCCCCCACGGGCGGCTAGCTCCCGGAGACCCAGATGGAGAAACCCCTTTCCTGGAAGGATCACGGCGGGTGACGGGGGTCCTCTTCTTTTCTGGATTCTGTGTTCTGTGATGAAACTCCGGCGGTGTTCTCCGGCATCTTCACCGAGCTCCTCACCGACTCTTCGTCCGAATCAACTTGCTCCAAGGTCTTCGCTTTATCCTATCGTTGACCAGTTCTAGCTTTGGCCATGGGGCAGGCGACGCCTAGAGATCTTTCTGATTTTCTATCCAAGAAACTGGAGCTCAGCAAAGATCTGCACTTGGGCTTCGTCGATATTTTCGTTATCATCTGGCTCATTGGCCTCAAATTGTACAGCTATCATTGGAGGGCAGAAGATCTACGGTCTCCCCATACGAGAAGGTTCCAAGCCGGGTGGAGACAGTTGTCCGTCCATTGGGTTCGCCCTCGTGATAAAAGGCACGTGTCGGGTGCCTATAGGTTTGACCTATCAAACGTCGCCCTTGGTGGAGAAAGCTGGTGGGGAATCCGAAAGGCTAGTCAGTGGACGCGGTTAGCAGGAGAACGACGTACACGATGACCCTGTCGTCCCGCTCGGTTGCCGACTCGGTCTGGAGATGGGGGATCGGATTCGTGCTCCAGACAACAAAAAAACACTTGAAATTTAATGCCGTGGCCACCCCTCCGAGCTTCTGGATCGCCCACAGCCTTAGAAAATCCCTGGAAATCTCTGCTTCTTTCGTTCACAGAAGACCCGGCACCACGAAAAATGCAGGCTCCTTGAGGATGAGCGCAGCGAAGATGTACTTCCTGAGCCAAATATCATGCAGTAAATTGAGTATGTGTTTATATGAACATATCGCGTTTGCATCTTGAGGTGTTCTTCGATCTTTATAAGCGGGTCTTCTGCATACTCTGCAAATCGTATCCATCGGCATGGAAGTCGCTTCAAGACCCATTCAGAGTGATTTGGTAGCTTAAGCAACTTAAACCATTGCGAGGGGAGCGAAAGAAAGAGAGAGATGGGGGAGGGGGACCGGGCTAGTGGGGGCAGAAGAGTGAACCAGTGGAGGGCAGAGATGGATAGAAATGGATAGAGAGATGCTGAAAGCGAGAAATAAGAAAGAGAGAGAGAGAGAGAGGCTTGAAGGATGGTAATAGGACATGAGAGATCTTTCTTACGGCGTCGCTATCGTGTAGAACGACGCCTCCAAGGGAATTTGCTTGATGATATTTCGCGTGCCCAAGAAGTCACCAGTAGAGGAGGCCTTCGACCCAACCGAGAGCGGCTATTTCACTGATGTAACTCCTTTTCCTTCGGTCAAACGAAGCTATCCGGGGCAAAATTTCCCAGACGTCACGACGTTTGCCGCTGCTTTGCCGGCGGGCCCGCCGGCAGAAGAAGACTCACAAGTTTCAGCAAAGCTCACCCCAGCGGCGATGCCAAGATGGCCAGGAAACCCGCACGAGCAGTGGGGACACAGAAAGACTCTTCAATCGTCATTAAAGACCTTATCCCTGAGTTTAAATAGTCGTCAGCCGCGGCTTTATTGACTTTACCGAGTGGAGCACTCTCCGTCCGCCGTCTTCGCTGCTTGATCTATCGATTAACGCGGCCGATCATCCCTCCCGGTCAGAAGTCAAAGTAGACTCGACACTAAAATGTCGGCGGTGCGCCCTGATGATATCAATGAAAAGAAGAGAAGGGAGCGCCCACGGATTCTTGTCACCTCATCTGTCACGGTCTTCCTCCCGCCACCGTCTATCTTTCTCTAGAAGTTTAGGGTTTCCTTCCCAGAGGAGGTGAGCTGCTCCCGCCGTCATCTTCCCCGTGTTTGCGATAGAAAACGTACGGTCACTAGGGTTCTCGGATTATCGCCCAGGTGAGAAGGATTGGCTATTCGTCACATCTGGAATTCGTTCCACCTACATCCCCGTCAGCGTTGTCTATTCAGGAAGGCGTGACAAGAACCGGCGAGCAGAAAGAACCATTCCCCCCTCCGAAGGCGGGCGTGGTCCTAGGGCAGCCGGTCTAGGCATCTCGCCATTATGCTCTTCCTCACTAACGCAGACGCTCAACCACGGGAAGAAAAACTGGCCGGAGAAGCCGACAGGCGTGGCTAATGGCCCGCAAGAAAGTCGGAATCGGCATCCTTCTACAGTTTTGAAGCCGCTCTAAGTCTTCTTCGAGGACAGGACTGAGGTCAAGGACAGGGATTAACCAGAAGACGTCCCCTCCATCTCCCGCCGTTGAGGAGACAGGCTCCGGCATGTAGGGAGAACAGATGGAAACTCCTTCCCGCACTGGTGAAGGCCATGTCGGGCGACGAGTCTGAACTGCGGGGGGGAGACCTACCGGCGTTGTCACTTAGTACACAGGAAGGGAATATAATTGAATGCGACCCGTGTAGCTCTGATATTCCCTGAAAACCGTCGGCAGCGCCTTTCAAGATGTCGACGAGCCATGGGAATATGCTCATGAAGAGCCCGTCCTGTGATCTCTCAGAAGGAAGGAGAGAGAGAGAGGAGGTGACCCATCCTTGCTGGCCCCTCCGCGCATAAGCGCATTTGGGGAAGAATTAGAAGGGAGAAAGGCGAACATTCTCATCTTTTGAAGGGTGCCGACAAGGGTTAGTAAAGAAAACGATGATACGCGGGAAGTCTCTTGATTTTCTTCTCGAAACTGATCTTTCTCTCCCTTCCACCCCTCCTTACTGCTCCCACTGAGACATCCACCTCAAGGTTTGACAAAGCGACGACCAGTGCGCAGGTGACGGCAACGAAGCCCAAAACACGTTGACTTTTTGCTCCCAGACGGCAAGAGTCGTACGCGTGGCTTTACGGGTCAATGGAACCATCTGCATTGATTCAACCCGAGTTGAGATCGCGTCACCCGCCACCGACCCGATACGTCGACGAAGGGAACTCGGCTTCAGTGGCGAGAGCACGCTGGACAAGAACTGCACACGCCACACGCTGACTTTCGTGACTGGAACTGACGTGTGAAGCAGCACCGGCAAGCACTCGCCGCCGGCAGTGGCGGCCACTTCAGATTATCGGCGTCCTTCGCCGGCGGGGGGGTTACATACCCACTCTCTCTACCAGCTGGTTCCCAACCTACGTCGACAAGTTGGGTGGCGCTCAAAGCCAGGTGGTAGTGCTCCAGCTTGAGTTGACAATTGAACATGGTTCGGATAAGGCTCAAAGTTACAGTTTACAGGGAGTTATCGACATGTAGGTTACTTTTTCAGGGATCAAAATAAAAAATGAGATAATCCACTCTCACACGTGGACCTCCTGATGTTCTGACTTTCCTGTTTTAGCGCTTTTGGGCTCGGTTTTCGCATCGTGTAATTTGGGTGCTAACTGGGCCATAAATGGGCCTTTCATGGGATCTCTATGGGAATAAGGGCGACGTCTTTTCGGTTAAGACGTGGCGTGGAGTTGTGGCATAGGTTTTGCGTTGGAGAAAAACCCTAGCTTCTGCGCCGTGCGGGAGCAGAGGAGGACGAGGATGGGGAAGAAGAAGTTCATAGACAAGAAGAATTCCGCCACCTTTCAACTCTTCGCGCGGGATTCCTCTTCCTGCGACCCTGCCGCACCCCCGGCCTCCGGTGATGCCGATCGCGTCTTCGTCCGCGTTGACAACAACCCGCACTACTCCGCCCCCGAGTCCTTCGGCGAAGATGGAGCTGACGAGAACGGCGGCCACCAAAATGACGTTGTCGATGACGAGTATTTGGATCCTTATTCTGTCTTCGCCGATGCTGCAGATGGCACCGACGAGGATGATGGTCCGCCTTTCTCCGGCGGCGGTCCAATGGCTCGACCTGACGGGGCGCCGCTTCCCGATCAAGTGAGGAGGGAGATTTTAGAGCTCGGGCTGCCGGACGATGGATACAATTACCTCGCACATCTTCGCGAGATCAGGAAATCCGGCGGGGGCTCTAACTATTACGAGAATAGCAAGGCGAAACTCGACAGTCTGCCGCTTGACGTGAGGGCTTACGACGCTTCACGGCTCCGGATAAAGCCAGAGGCCGGTGACGTTGGCACGGATGCCATATATGATGTTGCCGCGAAGACGGTAGGTGTGAAGATTGACAAGGCTGTGGATCCTGACGTAGTCAGGTTACTCGATGACAGTGACCTGTCGAGGTTTGGATCGGACGTGGAGGACTTGGAGGAAGATTTCGTTGCCAGGGCCAACTGTCTAGGAGAAGCGGAAGAAGATGGTAATTCTGTTTCTAATACCACAGATGGGAACACGATGCCTCGTCATGAGCATGATGCATTTGGGGAGGATGAGTCGTCTGAGGGACAAAGTTTGGATAATGAAAATGAGGATTGTTCAAGGAATTCGGGGAGAGAAAGAAAAACGGACTTGGAAGATATCGATAAAAAAAGACGTCGAAGGCCACTGGATGAGCAGTTTGATCTGGTAGTGCATCAGACTTATCCTTCATAGATTAGGGTGACACACTTCCTGTTTACATGCTCTTTGTCGTTCTCGAAGTCTGAACATTTCGGTTTTATGAAATTCTCTTTGCTAAACGGTTGTCAACTTTTTGGCTTCTAGTCGATTTATTTCGTTCGCATTTTCCATCTTCTATTTTCCACCTAAAAGTTGTAGGAATAAGCAAGTGTTTTCTGTGGGTGATTTGACCTTTTCTGTTCTGGGCATTTCGTTTTTTGTGAAAAAAAATGTTTTGGCAATTTTATGACCTATTCAATGAGTTTGGGAATCGCTGGAGTCTTTCCAAGCGATGTACATGCTTAATGTTACCTGAGATCTTTAGCCTGCATTATCCTTATTTTTTGCTTACTCAAAGCTCTCCACTGGCATCCAATGATCTTTGTTCCATTTATTTTTGTTTTGATTTTTTTCTGAAAAGCTTATATGTCATCTTTGATTATATTATTATTATCATTTGGCAATGAGCCCCATGCATCTTCTTATTCTTCTTTCTTCTCCCCTGGATGTTTATGAAAAGCTTGCACTTGTCTTCACTGTGTGACACTGTCTGACGATTAAACTTACTAAATTTCCGTAGACTTTCTCTCCCATTGGGATTGAACTCACCTCTTTTTTCGACTTCTCGGCCTGTAGAAACCTCTCCATTCCTTTCATCCTCAGTCTTCTCGAGTATCATTCGTTCGGTGATAAGAAATTAGTAGTAGGTCGGGGAACCATGATCACTTCCCATGTCTTCCTATGTCATTTACTGGGTTTTATGTAAAACCCATCACCTTGTCCTAGTGCCAAATGGAAGCCAGAACATCGCATACCTACGTATTTGGTAATTGAAGATTGATTATGCACTCTGTATCTCCCTTGACTTTTGTAAAAAACTGTTCAGTGGTCTATTGTAACGGGAGTATGTAGAGCGGTCATCCAGTTATAATCTAATGCATGGACCATGCTGACAGGTAATCTGGTCGTACTTATTTTCCTGGAGATCTTACACATGGAATTTCAGCTAAATCTTTTGCCCTAATGCCAGTCTTTTGGTTCATGAATGTTAGGCAACGTGGAAAATTGCATTGCCTTATGACAATTGCATGGGGGATCTTTTGTTTCTCCATCGATAATCTTTCTATCAGTCATTGATCCGTCATATATGTTAATGTTTTCTATGTAATGAAGGAGTACTCTCTAAACTATATGTTGCAACACTCCCACGCTTTCACAAATGGATATAAACCATTGGGAAATTGTTTTTTAGGTGGAATTTTTCAATGAAATAACCAAATGGAAAAGTTACCTCAATCGTCATATACCGAGAACTGTAGACTCTTCGAACAAATCCCTTGTCAATCTTCGAAAAATGGTGTTAAATTTTTTGTCGATGTATTTCCAACATCATCATAATCATGAATTTTAAATTGCTTAATTTGCAACTTATACGGACGAGTTCAGTAACATGTTTTACTCTTTTTTATCCAGCTCATGGTTCATGAATATGGTGATGACAGTAATAGTGACGATGATTGTTATGTCGAAAATAAACCCGAAGAATTACTTGCCCCTGAGCTTAAACATGCCCTAAAGGAGTTCCCAAAGGAGGAACTAGATTTTGAAGAGACATACAAAGTTCCAGCAGACTTCTTACGCCAGGATCAAACGACCATCAGTAGTCAGCTGGTGGAATCATCTGCAGATGTTCTGCTCAAGTGCGTGGAGTATGCTCAGATGTACAGTCAGGAAGACGACAATAATGAAAAAGTGCTAATATTTGAGGAAAGCAGCGACGAATCTGAGATTTGGGACTGTGAAACTATAGTTTCTACATATTCGAATGTTGATAACCACCCTGGAAGAATTCAAGTTCCAGGAAAGTCTGATAGGAAACGTCAAGTTCCTGATTTGGTTTCTGTGGTCTCAAGCGAAAAGAGTAAAATTATTGCTCTTCGGGGTAAGGAAATGCTTCCAGTAGACTTCTTACCACAAAGTAGAAGAACTCCTGTCGAGAAGGACAAGAAATCCGCAATCACAGGACCTGAGCAACTAAAGAGACGGCCAAATGAATCAAAGGAGGAAAAGAAAGAGCGCAAGGTAACTACCATTCTTTGCCTATCAATTACTCTGCATGAGCTTAATTCTGAGAAAGAACTAAGACCAAATATTGCTTCTCTGATTATGGTTATCTGCTTTTCTGTTGTCATATGTGGCTTTTGAACAAAATGCCACATATGATTCATGAATCTAGCCAGATTTGCGTGCGATTATATCCCATCTGGTATCTGCATCATAGTCTATATAGCCTAAGAAGAGGATGGATGTGGAGTTTGACTCTGTTGCTTGAGATTAGTCTCCCTCCGTTTTTCCAGAAATAAATGAAGGAATAAATAAACGAAAATATGAATACATTGATGGGTTTAATCTGTTTGCACCGTGCAGGCTGCCGTGAAGGAAGCGAGAAGGGAGGCCCGCCATTCGAAGAAACAGCTGAAAGAATTGTACAAGTGCGAATCCCAGCTGGCCCAGAAGCTGGCTGCCGTTTCGGGGCCTTCCTCTATCCATCTCATGTGAATCAGCCCGCTCAGTCGTTCTTAGCTTGGCCTGTGAGATGGGTTCTTCTCTCCTCCCGCGCTGTGTCATTGCTTGGCTCTGCGTGCTGCGTTGAATAGTTATGGCTGCTGATGCAGGGGAATCGATTGCCGGAAGAGAACTAGCTGGAGGATTCTGAGCTTGGAAGACTTTGATGGCAGTCGATGTACATTTTCCAATTTTGGCTGTCATGTTTTATTACGTGTCTTTTCTTCTTAAATTTTGACCCGTTGGATAACTATTAAAAGACTGCTTCTCGACTCCGCTTCGTTCAGTGAAGAACTCGTCTCTTCCATCTCTCCCTCTCTCTCTCTCTTTCGGCTGCCAGGTCACCGGAAGTGTCAGCGATGCGTGCCGACTGGACTGCCAGGTCACATGTCCCCGATGGAATTAGAATAACATTATTGGCGGTATTTTTAAAAAGGTTAATAAAAATATCGTTCCCAGCGCGGTCCATAATCTTCTAATCGTTCGGCTGCGAGCGAGTGAGTCGATTGATCGGACGGCCCACAGGACGCCCTTTTAGTGTGGCGTTTTTATCGAGGCGGGGACGCCCAGATTAAGCCTTGGACGGATTTGGAACGAAGGTATTTAACCGAAGGCTATGGCGAGTGTCCCGAGGGCGAGGCTGGTGTTGGAGAAGGCTTCGAACTTTTGGTGCTGCCGTCATCGCCGCCGGCGGGTTCACTGCTCTCCTGCGCCGAGGTTCGGCACTCCTTGTGAAGGCGCACTGCCGTGGCGCGGCTTGCTCGCTGCTCCGGTTGGTCCCATCCGCACGATGGCACAGGCGATGGGAACTGAGTTCTACAAGTTCGGACCGTATAAGATCCATCCCGGCGAGGTGTTCCACTCCACGGATCTTTCTTACGCCATGGTGAACCTGAGGCCCCTCGTACCTGGTCGCACCCTCCTCACCTGCGTATTCTGTTTTTTGATACTTACTCGATAGTTCTTGTTTCCGCTTCATTTGATGACTCGAAGCCTAACAGGACGGCAGAAGAACTACGAAAATAAACTAGGTACCTTGAGGCACATTCCCGACGATTGCACGCAGATGAGCCTAGAGTCCCTTTCTTTCTCCTAGGACCACTTTGACTCCTCATCTGAGAATATATGAAGCTAATTTATCGTATCTAAGATATAGGGCTTCGTGATCCATTTTCCAGGATCTGTGGAACCACGGAGACGTTTTTATTAATATTCTAGTTGTTTCACATTGCTCATTAAGAAAACACTCCCCTGCTCTCCACATTTCGTCAATTCATCCCATGCCGGAAAGTAATGTATTCTCAGAAGCGCTTAGATATGTAACTCCCGGAGAGCCTTGAGCTCTTTGAGAATAGAGGATGAATAAGGAGAACATGGACTTTAAAGAAATGCTTTGGAATGAGGATGAACGATATTTATGCCAACTTCGTACTTGCTGGACCATATTGAAAGTCTGGAATACGTGCTTGAGAACAAGAAAGCAGAAGGGAAGAAACTATCAAAAAATGTCTCGCCTGCTTGAGTCTAAAGTGCCATTCGCATAGGGCACACTTGTTGCTAATTAATATCCGTTCACACTCGATAGAATTTGCTCTTGTTTACAGCCAGTAGGCTGTATAAAAATGGCATGTCTGTGTCCTCATTTTCTCTGTTACATTTTGTATCATTTCCAAACAGTCATTCTGGTTTATTTCTTTATACGATTCAGCTTTAATTGAAAGACTTATTGAACTCATCCCAAATTGCAGTCTGATTCTGCCTCGTCTCATCGTTTTGACAAGACTTTCCTCGTTGGAAAATGGTTCAACTTTTCTGTGATTTTGACTTTGATGCAAATGAGCACTCCATTTTAACTCCTGGTTCAGAGACTACTCACGTTCTATATTTTGTTTTGGTCTCGCGTATTCAACCTTCGGACAGGAAGTTGACCCTAATTGTAGCTGTGTGACATTCGTTGTGTATTAAATACTTAAATCTCCAATACTCCGTTTTTGCGAACATGGAGAAAGAATGACAATGAAATTGAAGACTTACTTTCTGATTGAAGCTATTACTTGCCTTTTTAGCACATATTTCTGGTCATTATTCTATTATCTTTAAATTATATAAATACAAAATTTAATCTTATAATCTCTTTACTACAGTACTGCTTGCCTATCAATTAATTTTCGTACCATAGATGTTCAAGTGAATGTTAGAGATATTTTTTTGAAGCAAAGTGTATTTTTACATAGTTCACTGATTTTTCTTACTTATTCATTCAGCTCTTTTTGTTTTAATCTTTCCTCATTCTTTGTATTTTTTGTTCCAGGTCATATCCTTTGATGCGGGGAGTGAGTTATCTTTTCTGGAGACTGGCACCATCACTGTGTGCAACTACATTCATGTCTGTAGTCTCTTATCTGCATACTTTCACACACACAGGCTCATATCTTTCACGAATGGACTGTTTCAGCAAACATGTGGATGTACATCTAATAGCATCGGTTGATACCTAGAGGGGCCACACCTTCTATTATTTGTTTTCTTAGGGGGGTTATAATAGATGTGTACTCCTCCGAGCTGAATTTTAAGTCACGAAAACAGGGGCGTACAGGTTAAATCATAGATATGAATCCTTAATCGGTTTGCTCATGAGGTTTTCTTCTCATATAATTTGTATCATGACAATAGTTCTCCGTTTGCACATTTGAACAACTTAACATGCTACACATGTGCTTGTTTGCCCAAAACGTGAAGTAAAGAGGTTTCCTGACCTCACTGTGGATGAGATTAGTGACCTGTGGGTTACTGCACGCAATGTTGGTGCCCAAATTGAGCGCCATCACAAGGCTTCTTCACTTACATTTGGTATTCAAGTAAGTTCATGGTTTATTCCAATATTGACTCGTTGAATATCATGTTACTATAAATTATGGTTGGCTTTGTTATCTGTGGTTCGTGTTATTATCTTCTGACCAGAAGGAAATCCTGCATTCGACCTCCTGTTTCTTAGTTCATTGAATTATAATATCTATCTGGCATTTGATGGATGAATGATGAACTTTTCCTTTTTACTTTCTGGTGGCGGAGGTTGCTTTCGAAATGAAAGTTATGTTATAAATTGTGATTTGGTTTTTCCTAACCATCCTAGTAGTGTTTCGATTTTTTTTCTTCTTTTAGGATAATTTCAATTCAGGTTTTCTATCTTCTAGTTAACTGATATTAAGATCTCCATTGCGCCTTTTTAAATGAATTATCAGGATGGACCTCAGGCTGGACAGACAGTTCCTCATGTGCACATTCACATCCTGCCAAGAAAGGCTGGGGATTTCGAGAAGAATGATGAGATCTATGATGCGGTAAGCGGATGTCTCTTATTTTCATTTATTTGATATCTAGGCTTTCGGCTATCTGAAGCTATTTTTGTAGATAGATGAGAAGGAAAAGGAGATGAAAAATGAGTTCGATCTGGATAAGGAAAGAAAAGACAGGAGCCCCGAGGAAATGGCCCGTGAGGCAGATGAATACCGCGCTCTCTTCTCTTAGAGAACATGCTCGTAAGGTGCAAGATGCTCTGTTTATCTTTGATTTGATCCTTGCTGCTTATGATCTGCGGTTTCTTATTGATCACATCAAAACTTGCACGGATCATCAATGAAATCCCGCGATCTATCTCCTGTTAATGTGCCACAACATTTCAGAAAACACTGATTCAATATCTTGTTGGCTTTCCTAAACATGCGTGGTGTCTTTGCATTAATCTAACCCATGTTAGTTCTCATTTGTTGATCTAGACATCGGAGCCCGAGCCAAGTTATGTCGGATTTGATCATCTAATATATTTTTCCTTTTTTTGGTGATGTTACTTACGTTACTGAGTGAGAAAAATGTAAGCTAGATTATCTGATATGATTGATATTATTATGGACCCATTTAGGATTTATAGATAATTTTGAAGTATTTTTATTCGGGAGAGCTGGAACTGAGAATCTCTCTTCTTCAAGTTCTTCGTGTTTGTGACAACTTCCGTGATCGATTTACAAAGAAATGGTAGGCAAGTCTGGGGGAGGTCTTCACGAGCACAGCAGGGGCACGCGATGCCTCCGGCATATTCTGTCCATGACGACGATAAACGCCACGAGCAGCTTCACGTCGGCGGCGCGGGGCTGAACGATCAAGCAGAAGACATCGTCGCCTAGAGCGACGGAACTGGTCGCCATCTTCCTCCTGATCTCCGCCACCACCACCTCCTGCTCCGTGCCGCCGGCACGGCGGAGGATCTTGCAGCTCCTCCGCCGGAAGCTCCCTTCCACGCGGTACCCCGCGGCGGCGGCGGCGGCGCCGCCCACGAAGACCTCTGCCTCGTCGCTGCTCTGCAGAAACCGCCGCCGCCTCATGGAGAAGACCAGGGCCGTCGGGTTCTGCCTAGAGCCGCCGTCGCCTTCCAGGCAGTTCCACTGATCATGGACACTCATGATCTGTGCACCAAAACTCCCATCAAGTTAGAGAGAGAGAGAGGGAGACAAGCCTGATTATTTTTTAGTGAGGGAGAGTGCTCACGACGGCGGGTTTACCTGAGGCCGCAAGGTGAGGAGGGCCCTCCCCTCGCCGTCCATTAGGACGACGTCGCCGGCGGCGCACTTGCTTCTCCTCGCGTAGTTGTCGACACGGAATGCCAACTTCCCGTTGCAGTCGAAGACGGAGAAGCCGTCGGTGCCGTGGAAGGCCATGCTAGAGCTCTTCCACACCGTCCACACCGACGGGCAGGCGGCGGTGCCGCCGGGCGCAGCGGCGGCAGTGGGGATGCCCCGCCAGGGCTTGCTCTCCGACGGATGTATCTTCGACATCGTCTCACCGGAATGCGGAGGAGCTCCCCGGGACTTATAGCGGGGAAGAAGAGGGCTCGCGGATCTGCGCTTCGAGTGGGGAGGGACTGTTGCAGAACCTGATACTGGGTAGCACCCAAAAGAACGGCCTTGCTGACGGAGGGGCACGCAGGGTCTTTGGCTTTCTAACGTCGGCGCCTAGTAGGACTCTTGCTGCGAGCGTAATAGATTAACCGCGAGATTCCCTGATCCTCATAATGGGCTGGAACAGTGAGGTCCGTGTAGGCATAGTGAGGGAAGGTGGACGAAACCCTGTCTTCTCTCTCTCTCTCTCTCTCTCTCTCGCTCTCTCTAGAGCTTTCTAAAGATTCTAGACAATATGAGTCTGAACCTGTGCCCACCGAATCATTGGGTAAAGGATAATTTCATATTACACGAAACAAGGAGTTTATGCTATTGAATGTGAGCATGCTCAGTTCATCGTCTTTAGGGCAGTATGTTTTTTATGTACGAGAAGGTGGACGAAACCCTGTTCGCTCTCTCTCTCTCTCTCTCTAGATCTTTTTAATGTTTTTCAGACTATGCGAGTCTTCACCCGTTGCCCATCGAATCATTCGGGTGAGGATAATTTCCTAGTACACGAAAAAAGTTTATGCGACTGAATATGAGCATGCTCAGTTCATCGTCTTTAGAGCAGTATGCTTTTTATGTACGAGAAGGTGGACGAACCCTGTTCTCTCTCTCTCTCTCTCTCTCTCTCTCTCTCTCTCTCTCTCTAGATCCTTTTAAAGGGTTTCAGACTATGCGAGTCTTCGCCGTTGCCCACTGAATTAATCGGGCGAGGATAATATCATATCAGACGAAACAAAGTTTATGCGACTGAATATGGGCACGCTCAGTTCGTTGTCTCTAGAGCAGTATGTTTTTTATGTACGAGAAGGTGGACGAAACCCTGTTCTCTCTCTCTCTCTAGATCTTTTTAAAGCTTTTCAGACCATATGAGTCTGCGCCCGCTGCCCATCAAATAATTCGGACTCATAAGAACTGGGCATGCTCAGTTCGCTTCCTTTAGAGCATTATGTTTAATACGTACGTGAAGACACGTTCGCGGTCATCGCTCTAGACGAAAACGGAAGTGCCCGCTCCTCGTCTCAGGCCCAAACTGTGGACGAAGAGTCTTGAGGCGAAGGGCAAACTAGATCAACCATCAGACCACCAACGGGTTACTTCGACATCGTTTCTAGTCAGACGTGGTCGATATTTCATCTGTGTCGATCGGAGATGACAGATCTCGGGACAAGGGTAGGTGGGGCTGCACCAGCTGGACTCGCTCCCTACCAAGTTAAGACGACGGCGGATAATTTTTATTAGACCCGGGGAGGCCAACATGGATCCGTCTTCTGTCATGTTCCACCATGGTCTCCGACCTAAAAAACCAGGCCCCTACGTCGCCGCCACAGTGGCCTAGTGTAGAAGAACCAGGCGAGCGACGGCGGGTCGACCGACGACGATTCCACCGGCGGCCTTCAGCATTGATGCACCCGCCGACGAAGGAGACAGCGCCAGGTGGTGGGCCAGTGAGAAAATCCGTGGTTTTGTGTGCATTGTCTGCAATCACTAGGCATGTCGAGAATAAAATGCCCGCTTCTTGGTTTCAATATTAATTCTCGTGACTTCATCACGTTCGTCACCGTGAGCCTGAAAGATAGATCAATACATGGGAGAGAGAGAGAGAGAAACCACGATATCGATGACGTGGTATCGATGGCGATGGGCCCGGCTTCCGTGATTCCATAATCGAAGAGTTTGGCGGGTCGAACACAGATTGGAAGTAGACTATTTCGGCAAAGATTGTCAAACATCATGCCGTTTTCGTATAGCAAATAATCACGTCGCGTGCTTATTCTAAATGGGGATCCAGGGAATGTCCTGCTGCGACAGTCAGCCGGTGCCGCTGGTCTTCCGGACAAGTCGCAGTTGCACTCCCTGGGATGTAAATTGCAAGTGGCGAAAGGATTGCCGGGAAGATTGCAGTCGAGGACGAAGCAGCAAGGTAGCGTCTTGCATTGGCCGCCGCCGCAGCATGTGCATTTGTCGCAGTGCTCGAAGGCGGCCAGCGACTGGCGGACGCCGGTGAGGGCCTCGATGGGACGGCGCTCCGTCGCCATTGCCGCCCTGTACACTACGCCGCCTGCTTCGGCGAGGCCCGGGCGTCCTCCTGCGGGAGCCACAGACAACGTGTTGATGAAAAGCATGCAGCGAATGTCTTACGAGACTCCTCGAACAAAACGACACCGAGAGAGCTGCTCACCGCTGATCACCGTGGAGAAGGCGACGAGGAAGACAAGAGACAGGTGAGCTACCACTTTAGAGACCTGGAGGGAGGAGGCGGGCTTCTCCATGGTTGAGGAAGAGCGTAAGACCGTGGGAAAAAACTCGAGCCATGGCAGCCTTTTAAAATCCTCTCGCCGCCCGCTCCCTCGCCTTTACACCTTTCCTTGTGGGCGATGGAGATAATTCTTTCCTCTGGCTCGTAATAGAAGGGAAGATCCGCACAGAAACGGAACCTGTAGATTATGCGCAGAATTCCAAGAAGAAGAAAAAACTACTTTTATTTCTCGATTCTCTTGATTTGAATTCACTCATTCGTAGATTTTCAGTTGAGACGCCGCATCAATCGTGATGCCCATCGTCAGTTTATTACCATCCATATTAACTGTTCATGAGTCCTCGGCAGTGCTGCGAAAATCGCTCAGAAGCAGTCTTCATTCTCCACGGATTAACTTAATTTCCATTATTTTAGTGATAAATTATCTCGGGAAAAATAATTTCTCATGTGAAGAATAGAGCAATAACTATTAATGCTGCGAAACTGCTGTGGATTCACAGGTAATCCGAATCGGCGTCGGTCAAAGGCCGTAGATTATTAAATGACCTGCTGTGAATGAAAGTTTTCAGTCAAAGTGATGTGTATAGTAAGCTGTCGATGAATCATAAGAAGACGGTCGTCAACGGCTAGCATTTAGCCCATTTTCCAACTAATTAACGGCAATGTATTTCTCAAATTTTCATCCAACATCGGCGAAGTCAACTAATTTTCATTCCTAATCCGTCATCTCCTCGTCTTCCATCTATCCTTTGATCATCCGCTAGCTCACAAGCGTATATGAAGGTGACAAAGGAGTTGTCAGGAACTTGAATCCACAACAATGAAAATCTGGTCTTGAATCCATAATGCACAAACTTTCATAATCATTTAATCCACAAAGTTTGATTTAAATGATCAATTAGTCCACAAGGATCATATAACACATTTTAATCCACAAGGGTTGATTATTGAATTCGCAAAGACAAAAATTAACTCGTTGAATCTAGATTCAATAAATAAATAAAAAACTGAAAAATATATGAAAATTAAAACTCATCGAGATGTCTATTGAGTTGCAATATCTAGCTTTTAAATAGGTTAAAATTAAAATTTATTTTTCATATAAAATAGGGAATGCTACAACTTAATATCAAGGTAATTACTAAACTAACGATTATGATGTGTTAATTGTCAGTTTGAATTGGAGATTATTTGATTTTGGGACTTGTTTGGGTGTTATGATCTTTGTAGCCCACACTTCACTTTTCAGGACTTTTCTTGGTTGTGCCCAGACATCACTTGCTCTCTCTCTCTCTCTCTCTCGCGCGCGCTCTATTGGTCCACTTCTCTTTTCAAATGGTCACTAATGTGTAAGGGCTATTCAGTCATTTCGCAGGAAATAGAACAAAGTGGCGGGAAGCCATACTGGCTCTCTCTCTCTCTCCATCGCCACCGCCGTTCGGTTCATCGCTAGAGGACATCGACGTGCCCAGGATGCTATAAGGTCATTTTCTTCCTTTGGGCGGTAGAAGGCACTCAGTCGAGCTTGGCCCGCGGGCGACGACGGAGAACTCCCAGAACATGGAATCCGTTCTCAAGGTACCTACGATGGTGGTTTTGATGACTTTTCCTCGTGCTCGTTTCATTTCAATAGGCATTTATTGCTATTGTTTCGCGTATTCTAACCCCCAAGTCACGGCATCCGAACATTGCCGCTGTTTCTCGGTATAGACATTACCCTGAGGGCTATCGTTTTTTGCTACCGCTTATGTTGAGTGTGCTCGTGTGCAGAGATATTTTGGGCACTCGCAATTTCGGCCGTACCAGAGGGAGATCATCCAGAAGGTCCTGGACGGAAGGGATTGTCTTGTAGTCATGGCTACTGGAAGTGGAAAATCCCTCTGGTAAGCTGCATACTCGCAACTCTGTGGTTATTCTTTTTCCACAAGCATGCGTGGGCTTATCTGTATATCCAATCAGAGGTGTTTAGGGGTTGTTGGGGGTCAAATTGGATGAACATTGGCACTTTAAACATCTCTGTACACTATTCTTAACTAAAAGCTCTATTTTTTCCTTATGATAAATATTGATTTATTGTTCCTTAAATAGGAGTGTTTTTTCCTTTTTGGATGGAACATTAATTTAATGTGAGGAATGAACTTTATCCCTGTTGATTTGGTTCGTCACAGGCCACTATGAGTTCCTTTTGCTGTTTGATTTCTCTTTTATTTTCTTTTCTTCGTGTGCATGGGAAGAGTCCCTCTTGAAATTTTTCTCGCAAGCTGTTACTGATATTATCCCACCATCTGATGAAATCAGGAACATCGTTAAAGAAGTTATAAAATTGATAGATATGGAGAGATAAATAAGAATGCATGTGTCATGCAACAACACAATGGGATCATGTACCATAAACAATGAATGTACATCACAATTATCATTTTTTTCGTCTTTTCACTCTCCATCTTTGCTTGTTTTCTCCCATCTATTTTTCATTTAAAGAATGAGAAGATGGAGATGTCCGGATTCCATTATACTGTAGTTCTATCAGTGTAACGTCAAGAGAGAGTGCACCAGGGATGTCTCCACCAAAATTAATGTACTATAGCTATGGGGAAAACAAAAGAAAAGGAAATTTCTATTGGTTAAAAAGGAGGAAAATCAGTCAATAAAATTTGGTTGGCAAGAAGTGGGAAACTATGGGTCATTAATACTTTTTAATAATCTCGATAAAAAGATTAAGCAACTATGAACTCTATCTTGTGGCTCATGTATCACATGGTTTCTCAAAGAAGATAGACCCCTGAAAAATGTGCGGAGGCTTGAGCTATTAAAAGATCGTGGGTTTGAGAACTATTTAAATATCAGTAGCATGACATTATTCCGTGTCCACATTGAGATACAAAGAGATATATGAATGTACATGTATGCATATATAGTGTAATATATATTATATTTTTATATATTTTTATATATTTATATATTTAAACGTGTATTACAAATGTGAGGAGGATTGATCTATTCCAATATGGTAGGTTCAAGAATTATTCGAATTTCATTGACTGACGTGAAATTTTTCTTTGGGCTCGCTGAGCTATGTGTAGATATCTGCATATATATATATATGTGTGTCCTTTTGTGCAGTATTTTAATCTAATTCTATATTTTTATTTTTATTGTTATCGTTACTTACCTCCTTGTTCGGTTATCAAAGTTATCAGATACCTCCACTGATAAGAGAAAAGACTGCAGTTGTGATAAGCCCCCTTATTGCTTTGATGCAAGATCAGGTATGTTCATTAATGCTAGGATTTTTATTATAGTGGATTTTTTTTCAATTAAGCTATTTCATCAACAGGTTATGAGCCTAAAACAGCGAGGCATTAAAGCAGAATATCTTGGAAGCACTCAAACTGATCAGACTGTCTACTTTATAGCTGAGAGTGGTAAACTTGATCTTGTGTACATGACTCCTGAGAAGGCTTGCTCACTTTGTGAGAGGTAATGTTTGTGTACTAAGACAAATCGGTTTTCTGGTTACACACAATGAAAACTTATTCATTGGTTTTGATGCAGGATTATTTCTTTTGAATTTAGTTTTTTTACACAGCAGCAGTTGTCTTGTCACAAATGAAGATTTTTTGCTGACGGAAAGAAATGTCGTTGACCATTGGTGTTCCTTTTTAACTGAAAACAATAAAGGGCTTTTACTTGATGATTAACTTGATAAAAATCATTCCTAACGATCCTGTGGTTTTTCTGTTCTGAATAATGTAAGTGATACCAAGGTTTTTTGGGCGACTAATTGGACCTAGGCAATGAACCACTGCCTTACTGCTTAACAAGCTGATGCGCAAGTGAAGTATTTATTTCAAATAATCATAATTGTAATATAATTATTTAAATAAATTAATAATAATTATATATGCGTGTATAGATAACTAGAAACTACATAAATGTTTTTATTACTTAAAATAGTATTCCATTATTTTATTGATATTTGAAACTTATATTATAACTTAAAGTGGGTGCTTTTAGTTACATATATATATATATATATATATAATTTTATATTCGTTAGATGTTTGTAAGTGCTAGCCCTTACGAGTGGTGCATATTCGTGTGACCAACTAGCAAACCATTTGGTGAGAAATTAATGTGCGTGTGAATGCAAATTCGTTTTTGTGAACTCCCTTAGTGGCCTAGAACCTTAGCTGTTCAGATCTCATCAAACTATGCGTGAAACTATCATTATATCTCACTTAAAAACGCTTTTATTTTGTAGCTTCTGGACAAAGTTGCTGGATTCCGGTATTTCTTTGCTGGCTGTAGATGAGGCACATTGTATATCAGAATGGGGCCATGATTTCAGGTTTCATTTCGATTATTTACTCATATGCTGTAATGTAGATGTTTCTCATTCTCTTGACAGAACTCCTTCCAGTTCTTGGGAACTACTTGGTCATTTCTCCTTTTTTTCTAAAATAATGACATGCTGTGCAGAAAAGACTACAAAAGATTACACCAGTTACGCAGATTCCTCTCATATGTACCATTTGTTGGCTTGACTGCAACAGCTACTGAGAAGTAGGTATTGTTGTCTGATGCTATTCGTTACTGGCGGTTATTTTGTGATCTTATATATTATTTTGAACACAAGTCGGATGAATCAATGCTCTAATATTATCTTTGCATTTTATCCAATATCGTCTTCTACTGCTTTATTTTGGATGATGTATGTCTGGTTGTTGTACTCCTGCTCTCCCAAAGCATCATGATATCTATTGATTATGTTAATGGACTTCTACATCACGTTTATTAAAAAAGGTAAATGATTTTGAGCAGTATTTCTTGTTATTCCTAGGCCGTAATCTTTTTGGAAAAATCAGAAAGTCTTGAGAATTCTCGATCATTTATTCAAATAGTGATATGAGCACCAGTTATTGTCTTTGTTAAGGAACGAGCTGTTGTTTTTGAAATTATCAACTGTTTCCCATCCATTGTGCCCTCCATCTGCAGGACTCCCTTAAAGGATTCACGTGAAAATTGTTTGTTTGAGGCCTATGTGTGAATGCAATATCGTTGCTTTGATTTTTTTTTGTTCGGCAGGTAAGCCTTGGCTTTTCTGTATCATCCCTCGATGTTGGAGATGATGGGCCTCTTAGGTGACTTTTTGGTTGGATGGTTTGCTATTTTTTTTATAATTCTGGGTGTGCAAGGTGGCTGAATTGGTCGATGAGATCTGCATGACTTGAAGGGTCTATGTATTGAAAAGGCTAACATAATTAAAATGGTTGGAAATAGGCTGCTTTGGTGATGCTATCTGTCTGTCAATTGTAATGGGAACTGTAGACCGGGCCCTACATATTTCCAATTCCCTTCATTAAAACAACACCCACATGGTAAATGGAGGCAGGGTGGGAGTGCATCTTAAGAAAGATGAGAAGATTAGATAATTTGAGGAAAATCCTGAAGTTAAAATCGTCGAAACATCCAAAATTTACTGTTCTTCACACAGAATCAAGAATCGGGGGATCCTAGAAAATTTATTTATACAGTTGGATGAATGCGATTCAGTTTCTTACTTGTGATTACCCACAATTATTTTATTTTGACTTTGTGTTGAAAGAGTTACATTCCTCGTTTGTGTTGAAAACTAGTACAGTATGAGTCTCAATACCTAATGTGTATTATCAATGTAATAGCATGTTAAAATATATGTACTCTTATTGGTGGCATCCTTTTTGTGGGTATTGAACATATTTTCATGTTTAATTTTCGTGCACGGAATACCTTTGGTCCACAGACTTCGGTAGCAAATGACAATGGGAATGCATCATTGTATCCGAATCATTAAAGTTTCTTTTGTTATACTTCAGAAGTTTGCTCGCATCATTGACCGCACCTATCTATGCTCAGATAAATCTGAATACCTGTTGGGCAGTGAGAGAACGATGTCATTTCATCAGAAAAATCTTGCCATAGGTCTATGTTATTACTCTCTCTTTATTATATGAAGCCATTTATCCCTTCTTATTGCCTTTATAAACTTCCTTTCTAGCTCAAGCGAGCATAATTTGAACACAATTAAAATAAATCTTGTTTCAGGGTTCGGGAAGACATTATCAACTTTTCAATGATGAAGGAACCTTATATTGCTATCTTTTCATTTAATCGTGTATATATTTTTTATGATGTATAGTCTTACAGTCGTGAACAGTTTTTTAACCAAAATCTTGTGTCAGGGTTCGGGAAGATATTGTCAACTCTTTGAAGATGAGGGAACCTTATATTGCTATTGGTTCATTCAATCGTGGAAACATTTTTTACGGTGTAAAGTCGTACAATCGCACTGTGTCATTTGTGGATGAGCTAATTGGAGAGATTTCAAACCATTTGGCTGGCGGTGGTTCAACTATCATATACTGTACGACTATAAAAGACACTGAGCATGTACGACATTAATTTTCGACCTGTTTGCGGTTTAATAATTATTGTTCGATGTACGGATGTTGTACTGAGAGGCTCATAACTTTTGTATAAATATATCATCTATTCCTTCTTCAGCTATCCATGGGCTTTAAAATGATGTAACTGAAGACAATATGTAAACAGGAAACCCCTGAAATTCATCTCATAGTTTATCTGGCTGATTAACTTTTTGACCTTGATGTCTTGAGTTTAAATATGAGTTGCCCACCAAAATGGAGGATAAAAAGGAAACTCTACTATCAAAGACGTAATCGATAGTCAGCAGCACATTTTGTTTCTTTAATGTCTCTTTAACCATTCCAGAAAATTTTCATGCTGTTTTCCCAACAATCTAGAATAAGCCTTAGAGTTGGATGCCAGCACCTGAAAGAATAGATTTCCTGCTGCTATTCGGCCTGCCTCCCATTTTCTGCACAAGTTCTGCCCCATGTCATTTTATCTGCAGGGAATCTCTAACTGCGAGAGACTCCAATTCTGAGGCACGGCTAATTGGCTGGTAAAGTAACTTATGGGAGAAAATGGAGAAATCAAAATTGGAGACTGTCATCAATAATTTTTTTCAAACGTCAAATGTAGATAAAATAAGTAAACTTGAAATTATAAGATTTTATTGAAACAGTGATAGTGGGTGACCAGCACCACACCGGACAAAATGGCGTGAAACAAGAACAATGATAACTTTCTTGGAAGCCCACTATAAATTCAATGAAACGAAATTCAAAAATTCCAGTGTTTGGCAGGTTAACTCCTTTCCATAATACATGCAATCGTGTAGCATATAAAAGCTCTGTACTGACTTGTCAGTGATCTTTCACCAAATCCTGGCTATCTGTGTTTGGGGTCATGTAATTCTGTTATTCCTCTTTGGTATACATCTGACTTGTATTGAACATTTTTATTCTTGTCCTCACTGCCACGATCAGGACAAAGGCTCATATTTTACTTATACCATGTATCAATCCACTGCAATGGCTGGAGATGATATTTCTACTTGAACTTCCATGCCAAAAACTCCTTAGGGGGAACCTATTAAATGCTTGGTACGCTAAAATTTTTGTATGTCCTCAAAAAATTGCTCGTATATTGCTTACATGTATTCATGCTTTGACGCACTTTGCCATTTCAAATTTAAATTTGCTTTCTGAGGCAGGAAAGGGTGTCTGTAAATAAGGTTTACATCTCTCCACTTGGGACGCTCTACTATGCTCAATACAAAACAGCTGTATATTTTTGTGTTCTGCATCGTGGGTGTGTTTTTTACAGCCCATTTCTGTCTGTACTAGAAGGTTTATGTGACTTTTTGTGGCGTCTTTGCAGGTCTTTGAGGCACTGAGAAATGCTAAAATAAAGGCTGGGATGTATCATGGTCAGATGGGCAACAAGGCTCGTGAGGAGTCTCATAGGTTTTTTTTCTCCATAATACGAAATATTTGATTATATCACTAGAACTTCGATGCATTAAATGCCATAAAAGACAACTTCATGCTTGTGATTTTGTAGATTATTCATCAGAGATGAACTCCAAGTCATGGTTTCAACTGTTGCTTTTGGTATGGGTGTGGATAAACCTAATGTAAGGTGTGTTATACACTATGGGTGCCCGAAAAGTCTTGAATCCTATTATCAAGAAAGCGGTCGATGTGGCAGAGATGGCTTGCCGTCAATCTGTCAGCTTTACTATTCAAGGAGTGATTTCGCGAAAGCTGATTTCTACTGTGGTGAATCTATCTCTGTATGTAGCCACCCATTCTGTAGCTTTTCAATCTGAAGGTCCTTAAACTTCAAATTTCCTTTCTGTGTTTTGTACATCACAATCTTCTTAACATGTTTGATCTTCTTTCAACTTAGTTTCTTACTTTGTGAATGCTTATCTTGTTGCATTGATTTAATTTTTAAAACAAGCTTTTATTTGTACTCGAGCATGATCATCACCATGTAACAGGAAGATCAAAGAAAAGCTATCACTGAGTCTTTGATGGTGGCTGAAAAGTACTGCTTGCTGTCAACTTGCCGTAGAAAGTTTTTGTTACAGTACTTTGGGGAGAGGGCACAATTTACTTCATGTGGTAAATTTTAGTCTAAGCTTGATTTGCTTTGCTTCGTCTGATGATTCTTTTGGCTAAATTTTCTTTTTCATTAGCTAATGTGGTAAACTTGTGTTGAGAAAAAAATCATATTTCTATTCTTCTTTTCATTGCTAATATACTATTTTTAAGTTGAATTTTTGACTTATCAGACAAATTTCACTCATATACACTGGTATTGTACATTTTCTCCCTCTTTATGACCAAAAATAGATAGAATTTCTGAATACGTTTAAATTTGAGATTGACTGTTATACTTGATTGGTATTCTCAACAATGTTACCAGGTATTCCTTGTACCTTTTCTTGGTTGAAATCTCTTTACAAAACCGAATCAAATAGATGGAAATTGAATAGTGATTTCTTTGAAAATATCCTCGGGCCGGAAGACAGTAGTTGTCAGGTAGACGATAAATCCATGGAGATACAGGGTTCCCAGTGAGCAGTCTAAAATGAAAGTTATGGTATTTTTAATGAAATCTCTTATAGCTTCAGTATTGAAATCAGATTATGGCTATTGACTTCTTTTTTTGTTTCTATAGTCATTCAAGGAAAAATTAAAACCGTGTTATGTCTTGTTTCAGTATTATGTACATGGACATTTCATCATGTGGTTAATTTTCCTTAATGTTGGTATTTGATTGTATGCTTATATTCTTCGTACATTTGAATAGGTAGTGAAAAGGATCTTGATTAATTAATTCTGTGTTTTGAGATTTTACTGAAGTCTAGGCACCGACAAATATCACGAGAATCTCATTATAAGATGCTATCATGTAACCAGGACTTTGTCTCTGGGCGGTGGATTTATATCGTGTTGTCAATATTTATTTATTTTTTTGTTTAGGCAAACAACCGAAACTTGATTTTAAGCTTTGAATTAAAAAAGCTTAAAATCAAGTTTCGGTTGTTAAGAAGTGCAAATCACGATTTGCACTTCTTATGAGGATAAGAAGTGCAAATCGTGAGCTTGGTAATTATTTGTTCTGTAAGTACCATCCTCGTTTTGATGCAGTCAATTTCCCGTTCTACAAACTCGTACTCACAATTTGCTGGTTTTGCCTTTCATGCTCCTAATCCGTTCTTGCGAGAGAACAACCAAACGGTTGTTAAGGAGATTCGTTTATAAACATGTTCAGGATGGCGTTTTAAGTAGGGAACGAGAGGTAATATGTACAGGTTTGGGAAGGTATTAGTTAGTTAAGTAAAATGTAGTCTCCTGGAAAAATGGACAAAAGGACCGACAAAAGTCATTGGACAATAAAAGAACACCCTTAAACCATTTTTTATATAGGTCGGTTGAAGGCTGTGTAGCTTTTGACTTCAAGTTCTGTTGCTAGCTGAGTTTTTGGATGTTTGTACTTGGTCAAAGCATTCTGCAATACTTGTGGAGCCCCAAACTGAGAGAAATATTTTGTTTTATGAATAATGTAATATTTTGCACATTTTCCGTAGTGTGTATCTTCAATTAGGCCCTTTATCTATGTCGCAGTCATAAAGAGTTTTTTTACAGTAGTCTCTAAATTATTAAAGGGCATAAAATAGCAGTCCCTTGACCAGAAGGTACTAGTTAATGCCACTGAATCTTCCGTTGCTCCAAAAATGTCACCCAAGAATTACTTCTTGATGAGTATAACGTATCACTTTGCTTCATGTTTTTCCTTCCCATTCCAGTTGCTGTGAATTGATCAAGTAATGAACAGCTTTTCTACTCTAGTCAGGTTTTTTTGAGTAATTTCTACTCTCTTGAGAGCGCCTATATCCAACTTTCAGGTAATTGTGATATTTGTCTCGGCTCTAAAAGGGAGCGGGACCTTTCAAGGGAATCCTTCTTATTACTAAGCTGCATCCATTCTTCGGGAGGCCGCTGGGGCCTGAATATGCCCGTAGACATTCTTCGTGGATCGAGGGTAATCTTTTTTCTATGAAAAGTTATGTTTCCTTTTTGAGCTTTTTTCTACTGTGCATGGTGATTTATTCTCACTAACATGTAAATCAGAATTTCAAAGCTGTTTCTTTTTCGTTTGTAATGCCTATTTTTGTGAAAGGTTAAAAAGTTTTACTCTAAATGGTGTTTTTATCATAGTAGCAATATTCTGTGTTTTTTAGAAAGTGGCTATATTCTTATTACTCTGTCATAGATCAGTTCAGGGTTGATGAATTGGATTCGAAAACCTTAAAGTCGGTTAGGCCCCTAGAGGTTTAATGGATTCTATTTAGACATCTTACTTTCATATCTTAGATATTATACTGAGTTTAAAGATCCCTATTCCCCTGTCATTTTCGTAGTATTGTTACTTTCACTTGAAGTCATGGAAGAAAAGAAAAGGAATTTTGGGGAAAACAGATGAATCAATAGAATGAGGGTGAACTTTGTCCTGCCATGACAGTCGCTATCTCTGCTTGTACCCTCCAGTTGCTGTCGTTGATGCAGCTCTTGCTTGTCGTTGTTGTCTGTGGTCACTGTCGGTACGTTGTTTTATTTTTCTTATCTTCTTCTACCTTGGTCCCCTGTCGCTGCCTCTGTCATTTACCCTCTTTTTCACCCCACGTCCATTATGAAACTATACGGGCCTGATGCCTGCAACGAACACAAAAATGAAGATCAGGTGAGAGATCTTAATAAAGGATTGAGATAACGGCGGTTGGTTAAAATCTTACTGTGTAATCAAGTTCACGTCAAAAGTACTTATACTTTGTCTTTAATAAAACCCTTGTAAACGACCTTAAAGTTACGAGGGTAGATTTTTTTGTTACTTTTAAGTTCTTTTACCAAGCTGACTGAAGTTGAATCATAGTGACTCGTGTGAGTTTGTGCGAGTTCATATGCAAGTAAGGCTATTGGTACCAAGTCTTCCCAATTTGCATTTGGGTCATGAAGCGGTGACCTTCCCGTGGAACAGCGGGCTAGGCTGATCCTCATGTTATTGGTCAGTTTATTTGAAACATTAAAATCCTAATTTATATTAGAGGAAAGACCCCAAAACATAATATGGCCTAAATGAAATGGCTTCTTTAAGTTGACTGAATCGATATCCACATGCATCCTATTCTGCGAATGAGGGATTAGGATCATTCCTTCTGCCAGTCATCTGTCCTAGGGGAATTAGATTTAACACGAATGTTCTATCACTGCCGATGATTAAACTGGTTGGTATTCCCCTTAATAGGACAGAATTAAAAGTGGGTATGCTGAGTCTTATTTTACTTGTTGATGAAGAGAGCACATTGTTGTATATTTATTTTGCCTTATTGTTGCATGTGGATCTTCTTTAGCTATCTCTGAGGCTGACTCATATTTTTCCTTTAATACTAAGTCGAAGAAGGTCGTTGATAACAAGTTTGATAAGCTCCCACAGTATGGCCTGGGAAAAGACTATTCTCCAACTTGGTGGAAAGCACTTGGTGGTGTCCTGCTGACACATGGTATTGTGACGGAATCTTTGGCGAGTTCATTGGAATAGATCGTGGTCCATTTTCTTGGATGACGCTGGAGAATTAGAAATATATATATATATATATATATATATATATATTTTCAGTGCTATCTTATATTGATTTACTTGATTTGGTATCTTGAGTTTCCGTTCCATGCTTTTCATTCGTGAAACATATAGATATTTTCAACTTGAGTCCTTGGCAAATCTGGAGTGACTTGGTCATTATATGCCGACTGGCGGAGTTTATCACCTCATTACAAGAAAATTTAATCATCAGGAACCTTAGTCGCATGTCGCTTGATTGGTTGGCTATACCGTCTCCATGTGGTTTTGTTTCGGTTCTCATTAACTGTAGATGTACACTGGAATGTAAGTGATGACTGTGGTTGTATTATCATTGCCTGAAAGTTTGTTGCATTTCTGGAGCCCAATTAACTTAGTTCCTTGAATTAAAGAGAGCTCTTTTGAGGGAATCTGAAAATTAGCTGAGGGATTCCTTGTTCTTTGGTTTCATACACACCATTAGGTAATCCGGTAGAGGAGACCATCTTGTTCTCTTCAATAGGGATTACTTGTTTCCAGGTTTGCAATAGCAATGGCCACAACCAGAAATTCTCCTAAAAACGACGTTAAGTGCTTACAGATTTCTTTTCCTGTCTGCAGAAGAAACATGTCTGAATTTTCGGTTGAAAACCTGCACATTCAAGAGAGCGAACGCGTATCCCCATGGTCATGTGCAAAAGCCACATGTATCTAACTGAAGCTTGTTTTCTCTCTTTTTCTTTTGCATTCAATTCTTTCAGCTGAAAAAATCTGAGGCAAACTGATGGATCTCCATCAGTTTGGTATATTCTTAAATTTTACTTTGAGATTTAATCGTGCATCTTAAACTGCATTACCCCCAACGAAATTTCTATTCTGGTCAGCTGGAGCCGTTTGTAAATTGGGACTGCTTTGGCCTGATAAACATCCTGTCCTAGATTTTTAAACGTATCTGGCATCTTCCAGGGGTTTCTCTTCGGTCGCACCTGGCAACTGGTCCTCAATAGCATTACGTAGCACTAAGGTATAGAATGGGAAATTGTAGTGACAATTTCATTCAGTATCTTAGTGTGAGGGGCCAAAACTTAATACTTGTTCATACAACATTTTTCCACCTTTCCAGGATACGTTATCTGTTTCTCCAGGAAAGTTGATATCCCCAGAAAATATTTTGAATTCAATACTTTTTTCTCTCCACTCGAACCAATCCACCTACTCGGCTTGTTTTATTTAAAGTAAATGGCGTATCCATGCCCATAGTAATATTTTTCCAGATCATTATCAACGAAGATCCTGATAAAAGACACGCACTTAGCGTTGCTTAGTCCTATATCCTTCTAGAGGTATTTTAATGATTGGTTCTATAGGAATTGGGCGATCATATTTGATCCAGACTCATTACATGTACGAATCACGTTTATCGTTTGTGTGATGATAATCAAATATTTCGTTTCTTTTGTCTAAGTGTCTAAAATGAAGAAAAGTTCATCTCCTTTCAGACTTCGTTGTATTTTCAATTTTCTTGGTTTTTCCTTGCCATTGATTATTTTCCTTCAGTTTTTATGAAGATAATTGTTTTTAGGTATACTGTTGGCTGAACCCAAGCATAATAGAGTCTTCATTGTGCTATGCAGATTATATGAAAGAGACTGTTACTGATGTATACAGAACTGTAAGGTATGGTCGGAGTCGGATTAATTTTTTTTTGTATCTAATATATTTGTGAATCTCTAAAGACTTTAACGTCTAAACCATCTTCCACCCTTACCAGTGTCAACAAAAGCGGACTGCAGTTTCTCCATTCGTCTAGTAGTCAGCATCAGCCACCTTTAGTCCTGCCACTGACCAGAGAAATGATTGAGGAGGAGGATTGTGGAAGTGGACGGGGTAAAGTTGAAGGTTATCTTCAAAATTTGTCATCTTTGGAATGTAAAGGATTCTCCCAGGTCTGGCTTCTTATTTTAGGAACTTCTTCGTCTATCTTGATTCTGTGATATTATAATCCAAAATTACGATGCCATAAACAGATAGCTATCTTGTCTTTGATTTGACGTCTGTCTTTAATATCTTCTACGCATAACAAGCGCATATTATCTTTTGAGTTGTGCTAATCATTAACCAAAGTTGCGAATTTTTACATGTAATTCAAGCACTTCAAAATCTGGATTGGAGATGTTGAAAATTTGTCAAACCTCTGGACTTGACCTAATGTTTTGCATTCCGGTATGGTCTGAGGTTACCGGTGAATAAAATACGAAATTTAATCAGATCCAACAAACCCAGGGTTCGGAATTCCTTGGAAGAGGATATGATGGAGATGGGGAAGGATGCTGGCAGCAGGGATCAGAAACCTGTTTGCATAGCGTTCAGAAAATGGTTTCCATCCGTTTTTAATAATTAATCTCGTGATTTATTTAACTGTATCAGTTTGCCTCATTGAGAACTAAGGGGCGTATGAGTTGTTCCCATTTATGACTTCTCGTAACTGCTGGAGTTAAGTTTTAAGGCGTCTGAATCTGTGGAATCGATTATAATTGTTTTTGAACGAATTAAGTAACTATAGATGAGATGGAAGGGATACGAGTCATGCGAATGAGATAGCAGTGTATATCTTTTCACATTTGACTATTCTTTTTCTTTTCTTCCCTCTAGGATGAAGCAAAGCTCTATCGCATGCTTTTGGACGTCAGAATGAACCTTGCAAAAGATTCTGGAACTGCACCGTAAGTAACCCCTTCTTCAATATCTGCGGTTCAGAGTTCATTTTTCTGTCTCAAATAAAAATTCATGAAACACTCGGACTTACTGTTGCTTTTCTGTTTTTCATTTTATTTTGCAAAAAACCTTTCAGATATGCCATATGTGGTGATGAAATCATTCAAAGGATTACAAAGATACGGCCGTCAACCAAAGCAAGACTGGCGAATATAGATGGCGTAAACCAGGTACTTTTTTTCTAAATTTGACGTTCAGAAATTACCTCTAGCCGTTTTATTTGATCTTTTTCCATGAAAAAATTCGATGAAAATTGACTAATTTGGTTTTTCCAATTATATATATTGCCTCTAAAATCTAAGTTTTCTATTGACGATTTCATTGGGAGAGTAATTATCCCACATGCTTATATCATCTCTACATTGCTAAGATAGTTTAAATACTTGTCATGACTCGAAGGATTGTTCCATTTTATGATAAACTCATTTATGGGATCGGGGTTATTTTCTTAGTATGAGTACCTTAAGTTACGGTTTAGAAAAAAGAAATGGGTTTAAGTTTCCTGCTGTACGTTCTTGTGAATGCTGTCCAAGTTAAAGCACGTGAAACTTTCTGGTGTTTATAACCCGAATAAAAGGATAGCTACTGATTGTTGTCGATTCCAAAGTTAATAGATTTTGTTCTGAATGCAATATCCTGCCTGTTCAACCAATCTATGAGATATTCTACCGTATATAATGTGAATGACAGACATTGAAGCCTTGATGATAATATCGTACATGTAAGGATCTTATGTTTACTGAATTTTATTTTCCGCTTGTTCAGGCTCCCTATTGTTATTCTATCCCATTGCCCTATGCAGTTCGAGCACTCTTTTGAATTTTTGGCGAAGTTCTACATAACATTATAGTAGTGGAGTTGCCACCTCTTGTCTCTTAGTGATGAACCAGAAATTCTAGCGGCCTGATCTTTTTCCTGCTAAGAAGGTTTCATACACTGACTTGTGTCCAGTTATAGTTCTGGAATTAGAAGCGTAGGTGTCTTTATCCGGATTAAAATTTAGCTACAAAAGCAAAAGATATTACGCATTGTTATATGTAATTATATAGACGGGCATGGAAATCTCATGTCAGCGTATTAGTCAAACTTAAGATTCCTGGAGATATTTCTATTGTTTCCTCATCGTTCATCTCTGATTATTGTCGAGTCTGTTCTACCATGGACCTCCCATGTCTTTTGTCTCAAGGGAAGGCTTATGAGGTACAAACACTCAGAATTAAATGAACGAAAGTAATTGAATTTACATTCGAGAATAGTTCCAGTTTCTTTTACTAATGGAGTACTTTGTTTATTGTTGAAAACATGTCAAGTTGTATTTGTTGTTTGCAGGTTCCCATACTGATGTGTAGGGATATATGACTTGATGTTTACTGATGTGCATGAATGATGCACTTTGGCAAGTTAAAAATGTATTATTTATATGCTTATTAATCCTTCTTTTCATGAGGACTTTCCAACAATCAACTAAATGGAACAATGTGATATCATATTTGAACAGAATACTTAATTCACTGGGATTTTCTAGGCTTCTACAAAGCAACATGTCTAGTTATTCTGTAGCTTCTATAGTGAAACATGCTCAGGTAGAGTGTATCTACTTAACCAATCAGATTCTTCAACAGCCTTCATTCTGAGATATTCTCAGGCCCTAGCTTACCGACACGGTACATTTGATTAGAAACGATGGACCCAAGCCCTCATTTATTTCATGCTCCTAGCTCAAAGTAAGGGAACTAGATCATCCACTGTCCCCTATTTCTCACATTCATGATGAAGCTAACTCACCCACAATCAATCTGTTAACACATTTTGAGTTTGACCTACTCTTTTTTCTGTGTAGCACCTTGTTGCAACCTATGGTGATTGTTTTCTTCAAAGCATCCATAATTTTTCTCGAGAACTGAACCTTCCGTTGGATGGAGAGACAATTGTTGATATGAGGAACGTCTGCCCCGCCTCTGAAAGGAAACTGGCGCCGACAAAATATAATGCATGGAAAATGTGGCAGGAGGATGGTCTATCGATTCACGAAATCGCTGTGAGCCATCTTGTGACCCGTACTGATGTGTGTCGATGCATCAGGAATACGATGGTTATATTTGGTCCTTCTTTTGTTGACTTTGCACTTTTCTTTGTTTTCAGAACTTCCCTGGTAGATCTGCCCGGATAAAAGAACGAACAGTTTTTGAATACATCCTCGAAGCTGGTCGAGAGAGTTATGAAATAAACTGGGCCAGACTATGTGCAGAGATTGGGTTAACATGTGAAATAATATCAGAGATTCACCATGCTATTGCAAGAGTAGGATCAAGGGAGAGGATGAAGCCCATCAAAGAAGAATTACCAGAGGAGGTGAGTACATTTCTATCTTTTTTCAAGGCATGAAATATGCTTGGATGATTCATTCAACGGTTGCATTGCTTGAGTCTTGAACTGAAGATGTCTTATAACAGAAGTTGTCCATATTTGGCTAATTATCTGTTTCTTTCTTAGCTGAATTGTAGAGAACCTTGCTGGAAATGATGATTACAAACTGTTAGGCTGAGGGGTTTCCTTTTTTTTCCCACTTTTTAATGGTAAGAAACACCAGTCAACTTTAGTAATGGCAAAAGTAAAAGTTGCTTCTGACGACAGTATGGGCCAAACCCGTTGTACGAGTCAACCAGATGAAAGCTGAGCTACTAAATGCACGGGCCTACCAGACCCCATCGTACGAGTCAGCCTGATACCAGCTAGAACTACTTAATGCACGGGCCAAACCCGTACGAGTCAACGTGGTGAAATGCACTGGCCAAACCCCGCCGTGCAAGTCAGCTGCTCCCTTAGTCTCAGAGTTAGATGCATCCCATTCACTCGCCAATGACCCCCGTTGTCGGTTTCTCCCTGATTCTTCCATTCTACCGGACTATGCCTGGTTTCCATTTCTGCTGATCAGTTCTTCGAGATCTTCAAAATGGGGGATTTCTTTGTTTCTCTCAGGTGACGTATGATCACATCAAAGCGTACCTGACCATGGCGGATCTGGGAATATCGGAGCTCATCGGCTCCAAATCTTCAGAGGTTGCAGTTAGTCCGAGCAAGCTATCCGTCGTCATCTCGCCATCTGACCACCATAGACAGCCCGATGCGTATCGAAAAGAGGAGGAAGAGGGATCAGGAGCAGAGAAAGTTGACCGCCCCACTCGGGACTACACTTGTGGAAAGCAACTCCGAGCTGAGGCCTTTGCACCCGATGAAGCCGGCGAGAAGAGACATCGTAGCATGAACTTAGGAGGAGGAAGAGGCCGTGGATTAGAGGCGAGCCAGGACAGAATCTTGGGTTGGCTCGGCAGTCACCAAGGGGTGAGATCGATCTCCGTTCTTGGAAGCGCATGAGCTGCTTCGCAGAGGTGAAGAGATCGAACTATGTTTATTTTATTAACCACATCGCCGGAATCTGCAGGTGTCGCGGTCAGACATCGTCGGTCATTTCAATGGATCCAGCGAAGAGGACGTGGTTGACCTTCTGGGCGGCCTGGAGGGCCAGTTTTTGATCTTCAAGAAGAACGACCTCTACAGGCTTATGTGAGTAATGCCACCTCGAGAATCTATACGCTGATATATAGAATACCCGGTTGACAATATAAAGCGCTTCAGTCTCCCTGAGGAACGGCTCTCCGAGCACAAGTCAAAATCTAGCCAACTTACTACAATTAAAGCGCTGGTCAAACCCCCGACGGCGGGCGAGGCCAAAATGTACAGTGCAGGCGGCCCGTCATCTCACTCTGCGAGGTGGAACGGCGGCGGCGGCGCCAGGCGGGTACTTGACGCCGGGCGTGGGCCGGCAACCAGCGTTGCTCCCCGGCAGCCTGCGGTGGGCGGCGCTCGGCGGGGGGAACCTCTCGCTGGGGCCGCTCCCCTGCAGCGGCTCCAGCGTCTCCACGACGTCGCTCATTAGGGGCCTCGCTTTGGGGTTCTGGCTGAGGCAGTAGTACGCCAAGCTGCAAGCCTTCTGGGCGGCCCTGATCGAGTACTGGCTCTCCAGGCGTGGGTCGATGATCTGCAGGAGCTTCCTCTTGTCACTGAGCTTTGGGCGGACCCAGTCGACCAAGCTCTGCTCTTTGCTGGGCCGGGTCTTGTCCACGGCCTTGCGCCCCGTCAGTAGCTCCAGGAGGACTACGCCAAAGCTGTAGACGTCGCTCCGCGCGGTCAAATGCCCTGTTTAGTACACCAAATCGACCCATTTAGAATGCATGCGGTAGTGCCCAGATTTAGAAAGCGATAGGTGATGGTGAGCTCACCAGTCATTACGTACTCGGGCGCAGCGTAGCCGTAGGTGCCCATCACGCGGGTGGACACGTGGGTCTCGTCGCCCTGCGGGCCAACCTTCGCGAGGCCAAAATCAGAGAGCTTGGCCGTATAATCCTGCGAGGGCATGCCGGATGAGCGACCAGAGGTGGGGGAAAGGTTCGACTTCTATCTGAATGTAGAGAGAGGAGCTCACCGAGTCCAGTAGGATGTTCGAGGTCTTGAAGTCCCGATAGATGACTGGCCTCTCCGCGTTGTGAAGAAAAGCCAGGCCCTTGGCGGCTCCAAGCGCGATCATCATTCTCGTCGCCCAGGATAACGGAGCTGCTGTCTCTGAATACCTCAATCCAGGGAAGCAACGTTAGCTAAAGTCAACCTCAAATCGCCAGGGTGTTCTCCGAACATGGTCACTTTTGCACCCTGTTCTTGATTAGTAGGAAAAATGTTGACCAAAGAAAATGTTGGACATGCTATTGAGCACGGGGAAAACATGAAAAGGGAAGAGGAAAGTTTTATTTATTGGAAGGATGTAAGCAGATTGTACATATTAACCACAGATTTCGATTTAATTTCTAGAACCACTCCTTTATGCTACTGTAAAGTAAAGACGAATTTTTTTCTCTTCTTAAACCCATCAATTCCTAGAAAAAAGTAATATTTTCAGGAAATCATGGAAGACACTGGCAATGATGATTAACATCAAGGGACTTTGAACCGTAGCAACTGAGTCGTTCGCATCACGGAAGGCTCATCGATGTCCAAAAAGCTACTGAAAATCAATTATCATGTAAGCAAACTTTTCAATGCCCAGCCACAAGACAGAGATACTGGACTCGAGCATTCTTCCCCTTCCCTCTTGACAAATAACAGTCGAACAGAGCATCAGTTTTCTGGTTGAAAGTTGTCAGTCGAAGCTTCAGTTAGTATTATTGGCGCATATATGTTTATAGAGTTAATCAAGATATCATTCACAGATGACCCAAGTAAGAAAAAGCAACAGCAAAAGTGAGAATAATAACCACCAACCCAAGCAGAGATAGATACATACTCCGAAACAAGTGGTTCTCAAGGCTTCCTCGAAACATGAATTCGTAAACAAGCAGCCTATGATCATCCTCACAGCAATAACCGATAAGCTTTACTAGATTAGGATGCCTCAATTGCCCAAGAAAATTTACTTCTGTCTGAGAAATAAAAGAATAAATCTTAAAAACAGACCATCTGAAGATTTTGCATAACTTTATTAGATAATGCAAATTAAGATAAGAAAAAAAAGATCGTACAGATCCAAAATATTGACAATATATCCGTTTTGCTTAAGTATTCTAGCTTCACTAGGGAAAACGGAGGATTGAGCAACACATTAGTTACATGCGAAACAAACTTTGACATGTCACTAACTTTCAATCGAATATTTTGGACATCAAGTGTAACAAAGAACTATCTCACTGAGCATCGAACTCTAGTCTTCCTCATTAGGAACACTTTAAACCCTTTGAACTAAAGAAAAAAACAACACAAGAACTAATTCAGGTAATCCAATGCAACATCACCCTAGATTTCCAAGTCCTGGGTAATTAATTTTTATTTTTATGTAGAGGTCAATTAGGAAAAAGAATATTGCAAAATGTTGTCTTCATATCCATACTAACGGAGCAGAACCAACATATCTGACTGAGGAATCGTATTTAGTCAAGTAGGTCGGTATTCAGAACCCCAGTGACAACTTGATAAAATGGAAAAAATCTATGACAAGAAAGTTATTTGGAATCGGTGAACAGGAACGAAAGCAAGAAGTTGGAGTAGAAAAGTGTGTAGAATCCGATACTTACAAGCCATTCTCTGTGCCCCTGATGGCCATCCTTGTTAAGAACCTTGACTGCAACAGGAAGAGATTTAAGACCGACTCTCACATTCTCGTCGATGTATCCTTTGTATACGGTTCCAAACCCTCCTTCACCAAGGACATAATCAGAACGGAAGCTCTTCGTAATTGTTTCTAGCTCGAACAATGTGAAAGCGATCAAGTTGGTATACAGGGAAATGTTTCTTGAATCTTCTATGATCCGAGGCGTGGAGGGATCACTCAAATCCGAGATGGAACGGTTGCACTTTCTGTCCGAGGGAGTGTTCTTGCCATGCAGTGGGAACATGTGCTGCTGTTGAGCTGCAGGTGAGACAAAGGGAAAAATGCATAAAATACATGTGTACAGTTGTGAGAGCTTCTGCGAAGCAGGGAAAAGAGGAAAGAAAAAATAAACGAAAGCTTACACACATCAACGATTTTGTTGGCTCACTCGAATCGAGGATGGGGGAGGTCAGGATCAAAAATTGTCAAAATATCATGAATAATTTTTTCCAATATCTGTGAGGGGATGGGCCGAGAGTTATCACTGTGAAGAAAACCTAGATCACAAGGTCCAGCAACTCGTACTTACTGGATATAATCCACTTAATTGTTCCTACTAACAGATGAGATGTAACCGAAGATTGTAAATACCTAATATAATTTTTTCAAAGGAGAAATTGGCATAACGACCACTGAAAATCCTACAGTGGAAAATAAAAGGCACAAGCGAAGCCTAGAGAATTTTAGCATCACAGACAATGCGGCAAAGCTCACAACGCCAAATCATTCACGTTCCAGGAATCCGAAATCCAACAAGGATACCTCTTGCAACCCCGAAGATGGAAGGCACATCTCGGATGAAGCTTCTCGATAAATAAAAATAAATAAAATAAAGACGCGCAGAGGAAATGACAGAATGATGACGCGAGAGAGCGATAGAGACAGGAATTGACGAAATGAAGTCGCAACAAAATTGGTGACTGAGGGGATGAGAAGGCAAACGAAATGGCAACACAGCCACCGACAGAAATACGAGATGGAAGCGGCGGGAGTACCTTGGGAATGGGCAACAACGGCGGTCGATTCCTCTCTGGTACCACAGTTTCCCATCTTGCACACTCTTTCATTCTTCAGCACCGCCTCCCACCTTACGAACACAACCTCTTACACCTTCCTCCTCCCTTCACTCCCAGCACTAACCCCACTCCCACCATCACCACTACGAAGACTAGGCAACACTGATCACCCCTGGATGCTGCTCCATCAGAAGCCGCAGCAGTACCTCCCTTCCGAAACTGACGACTAGTTGACGGACTTGCAGGTGTTGGAGTACCAGCAGCAGCGACCAAGACGATCTGTAAGCTCGCGCCTCCTCTCGGATGCGTCCGCGGTCTAGAGAGAGAGAGAGAGAGAGACAGACAGACAGACAGAAGAGAGAGAGATAGAGAGAAAGAGAGCAAGGGGGAGGGGGGGATTATGTATACACGCAGGGGCACATGGGAGAGAGCAGGCAGTGGCTGACCTATTTGTAGTTTAGACCTTATTTTCTTCCATAATTGTTATATTACCAAAAATATGTTTTTTCCTCTGCCCCCGCAACGCCAGGGGAAAGATTCCCCGGTGGGCTCTTATTTACGAGAGCAATTCAATGCGGCCCAAGGACGGCCACGATATTTTCCATAAATAATATTTAATAAATTAAATAATTGAGCGATCGGCGGGTAGCCGTTACTTCTATTAGAGGAAATCCTCCCCACAACCAACCAACCAATCGCGCTCAAATCTCGTCCCGTTTAAGGAAATTGGAGCCTCTTCCTTCCCGCGGAAGGGCCCCGGATCCCGTGACCTTCCGGCTCTATTCGGCGCGGGGGGATCTGCCGTTGGAGCCATCACGGAGGAGAACGGTATCTCCACCCGAAGCAGCCGCTTCAATGCTTCGTGAAGGGGGGGGAGGAGAGGCTGGGGCGGGGCCACCAGAGCGGAGTACGATGCTCCTCTTTTCTTATTGTGTACTCGAGAGAAAGGGAGTGACGGGTAAATGGATGTAACCTCGTGGGATCACGTTAGGCGTCCTCTAACGTGCGTCGCCATCGTTGACGTCGGCGGTCTGTCGGGGCGCGGCACACGTGAGAGGGTTAACTTTGGGGGGCGACGCACGTGTAGCACCGGCACGTGCCACAGCGCTGCTTTGTGTGGTGGAGGGTGTCGGTGGTGGTTCCGGGGTCAATGGGGGGGCACGTGGCCCCGCCTCCAGGGCCTACTATAATTATGCTCGACGATATTTTTCTTACACGCTGTGTTTTTTTCTGGCTTTTCTGGCTCCCCCTGGCTCCCCCTGGCTCCGCACGTGGATGGGCTCCCGCACACGCGCCGCTGAAAGGAGCAGGCTTTACCGACCAGGTTAAAGAACAAAGCCGCTAATCTCCCTCTCCTCTCTCTCTCTCTCTCTCTCTCTCTCTCTAGACTGGGAGCATATGAGATCGAATCTGAGAAGGAAGCCAGCCCCCACCCACCCTGACTACGTCCCGTAATTAAACAAAGAATTGGTCTGATTAACATGTGACACTTCATTAAGATGGATATGGACAACAACTCGCAGCAAACCAGAGCGGATTAAAGAACTCAAGCCTAGGACGGGCGGGTGGCTCGAGATGGGCACCGAAGCGGGAGGATGGTCGGGAGATAGAGAGAGACAGAGCTGCGAGCTCTCTCTCTCTCTCTCTCTATTCATTCATGTGGGAGATGGGCACGGCAGAAACAGAACAAGTACCGAATCCAGAGGCAGAGAAGAAGAGGAAGAGGAAGAAAGGCGTCATGGGGTTCTTCCTGCGAGCTCGAAGACCACGGAGAGCAACATCAGCTGGGAGGGGTCAGAATATAATGGGGCACGCCAATCAGTCGCCCGCTACAAAAGCCTTGTTCTCGTATGAAAGTTGAAATCACCAAAATGCGTTGATTGAAGCCTTTCCTCATACCCATAATTTTAGCCCGACAACCACATACCTTTTTCTCTCTCAAATTTGACCGAGAGGTTCTTACAAAATCCTTGCCTGCCACCATCTGGTGAATCGTGGCTACCGTTTCTTCCTCTCATAGACCTCTAGCTGTTGACCTTCCCCACCCAGTCCATCCTTTCCCCCTTGAAATTGGGGGGAATTGGGTTTTGGTTTGGTGTCCTACTAGTCCATTGGCTGGCTTTGGGTAATACATTATCAGAAATTCGACTTGAATACAATGCACGGGCTTAAGTTGAAATTTATTTCCTTCCCACACTGCCGGTAGCTTCCACCATACAGACTTTTCACACACTTGCTTAGACTAGTCCGCTGTGGCCTTCTGACTTCCTTGAGATGCTAGTTGCAAGTGACTCACACTATGGATGATAAGCCAAGGAATTTTCTGCTGGACGAGCGAATCATGCATGATGTTGTCGGTGGAATTGGTTGGTTCCTTATCGTGAACAGATGGTATTGGCTGTATCTATCACGTTAAGGTATGATAGAGACTGTTGGGATTAGTTGTGCATGGGAAATTAATGTGTGTAGATTAGAGCTTCTTTATTCGTTGATGTATTATACTTGATCATCTGGCGGACCTCTCTTTTCCTAGATTTTTTATAACTAGAAGAATTGCATTATTTACTTGTCGCGTGTTGGTGCATCTCTGCATTTTCTTCCTTGTCGTATGGTTTCCGTGATTTTTTAAGTGAATTTGGATCGTTCGCTAATTGGCAAACCGTTCCTTGCATTAAGAATCAATGTCCTTTCTGTACTTTGCAGGGGCCGGGACCAGATGCTCGTATAGTTTATATAGATGGTGCCTTCGATCTGTTTCATGCTGGACATGTGGAGGTATAGCTTTTTGTTTGCTCTTCTTGGGTCATGATATATGAAATGAAATTTGGATGTGGACCCGAGTATTCTTTACTAAAAACAGCAAATTGATAGCGGCATGCTTGCTTATGGACTTTTTCAAACGTGACGAGCACCTTGTTAGATATCAAGCGCACTTTTCTTTAAAAAAAAAATAATGTCAAGTTGATTCTAGTGCGGGATCTTTGACTGAGAGATTGGAGTCCTGTGGGACGGAGTTGTCCTCATCACAATGGTGTGAAACTTAGCTTTCTCACAAAATTCACGTTTGTCTGTTTTATTTTCCCGAAATATATTTGGGTTCAACTTATCTTTGGCGGTGCATACTCTACATAAATAGAGAGAGCGAGCGAGCGAGAGAGCGAGAGAGAGAGAGAGAGCGAGAGAGAGCGAGAGAGAGTTCGGGCTGTGGGCTGCAACCTAATGAAGGCTAGCTCCGGCCTGGCCCGGTCTTACTCTGTGGAAGGTGAGGGGCATCGTGTGTGGTCGTCCTCTGTAGGTGCTTCCATCAAACGGGTTAAGGCCAAGTGGGGGAGCGACAGTATCCTGCCGCTGTGGCGGCGGAGCTCGAGAATAGCAGAGCCCGGGGGGTTCTTCCTCCCAAGCTCTCCGAGGATTCTAAGAGTCGGCTGTCGCACTGGTCGCCGGCGAGTCGAGTCTGAGGGAGACTCGACGGAGGAAGAGGGGGAGCGGGGGATATGGTGAACTAAAATGTTTCCTTCTTGTGGAAGGCCTTTATATTTTGGAATGACTTCTGCGGCGGCAAACACACAATTCTCAGACCAAGGACGCCAACAAGGCTGCACCAACCACAGACGTCGCTTCCGCATTCCGCATTCCGCATGGTTGAGCTAACGAAGGTGAAGTAATAGGTTACAGCCCAGAGCGGAGAAGACCCTTGAGGCCATTGTTGGAGGGGGAAGGAGGAGGGAGAATGCGGCAATGGATGTGCGATGATCATAAGATGGACTCCACAACGGAGGAGACGGCCCCGGGTCCCCCTCGCTCGAGAAGGGAGAGGGCGAGGTCGCCCTCGCGCCAAGCCCTTAGGCCACTTGCCAGCTTCCGCAACGTGTCCGGCTTCACCGCGTGCACCCACGAGGGAGCGAACTGCACCAACAGCCGCAGCCAGCAGGAGACGTAGGCCTTCCAGGTGGCCGGGTGGCAGCCGAGAGAGAAGTCCCCCTCCATCTCCCCCGCCACGAACTCCGAGTGGCTCTGGATGGTCTGCCCCCGCAGGGCCGCCGAGGGCTCCCACAGGGTGGAGTTTCCGCCGATGCCCCAGACGAAGGACCCCGACAGGAACAGCATCTGGGCCAGTACGTTCCCCTCCAGGACGTGCGACGCGAATCCCGCCGGATCGGCGCCGGATTCCGGCGCGGACAGCAGCCAGGTCGGTATCGTCTCCCTGTACAGCACCTGCACCAGCAACGGCCCGCCGGCAATGCACAGGAGGCTCGCGCCGAGGGTAGCGACCTGCTTCGCCACGGCCGCGGCTTCCGCGAGCGAATTGTTCCGGGGCGGCCCGCCGGAGCAGGCCCATCCGCGCGCGAGCTGCCGGGTCGAGTCGACGACCAGCTTGAGGATCTCGCCGGAGACGAAGTAGGGGTCGTAGAACTTGCGGCAGGAGCGGAGGTAGAGGAGGCCGGGGGGGACGCGGTGGGAGGCGCCCTGGGGGGAGATGGCGTGGCCCAGCAGCCCATCTACGCCGCCGCGGCACGTCAGGTTGCCGCCGGAGCCGAGCGCGCAGCCGAGGAAGGAGGTGAAGCAGCTCCTGAGGAGCTGCCGGATGGCGACCTGGTCGCGCTCGAAGGGCGACCGCGCGCAGGACATGATGATAAAGTCGTGCCAGCGGCGAACCTTCTGAGCCCACAGAGCGCCGACGATGGGCATGCATGGGGAAGAGCAGCTCGCGGCGCAGTTCTCCAGCGCGGGCCCGGCTACGCCGTTGATATACTCCAAGCTCGGGTCGAGCTTGAATGTTATGGTCAGACTGATGAGTGCCGCCATGGGCAGCGGAAGAATCACAGCCGTGTTACCACCTGCAAAAGATTTTAAGAAATCATGAGGAAAAGGACAGACGCCGCCAAATCATCATGTCCACCGATAAATGGATACTTTTTTTTTCCAAGACAGTAAACTAAAAAAGAGCAAACAAGCAAACAAGAGACATTGAAATAGGACGAAGAAAGGAGTTTTACAAGCGAGACAGAAAGAAAGGGGGGGGGGGGCATAGACGGTCGTATAAAATACCAGCATAGCAGGTGGGGACGTGGACACCGGCAGACGCAAGAACGTCCTTAATCTCTGCTTCGATCGAGATGAGGTTGGCAACAGGGCTAGGCCAATCAATGCCATTCATTTCCACAGGTTTCCAGATACCACGGGTAATCTCTGATGAGAAATAGGAAATAATAGTGGCAAGAGATGCTGGGAAAAAATCGACAAGGTCCCTCAGACCTACAAGAATATTTTAAAAGAAGAGTAAGTATCACCCAAATATGAATTCACCAAGAACTGTCAAAGCACAAGAGCAGTCCTTTACGAGAAAATGAACAAGAGCAGGCTCAAAGCAATAAATCCAGAGATAATGAACCTGTGGTCAACTCCCGGGATGAAAGCCTTCCATGCGCACAAGCAGCTAAAAGAGCCTCCAAAACAAAGGGAAGGGATTCCATAATCTGCCACGCAGGAAGGGTGGGACGTTGGTAAGCATCTTCGCCTGAATTTATAGGAGAGCCACTTAAAGTGCTAGTTGAATTCGACGGGTTACTGGAAGAGTTTCCACTTGACGTCATCTTCCGGCAAATCATGTTTAAAATCTTGTTAGCAACTTGGTGGACTGGGTTTCCTGCGGAGAAACCAGAAATAGTTGCAGCAATGCAAGCCTGATTTTGGAAGTACCAAGCCCGTAGCTTTGGAAAGGAGCCAATATAGACCGGTTTAACAGGTGATCTACTGCATGGATCGGTAATTTCACTGTCTACATCCATAGCATCAGAGTCGTTTGTAGCACGACGATTATTGTACATCAGCAAGAGATAATCCAAAGTGACCTCAGTTCTGACAGTCCCCCATCGACCTGCTACGCAGTGCTCCTGAGGGGGTCTGTAAAATTTCCAAAGTCGGAGAAGAAAAAGGAATGCACATGAAAAGATTGAATAGACGGACATTTCTTCACCAGAGCTTGATCTGTAACTTGATGTAGATGGCATAGAGCCAAATACCTCACATAGAGGCACCAAAGCAGCTGCCACATCAGGAACCTGTGGGGGAAAATTGTTGTTAACCAGTAGTGTCTAAAAATTAAGAGGAAAGACAAGAATTAGAGAACAATGCCAAGAGAATACGCAGAGAGAAAAAATCATTCATTCATGTATGTGAGCGTGTACAGTCCTCTAACTTAAGATTACTTTCTTCGAATTTGATACAAGGTCAAGGTTTGCCAGGAAGTCATATGCAAGATTCTAGATGCCGAAATAAGTAAATTAAGATTCAAACAAAATTCTGGGTACTTAAACAGAAGAGAAAATAATTCAAAAGAACTTACCATGCCGTATACAGAAATTATATAAACAATATCAATACGACAAAGACCAAAAAGGAGGGGGTTTATCATGGAAATATAACCAGAAAACTGGCCCCCCTGTCCAGAAATATCAGAAGGCAGAGGTGCAGACAACAGCTTGATGACGAAATTCATAACGTGCTCCTGAAAAATAATGGAACATGGCATTTAGTGTGAAAAAAAAACATAAATTGAAACACAGTTAGGAAGGTCAAACTATATGCAGAGAACCTATGAAGCATTTACCACTGAATTTTCACATCACCGTCAATTGAAAGACAGCTCAGGCAATCATTGAGCAGATGCAAAATGTTATGCAGAGCATGATCATACATACATGTAGAACTAGACTGGAAAATGAATTATCCATTGATTTTTGCGGCAGTGTAGAAAACACTGACAATCAAGACCAACATTCAGCAGACAAATATTCAAAATTCTCCATTGATTTGTGCGACATTATGTGTAGAAAAGACAAAAATGCACATCATGATGGTAAAAACCTCTAAAGACTCATTTTCACTTTTTCATTTATATATCATATGGTTCAACATTTTCTCAGGGCCAAGTAAAATGATAAAATAAATAGATACTGGAGTACAAGTTGGAGAAAGAAGAACATTCAAAGGTACAAGGTACATGCACAGCAAACAAAAAAATACTTTAAAGAATTTTGACGAAAATTACTTTAAACTGGAAAAAAAATAGATACCGAGTTTCTGTATTTTGACGAAAAATGAATTTTGATAGTTTCAGCAAAATCCGTTTTAGAATCTCAACTTTAAAGAAAATATAATACGATTAATTTGAAAACAACAGAAACACAAGAATTTTGAAGTCTTTTCGTTTGCTAAATGCAGCACCTCGAGTGTAAGTCAATGCATTAGAAAAGGTCATGCATATGAAGTCCAGAATTTGTGAATTTCTGATAAATTAGGACAGAATAATAATAGAATATCTGACTATTATGCGCAAGACGGTCCTTTAAAGAATAGATCCTAGCGCACTGAACAGATTTTACACATAGTTGGAAGAATAAACACTGATGGGCGTCATGTGCCCCTGAATATCTTATCACAACAGCCAAGTCATGAAGTTAGCAGACAAATAGGGTGATATTATTTTGTCCACCCACTTCCTTCTGACTGAAACATACCCTTTTTAGATCGCTTAGTCAAGAACTAACCCACCAAACATACTATCATCTCTTTTTTTTATCCGTATTTTTTAATGAAATAAATCAGCTTCCACGTCACACAAAATAGCGGCAAAACATCCATACTGTAAGTCTGCCTTTTCCTTTCAAAGACAGTTTAGGTATCCGACCATCAGTATACAACTGGAAATCCGGATAGTAAGTAAACACTGGGTGCAGATGTCACCTGAATGGTAATTATAGACAAATATCAAATGCAAATTCACCATAAATACACCGCAGATAAAAATGCACCTGAATATTCCAACCTCGACTAAGAGATGCACCACAGAGTATTTTGGTGGCAGCTGCTCGTTCATCATCTGATCCATTTAAGGCAATATTATATAATTTCTTGACCTCAGTAACACTGCAGAAGACAATTAAATTATATTCAGAGGCATAAAAAATCGGATATTGAAAACGCGAAAATTTCCATCAATAGAGGGACTCATTGTACAAGATAGTTCTGATACGTTGAAGCAGGAGTGACCACGAGAGCATTTGTCAGAGAATTAGTTAGTTGAGCTCCTTCCATGAATTTTAGCCATGGTGATAACTGAATGGGGGTAGAATTCGTCGGCATTTTGGAGGGTACAACCACATAGCCAGACCAGAAGTATACAGACGTGTCGATTAACTTTCTAGCAATGCATGCTTCGACTATGAGATGGATCATGTTTCCAACTGCAGCAGATATAAAAGATGAGAATGCCTCTCATGTGTCGCAAAATAAAAATAACCACTAAACCAAAACAAGAATATTAATGAAAAAACTAAAAGAGGAATGCTTCACATCTACAGTAAAAACTATGAGATGAGAGACAAAAGAGTGCAGGTGAAGCACAAAGAATTTTTTTGGTACAGGTGCAGCTTCCATTTTCAAAAAGCCATGTTGAAGACAGAGTGCAAAAATGGGCATATTCTATCAGAAGCAAAAATATTTCAAATTCAATCATTTTGACTGACTACAAATTGGGCATATTCCGTCTTGTCCAATTTCCCTGAAGAAGAAAGATGGTCTTTAACTGAAACCAAACATCGAGGGAAACATATCAAATTGATACCAAGAAATATCTCTCTCAAACTACTTTTTCGTCAAATATCGGAACTCTGGAGTCTGACAAGGCTATACAATTTTGAATGTGCGGTGGATGTAGTTATTGTGACACTAAGTAATCCATATTCTGCCACTGGAAACAACCAAGATGTTCACACAGTTTGTGCTTAATTTTTTCTCATTATCTGCATTATTTCCACCATTCAGGCACACGTAAAGTTTCCTCTTTTTATTACTCATTTGCATTCACCTCTGCTCGCTCTCCTTGAAATAACTATACATACACCACATTTTATTCTATTATGTAAGGAAAATATCAAACATAATAGAAGATGACTCTTTCTACTGAACGGTGATATTACAATAGAAATATGAGTCTAAAACAAGGAACCATAGGAATAGAGTGGATATTTTTCAGTGCCGTCTGGAAAATAGGTCTATAACGACGATGTGATCAGAATGAGGTCCAGGCAAGACACATAAATAGTAAAACTAGTTGTAGTGACAAAAATTTCAACGAAATGGAAGCTGGGATAAAAATGTAACAAATCGTGAGTCACTGAATAAAAAAGACAAGCTTTTCAGCACAAGTACTTGCATCATAAACACTTTTATAGGATGAGTCCATGCTGAGTACATGCATATAAGAAGAAGATTCCCTTGCTAAGGAAACGAAATCTGTTACATGCGAAGTACTTTTCTAAGGGATGGATGAATGCCATAGGAAACATCACAACCTGCTTCAGCAGATGTATCGTTGCGATCTATATTGTTGCCACTGCTAGTTCCATTCTTGAAATTCGAGATGAAAGATGCTGCTTTTCGGGCAGCATTGTTGGCGGCCATGACTACTGATGGAGGAGGAGACAAAAGGCCAGTAAACTGTCTCAGTAGCTGAATGGAGGATATTAGACCGTGCTTTATATTTGAAAACTGGTTTTCCCCATAATTATCTTTGCAATCAGGCTCCATCTCTATTGTTGCATCACTTCTCATGGTAGACTGCATTCCAACCTCGTCCTTCATAACACTATCTATTGCTAGAGGTGCAATAGATAAGAGAACACACAGTCGGGCATCAAGGTGTGGTACAGGTCCTTCAATTGATTCTCGTTCCTACATTAGAACTCACAACAAAATTAGCACAACATATCAGATGCAAAGATGAGAAGATTTATTATAGCTCAGTACAAAATAGCGGACATTTTTCCGCGTCTCAATAAATTATCTTACACGCTGAACAAGTCGCAGAGCAGAAATCCAGAGAGCTTGAAATGTTTCCTGCCAGCTTGCCTGATTAACCACTTGGAGAGTCTTCGTCAACTCTGCAGTTCATATTTTATGAGATAAATTAAAAACAAAATCGGTCAATATCAAATAAACAACAATCTTGGAGGATAAACCCCAGTACATCCGAGAGCTCAATCCCCCAAGAGGTTAAAAGAAATGTTATTTCCCAATATAAAAGCACCTCACCTGTAAGTATGTCAATTGCAGATGTAGCGTAGAGATGCTTGCCATCCATTGTATTCTCCATAAAAATATCAAAAGGAATCCAGCAAGCTGGTAACCTGGCCACATAACTCGGGCAGAAATTTACAGCACGTGAAGCAAGATCATCAAGACCAATGGTTGCTTGCCGCTTATTCAGCCAAAACTTCCCATCCACAGCCTTACAAATGTTTGCATAAAGTTTCACCAAAATATCATTGATACATAATAAGTTTGGTGACTTTGACTTCTGAATTTCAATGAATTGAAATCTCTGCAGTAGGCATCTGAACATTTCAGGCCTATTTCTCACAAGAATATTCACATTAGTAACTCATTACAGGCAAAAGTCTCTCTGAAAATATACATAAAGAATCAAAGAAGAAACCCACAGACTGAGATGCATTGAAGGACTCTAGACTTTAATTCACAAATTCAAACATCCAGAAAAGGAAAGCATTACAGACCTCAAAGTTTTTTAACTTTTTCTGGAAGCTGTAGATCATACGTCTCTGTTTTTTTGGAGGCTGTAAACCAGTGGATCATACGTCTCTGTTTTTCTTTTATTTTGCTTTTAATAATATAACTTGAGCAACTATCCTGGCTCATCTTTCCAATTAAAGCCAAACAAACATTGTCTTCTCTTGATGTGGATCAATAAAAAAACTCATTACAAATGGTAAAGCCAAAGGATCTTTCTTGTGTAAACTGATGTACTACCGAAAATCCTCACTACAAAAAATATGTTTCTTTGATGTGTTTCAAACCTCCATCCCTGTCTATACATAGTACCCATATAAGCCTGACAGTCCTAAAAATTCCAATTTCAACATGAAATAATAAACATTGGCCGAGGTTACGACTCTGCAAGGACATAAAAGCCTCAAGAGGACCTCTGCCCGTTGTTTCCAATTTTCATTTAGAAAACAACGTAAAGTGTCACTTAGATCCTGATTATTCTTCAACTTACACTAGGGTCTTCTTAATCAACGGCACGTTTTCTTCTAGAAGCCATATAATACGGAGTAACCCATTTTCCTAATAATAGAAAGAATGCATTTTGATAAAGCATCCACCACTTTCCTAATAATACGGAGTAACCCATTTGGCTAAAATAGAACGTGGTTATGAAATCGGTTAAACAACATTTTGATAAACTAGGATGTAGCCGACAATGTTTACCCTGGAAAAACATAGGCCTATGTGTAATTATGTCTCAGAACTGCCAATACAATCTGTTTTCCAACATCAACACCACAGCCCCATGTACCTCTTACAAGGTACCCTTTGCAACCCTTTTGGCACTACAGGATCCTGGCCATTTTCCTCCTGGATCAACAGCATATCACCCTCGAAGTCACTCAAGACTGCGTCCACAAAAACTTCTACTAATTTTCTCGAACCATACAGATTTCTCCTTGTAATATCCTAGATTTTATGCTTCACTCAAAAGCGCCTTTCAAATAAATTAGTTCATTCTTCGGTTTGATCCAACCATTTTTTGTATTGATTACATCATTGGCCAAACATTGTATATGACTCACTGCTAAACAACCCGACAAAAGGGAATCTCCAAATTATGGTCTACAAACTGATTCAGATCACTGTATTTGGATCCGAATCGGATTTCCCAGTCTAGCCGTAAAAGAGGAAGACACAATTTCGACTTGAAATTTAATAAAAGTCAGCTAGAAATCAGTTCTACTAATTTGGATCAACTGGGACAGGTCTTTGCAACCTTTCTTGTTCACAGAAAGAAGACTGAAGAACAATAAAATGAGGAAGAAGAAGAAGTTGGAAGTTACACTAGTGAACGAAGAAAGGAGAGCAAAGGAGAGGGTGGCTAGTTTTCTCCCCTTCCATTGTTCCTTTGTTGTTCTTCCCACTGCTCGCATCAGCAGTCATCAGGCAGCAGTCGTTCCATGCTGCAGCAGGATTTCCTACCCCAAGAGTACACCTCAGCTCAAAGCAGACCAATGTCTCTAATACTATCCAATACGAGCTGTAAGGACATCCAACTGATCCAGGATTTGATCCCAGTTTTATTAAACTGGTATCCAAATGGTTTTCACTTCAAATACACCCATATACCCCTTGCGGTCTAATTATGTACCTAATGTTATTGAAGGGAGAGATAGACCGTTCTCTTTCCCAAAACCCCCTGAATTTTCCACTCTATCTCTTCAGAAAAAAAATCTTAGCACTGCATTCGTAATTTAACATTAGAATTGACCATTCAATATTCTAACATAATTAGGCTAAATATCTTCCACAAGAATTTTACAGAAAAAGAGAACCATATAAGATCTTCATTAACCCTCGTCTGGCCAACATTTGATGCCTAGTGTGCAGCATAGGGTGCACTATCAGTTCTAGTGCCTTACAGCCATTCTCTATAAGTTGTAATTCTCTCCATGCAATAAGTTTAAAAGATAACATGGCACTGACCAGAGTAAACAGCAGGTAATAATTCATAACAAAAAGAAGAAAACGACATGGGTAGAGGTAATGGACAGTGGACAACAAAAGGAACCTAATCCGCTCTTGCTCGCTGCAACTAATGGCGTCTTGGTTGATTTCTCTTCCTTTAGCTACTGAGATGTTCCAGTTCACTAAGTTACAATACCTTGAATCATCTGCATTAAGTGGTAGGCCCACCCAGTCTAACCTGGGTTATGCTAGAATCTGCAAAGAGCGGCACCTTAAGATGTTCAGACAAATCGGAATCTGAAAGAACAGTGGGCACCAGAGGAGATCGCTCTGAAAAGCATATAAAGAGATATCTGCAGTAGATTCCTCTCCGTATGTTTTACCATGTGACAATAGTCTATCATCACTTCAAAGCTCTGAACGTCAAAATCTGTAGTAGATTGCTCTCTGTATGTAAGTAATTCAGAGCAACCTTCGCATTTTTTCAGTTTAATTCAGGGATTTTGATATATTTTCTCTTTAAGATTTAGTCAGAGTGTGCTCAACTTCTAAGAGGAATATGAAAGCATCGAAAAATTATGCACGCAATTGAAAATTTTCCTTTATTTTGTTAATTAAAAATAAAAGATACGTCAGTTTCAGGAAAACAATAACACAGATTGTGAAGCAAAACAATTCTAGTCAATTCTTTGCCTATCTTGAAGCCTCAACCATAAAAAATTGCCAACTGGAGCTTGCTCGTCACCATTGGAATCAAGAGAAACTAGTTTAAGAGCTGACAAATTTAATATCCTTAAATTCATCCAAAGCATCATAACAAGTTAAAAAGACGAGGTAGAAAGGTGCATTTCAAACATGAGTGAGTACATGTTCTGATTAAGCAGATGAAGCAGGACTTTCGCTTTCTTATCTGCTGTCAGCTTCTCTGCAACCTCGATTGCCATCAATGTGTTCCCTTTACAGAGCTGTTGACGATATTCATGCCTCTTGTCATTTATTTTTCCGTTAGCATGATGGTCTTCGTTTACCAGATAAACATTACAGCTGTGGGCCTTCTCTAAATATGTCAACTGTAGGCCCAAATCCTCCAGAGTGCAATCAACTAATTTTGTGATAACAGTACAGAAAAAAAATGCCAATGCCTTCCCTAGATCTATGTTTGGGACCTCATAAAAATATATAAACTGAAGAGTACTGATAACGGATTTAGCTATCCTGCAAAAGACAAATTCAAACTAGTTTCAATTAGTCAGACATGGCGTTCTCTCTTCTTCAATGTACAGCAAGCGTTAGCATATAAGTTTATCTTAAGGACAGAAATTCAGAAATTCAAGAAAAAAGACAGACGTAAATAGTTATGCAAGGCTAGGGACAAAAAAGGAACTAACATCTTTTTGTATACTCGGTTAGTAAGAATGTAAATGTACGTCAGAAAAATCAAAAAATAAAATGTACTGATAGGAAGACTTAACTTCAGAAAATTTCTGGATTAAATATGAAAAACTTAAAAATGAACACAGTTTACAGTTTTTGGACAGTTTCGAATATCAAAGCATTAAACTCATAGCTAGTCCCCATTTCTTCCGTTTCCTGGAATATCTGCTCTCTATGAGTGTGATCTCTCCAGGACAGTGGATCAAACTGCTCATTAACTCTACACTATTATGGACCAGCTACTCTAGGATCTTGATGACATTCTCGAAAAAAATAAACAATAAAAAATATGGTAAATGCTTGCATATCTAATTTTCACAGAAACGATTGCAATGTATGATATACTACTATAATTGATAATGTGTCATAGACAATTAAAACAAAAAATGATCCGATAAACGCCAAGGACTATATGTTTCTCTATGTAATGTTAGTTTGTTTTGGTCATTAAAGAAACAACTTCAGTGTTACAAATTGAATATTTCAATTTTCAACATTAATTTTCGCCATTAAAGGATCAAAAAAAATTAACGCAATGGAGGACGAAGGACTGCCATATAGGCAACACATATAACACGGTTATCTTTCTCAGATGATATGTATGGTTTATGTACAAAAATTCAGCCAGATGTCAATGCCGCTTAGCTTCTTTTACTGAAAAAAGAAGCGTGCTTACTTTTCTCTCTGGGTGGTAAACTCTCTTGCAGAAAATGAAACACCATATTGGCTAATAAGTTCAAGGTAGAGTCTATAGGCCTCTGGTTGATTCTGACGGTTTGGAATCACCCTGGATAATATAAGAAAATATTAGAGTTAGAACCAAGCACACAGTCAAACTGCAGACAGCATTCAAATGGAAAATTCAAGCAACGCAATCTAGAGAATAGTTATAAGTACTTGAAAAAAAATGGCACTGGTACATTTATCATGGGACAAAATTTAACAACATCAACCAGAATAAATTGAATCACTCAACAAACCTGGTGATCATGAACCATACTTTTTTTTGGCTTTCACATATAATCAGGCAGTGTGACAAAATCTATCTGAAATGTCGGTGTTCTATCACCTAAAGAATCAGCTTAAACTTTAACGTATGACAGCACTGACATAACAAATTGATGCCTATAATCTTTCAAATTTTCCTATTTATGTAAACGGCAACTATCAGGGGATAAAAAGTAGACGCTAGACAGGAAACGGATCATATTGTTTCCATGTATCTTCGTCTGCATATCACAAACTGCCGCACACGGGCCATCTCATTGTTATATATTTAACAGTCTTAAAATGAAAAAAGAAAGTGAAATGAAGAGTCGTCGAAGATGTAACACCAGCCAGAAGCACGAGAATTACGTGGCTAAGAGCCAGTACCTTGACGTGAGGAGCGCAAGGGTGTGAAGAGGGGAGAGAAGACCGGAGGCGATGGCCTGATCCAGGAACTTCCACAGAGAAGGGGTGTTGTTGGCGAAACAGAGACTTCCAACTATGACGTCCCCAAGCTCTAGGCTCGGGAGCTCGAGGCCCCTCTCCTGCACGCATCTTCCCACCTCCAACGCCCAAACTAGCGGCGGATCCCCCCTCTCTTCCGACGCCTTGACGACCTCAAGGACCCTTCTCTCCAACCCCACCACCCCATCCATTCCCCTAGACCTCAACTCCGATTCCACCGCCGCAGGGGCACCGCCCCCTCATGCCCCCTCTCCCACGTCTCCCCCCGCCCTCGTTCTCGCGTTTCAATTCCCTCCGGCGCCGGCCGTCAGCTGGGCGCCGGGAACAGCCTAGAAGACATTGACAACCGCCGAATCAGGGAGCTATGGCCCGGGGTTGACTCCTGCGCGTCGCCCGCCGCAGGAACCACAACCCTCAAACCTCCCCCTTTCTTATCACTTCCCGGCGAGGGAGGCGAACAGCAGTTGACCATGTGATCTGCGAGTATAATGAAGATCACCATCTCGACTTCAAATCACCCGCTTGAAGAATCGTACACATCGACTCACGAAGACTCTGGAACGTTCCAGTTTGACGACAGAGCCTAGACTGAGGAGAGAGGGTCGAGTCCTCTCTCAGTCGCATCTTCCCGGTGCATTCCAATGTGTAACACAGTAGCAGTCTACGTTCAACAGGCGATTTCTAGTCAACAATCCCAACAGCTTTCGTCGACGTCAGAGTGAGTGTTCTTTTTTTGGGCTGGATCGGTCAAAGTTCATCAAGCCGAGTCTCTTAGGCCTACTCGAGGTCAAACTTCTCAAATTCATACCATCCCCATGTGAAGTGCCATAGTCCACCCACACTCACAAAGGCGCATGTTAACTCCTGTGAGGAACAAAAGGCATGTAGGGGCAGCCAAAAGGATATAAGCACACATGATGGCATGGAAAGAACAAGATTGATGCATGCAATTATGATGGCATGATAAGGGTACCATATGAGATCTCGAAAAATCAGAAGAAGATCTCAACCATTATCTCTCAAATATGAATGAGGTGCTTGAAGATTGTGCAGGACATGCATGGTGGAATATGTAAAGCTTGTAGGGGTGCACGATGTGTACTAGGAATTGGACAACATCTAGTGACATGGCTGAGATTATGGGTTGTGTAGGCCATGATCATAGGGATGATGCTTATGTAATGCGATGGCTTAGTTCGCTAAGCTATATTTATGATTGTCAATGATGATTATTATGGATACTTTTGCAAGGATGAGAAATGTAAAGGAGATCATGAATTTGACATGAGATACTCGCCAATACTTCAAAGATATGTACACACTCAAGGTATAGAAAATTACACATTAATCATGTATACAACAACATAGATATATATAAAAGAACAAATGGTGTCCAAGTTTTGATGAAAAAAAAATGAAAGAATGGTTTTTTCCCCTCAAATGACATACTTGTTCAAGAAGCTTCAACACTGCCATTTAAGGACTATAAGTGACTATGTGTGCACTAGTGTGATACAACACTTGGTATAGAAGAGTATGTTTGTAGAAGACAAGCTCTTAAACTTCATGATAAGACTATAAATGAGCATAAGTAGAGATGACATTATATGTCAAAAGATATTGAATCAATCATGGTAGTAATTATAGTGTTTATTAACAACAAGACTTCTAGTTGAAACAAAAGGATGAAACTTGAGTATATGATGTGAACAAGAGTGTAGATGACATTAGAAAATAGATATTTCTATTGATAAATGTTTCAATCAATATATATATTTATCACAACAAAAAAATGACATAACTCAATTTGATATAATTGTTAATATCTTATTAGTAATGATTAGAGGTTGGAAATGACAATGAGTTGAGTGATTAATGGTCAAACCACACCAACCATGATTGATAAGGAGATACCTACACCTTTTTCTTTAATAAAAAGTTATTTTAGTTGAGCTTGACAATGACATTAGAAGAGAGCCCACACTAAGTTATCTAAGTCAACAACACTTACCTTAAAAATCAATTGTGAATGTGAGGTGCATATATAAATCAATAAATGAGACAAGGAGGTAAACCTTATGGTCATCTCCATAAGTTACTTAAATGTCATTGTAGTTATATAATTTATAATTAAGGCACAGTCAAAATCATGTCATACTAGCATATGCTATTTCAAGCATGACACAAAAAAGGTAGAAAAAGTGTTGAAGGCCCTAAATATCTTCCCCAAATTATGAGATTCAAATTAAAAAAAATTATATGAGATTTTATACAAGCCTATGTGATCTACATTATTATGGATTGATTCTTGAAGTTTATAATCTATACATTATCAATGAAGAAAGATAACAAAGGAGAAGATTTGGTGAGCCTCTTCATAGTCAATGTTGTTTGACAGAGTCTTGCGACTTTGCATTACAAGCAACCAAATCTCATGATTGTTGGCCTTGTTTTAATCTAATAAGGACAAAAATCAAACTCTCAAAGAATTTATACCAATCAACCTAAATAAATAGAGCTCATCAATGATAGGTTTAAGGAAGACCACCCCCCCCCCCCATATGCCTAATGATTCTCTCTCTATTTGGTGTTCCAGATATTATTCTTAAAATAAAACACAACAAAAAAGTTTAGCACATAATTAACTATAATGTAAATTGTCATAGTGCACATATAACATGGTAATATACTAGAGGTTAACTAAGCTAATAAGAGGATAATAAAGATATTTAGTACATGTTGACTTTTTTATGGCCATAAGAGGAAGTAAGGAACTAAATTCATATTTTTTAATTCCTAATCAAATTTTGATTATAGTATCATATTGCATAGTGGGGGTGCATTTACTTCTCAACAAACGAAATAAGACATGATAAGTCTTTTATTTTTGACATACCTTGGTTAGTTGTCCATGTTTATAGTGTCCCATGTTTTGAGACAAGGGTGAAGATTATTCTGCTCTAGTGGCATAGACATACAAAGAGGGCAGTACAACAATAGAGCTTTCCTCCACAAGGGAAGTTTGAAAAGGAGGGTACTTCAAATACATCTTTCTGTCTTGTCAATGGAGCAGGGCCAAGATGCTATTAGGAATGACCAAAGATAAGGTGAGCTCCTCAAAAATGAGTCTCACAACATTGGTAAGATGCTCACATATTTTCACCTTCTATCACCCTTGATTTTTGTCTTATCTATCCCCTTTAACCTAATGACACATGTAAAAAACTAAGGATATATATTTATCAAAATGTATATGAGTGGGGAGAGTTTTCCCAATTGAAGCATCCCTTTCATTTATATCAAAGTCCCATGCAACAAGAATTTTTCCTTGCGTCTATTTGCATGACCTCAGATCCTCTTTACAATGTTACATAATTTGGCATTGAGATCTAGCTTCGATTCTTAATGCATGTATCTCTCCTACAATGTTGAACTTTGTCAATATAAGCCTCACTATTGCTAATGTTGAGCATTGAGATCTAGCTAGTATTCTTAATGCATTCATCACTACTCACACATCAATTAATGTTGAGTAGTAACCTCACATAACGTCACATGTCGACCTTATCACACTTTTTTCATGTGTTTTATCTCATTTTTTCATCAAAGTCTTAGAAGTAACCATGGATAAACAATTTGAACTATCTAAGATCAGTCCATGTCCCTCTCTTATACTGATTGATTGACCAAGCATCCTTTCCACATCGCTAAAAAGTAGATCTAATGATGATGCTTTAGTGTTGACTTTTCAAGCCCTTCTCATTTTGATGCTTCTAGAATATATAAGATGTGGGAAATGACAATTTTTACACAATCAAATTATGTCATTTAATGCCTCTTATTAAAATATCATGTGAGTTAGTAATTACTAGTTAAAAAAATATAATTTAATTGTTTTGAGAAAAAGAGTTAACTTCAATGTCAACACACCTAAATAAAAGAGAGTTTTATGATAATTAAGCCACTAAGATGTGAAAACTAGAGAAAATAGTAAAGTATTAGAATATTCATGAAGTTGTCTCATGAGAGCTCGTAACTTATTATCACAACTTACCTTGTTTGATGATTAGACAATCAATCATTGTTGACTAAACAACATTACATAGTCAAGTACAGTATGTCATATGATAGTGACAAATGATTATAGTAGAATACATTACACACAACTTTCTCAAGATAAATCAAAAAATTACAACATATTGATCTTCAACATAGTCACCTCTCTATCAAAATGGTGTTAGGAGAAGACTTTTAATTTATCACTTACTAAACACATAAATACAATTCCATCTAACTAACACATGATATTACTACCTACATGTTTTGCCTATTCTTCACTTGGACGAGGGAAAAGAAGTTGGTGAATCTTTCAATTTCGTATGAAAACCCTTGTTTTGTCATTCCTCATAACATGAATGATAAACAAATAAAATGTAATATATCATGTGAAATATTTTAATTTCAAATAATTATTTTTGAAAAAAATGATTATTGATGAAATAGGTACATCACAAAATATAAAATTGTAATTACATGGTTTCTTTCAACACAACATTTAATAGTTTTTTCATTGCCATTTTATTCTCATCTCAATTGATGACATTATTTAGACTTAATGAAAGGTATTCTATCATGATTTAAGAAATGCTTGAGCGTCTTCTTTGTACATATATATTATGAAACTTGACTTTAACTCAAAGATCAATATATCCACACTCTTACCCCCCACTTTGGCTCATTGGCTATTAAAATATTTCACCCCACACTCTTGGGTGTTTTTCCTATTGTTAAGAGATACTTTAAGACAGGCTCGATATCCTTCATACAATTTCACTATCATATCATACATTCTATTAGATGAATTCTGATCAATTATCCCTATCATACAATTTCTGATCATATCATACATTCTTGTACCAACATGATTCATAAATGTTTCATCAAATTTTTAACATAGCATAATACATTCTCAAAAGACCATTCTGGATTTCATTATAAAAAGAAATATATCCATAACTATTTAATTCAATCAAAACATCAATAATATTGGTCATCACAATGCATATATGAAAATAAATAAATCATAACTTATAAAAATAACATCTTATGAATCGTCTAATGTAAATATAAAATCAGTACATATATAGAAAGTATATGATAAATATTATTTAATTATGTGAAAAGAGCCAATGGCTTGATAAAGTAAATGAAAATTTCTAGTCTTTAGTATCAACTCCTTGACACATTTGACTATTATTTGGCATGTGGTTCTCATCATCATTGGGCATAGTTAGGGACAAAGGCTATGTTAAGACTACAATTACTATCATCACTCTTTGCAATAAGGCTAAACATAGCCAACTCTTGAATGATCTACTCAAATTGGTCTAGAAAAAAAAACATGTGCTTGCCTTGATAGGGCCCAATGCCATGCCTTGTCTATGCCCTAGCCTCCATTCCTATTCTTCAAACAACTTATTCAGCTCTTGTGTCCTTCCTAAATTACACAAAAATGGTATTTTAACAATATCTCCTTTGCCCTTGTCTATAGCATGAAAGCAATAGGCTAGGGCATGTCAACCTCAATGAGAAGTGTAGAGAAACATGAGAGGGAAGAGGTGGTGGAGAGAGAGAGAGGAGAGATAACCACGTTCATTTCTCCTACTTGATAATTTGGTAAAATTAAGATTATAAGATAAAAAAACTTGGTAGTTACATCTCACATTATAGAAGTAGAAACAATACTAATAATGAAGCATTGCACTAGACATTGAAATGATTGTGATTGACTAGACATCATTTTCTAATTTTTCCACACAGAAAAAGTATGGAAAATAATTTCCATAAAATATCAACCATGATATTTTATCATAAACTTGCTGAAGTGAAATTCACATCTTCAAATCAATATCAACTATAAATTAGTAATCACATCAAAGTCTCCAAACTTCATCTTAAAGGATAGCTTCATGCTTAAGTTATATATTTATCTAGTGTTGTCAGATTTAATGTATAAGTTTCATGTTATAAAGGTTTCATATTAATGGTGAGATACCACTAGATGAGAAATTGAGTGTACTTAAAGCGAGCTAATGCCTTGGTGTTCAATTGATTATGGTAATTTGTAGGTTTGTGAAACCTAGGGGTAAATGCCTTAAAAAGGCAATAGTAGACCATCAGCTGCTCATGAACCTCTACATCAGACTCGTGGTCAGAAACCAGCATCGCAATCCTCAGACGAGGCTAGAACCATGGGAATTCACCGTTATTTTTTTACGAATCATATCATTGACCTAGTGTCGAAACTAATGTCGTAAAGGATAAGCGGTCGAGAGTAAAACTTGGAGTTATGTAACCGGCTTTTAGAAATTGAGGGAGAGAGAGAGAGACTTGATTATGTCTTAGTTTTTCCGTGTTTGAACCAAACGAAGCGTGTGGTGTTAATTAGATAGCGTTAATTTGCCCGCTGCTGTAATTGGAACCCATACGAGGGGTTTCAGAGTGGCAAGTTTCTATCGATGTCATGAACACGTTCTGCTATCTCCGCAGAGTCGTAGTCATATCCCAACACATCCTCTTGACAGCACATTTCTGCTCTTGAATCGTAGATTATCGTTGATTTTACGCCGTGCGAAAAAGGAAACCGGCACTTATAATCTTCTACAGCAAGTTATACACAAGGAACGTTTTCATCAGGAACTCCTGGCGGAGATGTTATGCATCATGTGTTTGAACTCGTGAAAATCAACGCGGCCGTCGCGGTTCGTGTCGACTGAACAGATCATCTCGTGGACGCGCGCGATGTTGTTTCCATCCGGTAATCCGAGCTTGCCCAGCACCGACTGCAGCTCCTTGGCAGATATGAACCCGTCGCCGTCCTCGTCGAACACCCGGAACGCCTCTGTAAGGTCCGACTCCTCCGCCGATGGGTCTACTACTTCCTCGTCCCCGAGCCCTCCGAATGCGAAGGCCCCCAGGGAGCCGTCGAAGCACTTGAAATCATCGAACTGGAGGCTGTTATGGCCGGGCTTGACGAAGGCCTGCATCGTTGTCTTGAGCTCTTCAGCTTCTGCCTCCATGCCAAGCCTGCAGAGGACCTGTCCCAGCTCGGCGGTCGTTATCTTCCCGTCCCCGTCGCAGTCGAAAAGGTCGAAGACGCGGCGGAGCCGGAGAGAGTTGATGCTGGAGCTTCGAAGCTGGAAGGACTGAGATGGTCGATCCAGCGCCGGCTGGCTACTCTCCTCCTCGGTCCCTCCCATCGTCTCGATCGGCAAACTAACCAACGATAGGAGATGGAGATGCTAAGGATTGGGAGAGAGCTGCAGATGGGTGGACGTGATCGAATAACGGATCTGGAGAGTTGCGTGGAGAAAACCAGAGGAACGGCGATACTAATACCACCCGAAAGCGTGGCCTTGACCGGCAGTTGGGTCTAAACGGACGACCAACGCCGTATGACAAGACGCGCCTGGATTACGAAAATCCACGCGCCCTCCCCGCGACCCGGTCTAGGGCTCAGGCGTTCAGGCTTGACACTCATTAGGTTTCCCCGTGGAGATCAGATGTCAATGTTCAATGCCCACGTGGGCGTTGCGGTGGTTCGCTGACATTGGAACTGTTCAATGACTTTTTCTTCTTCTTCAGTCGGTGGTAGTTTCTAGAGTGGTTGACTATCGGAGCGGAAGTTGTCTCGTCCAACGGTCTCAACGCTCTAAAACTCTGGATTTGCTATCCATACGTTATTTATTTGAAATAGAATTTCGTGTAGCCTTGTTCTATGATGAATCTTTAAAGTCTTATTAATGTTACATAAAAAAAAATAAAAATTCCAACACCTTCTTCCTTGATTCACACAAACAGACATATTTCTATGAATCATTTTCAATTGTTTTTCAATCCTAGTCATAAGCTGGAGCATACCAAAGGTTGCAAGATTTGCTGATATTATTCCCAAAACGTCGTCATATCAAACCATGTGATTCGCTTGAACCAGAACAAACTCGAGGTTTATTTTTATATTTAACTATACAAATATGTGACAAATTAATAGGGTTACGGACTTTTATGCAAGCGTGTGTTCATTTTTATTTTGAATATTCTTGATAATTCCAGTACATCGACTCACCTTCTAGACGTTGTCACACGTGTTACATTATTAAATCAATTGGTAATGAATGTAGCGGGGCCATCCATCTAATCTAGCGGTTTTTTAAAGCACTCTTCATGGTAAGACTCGATTTTAGAGGGGTAATGACTTTGGTAGCCATGCCTACGCATGAAAGTTGTGTTTTCTTCGATGGTAAAGTAGATACGATCGTCCGCAAAGTTGTTTGCTCATAGATATATCCGCCCATCCAGGAGGGTGAGATGCTCGTGGGGAAGGAAGACCAAGTCACGGAGAACAACGGAACGAGGTTGGTTGATGGAATGTACACAGTTTATAACTATGATCTGGCACATTGCGGAGAGATGTTTTCATCTGTTCACGTGTGTGTATGTGGGTGAGAGAGAGAGAGAGAGAGAGAGAGAGAGAGCGTCTGGAAAGATGATTGATCTTACGATACGGGATCCTCTCGCTCCTTACTTTCTCTGTATTTCTCTCTTCGATACATTCATGTAAGTAGTTAAGTAGTTAATTGGAAAGATGATTGGTCGAACGATACGGGGTCCTCTCGCTCTACATACTTTCGCTTTATTTCTCTCCGATACATTCACATAACAGTCGATTCATCTCTCTCTGTGTGTGGAAATGGCGGGCGATTTGTAGGTAGATGCTCCGTGCGACATAGGTTTCGTCTTTTGAGATTCCGTCGGCACTGATCGGAGTTCGGGTCTAAAACGGCGGTGAAAGTTGAGAAGATTCGCAGCAAAGCCACTGTATGGGCACTGCTTTCTGATCTCTCCATCCGATCTTCCTCAAACTCTGAGGAGAGAACCGGGGAGAGGACCCAGAGGAGGGGGAGGGAGAGGGGGGAAATAGACTCCTCAATTTCCTCATCTTTCCTCCTCGCCTTCCATGTACCCCGTATCGAGCAAGATACGTATTCTGACTCTATGAAAACCTAGGGCAGGAGTAATCTAGTCTTATCCGAGGGCTTCCTCTCCCCTCGTCGCTAGGATGCATATCTGGGCACTGTGAGAGAATAGAAGGGTTGGAAGGATGAGGGGTTCTGTAGTCGTCACCCGGGGGGGGGAGAGAGAGAGAGAGAGAGAGAGAGAGAGAGAGAGAGAAAGAGAACTCGCTGGCGATTCGTCCAGGTCATCTAAGCGCGAAGTCAAAGGCTTGTCAGGCTCAGCTGACGTGGGTTGAAACCGCCGTTCGGAAATCAGCTCCCGAGGGCCTTCCCGCGGCGTGGACGGGTAGAAGAGGGGGCGGCATGTAAGTCGCGTTTATCGAGACGTCTGTTAATCTGGTTACCTGAAAAGGCAATGAGATATCCAAGGGTCAACTAATCGAGCGGCGATCGGGGCCGTCCAAACGACGGAGGCCTGACTTGTGAACGGATATGAAGTCTGTCTCTCGAGCTGGTCGTTGATGTACGCATCGAGGAGGCGAGTGCACCAGGGGCCATGACGTTGCCCCCCTGTCATCCTTCACGAGTTCTCAAGCAACGGTCGCATCCTCTTCATCTTCTCCAGGATCGCCCACTCTCGAAGATGCCCTCCCCTTGACACGTCCGCCGTCTTCTTCCTCCGCTCGTTTGCTTCCAGTGCGATGGAGGTCAACGGCCTCCGCGACTTCAGGGGGAGCATCTCTCTGCGAGCCGAGGAGACGGAATCCGGGTTCAGGTTCTTCCTGGAGGACGACGAGGAATTATTCTTCGATTTGAACCTGGAGAAGATGCTCAACACAGAGGAATTCGAGTTCCAGATCGCCTTCTCCCAGCCCCCGGCCGCCGGTCCCCCCTCTCAGCGCTCCGCCGATGTGCTCTTCCGGAACGGCCGGATTCTCCCTTTGCAGGGGAACCACGTCTCAAATTCTGAAGTGCAGTTGCATCCTGCGGGGGAGCTTGGGCTTCCGCGAGTTTCTGTCCCGGTGGAGATCAGGGCGAACTCAAGGGAACACCTTCTCCATGGCGATCGGCGGCACACAGGCAGCAACGAGTATCTTCATAGGTCTGCGGAGATTAATTGAGAGGGAAACTAAGAATGATAGTTCTTCAGAGGGGAATATCGTCTTCCATTATGCCCGATAGACTAGCTATCCAGTTTCATTAATTTCGTCGAGGAAGGGAACCATTCCCCATCTTCTATGCCTCTCCTTTTCTTGGAGCACACAGTTCACCATCATCTGAGAGAGAGAGAGAGAGAATCTAGCTTGGTGCATACGTAGGTAGCTTCTAAGAGGAGTAAACGCGTATCGCTTTCTCTCTTTCATCTTGGAGATGACCGGACGGCAGGTTAGGCGGCCGGTGCCGATCGCAGCGCCTTAGTCTTTGAGATGGACTTCTTTAATGGTGAGAAGTCCCGATTGAGTGTTTTCGATCACCCGACATTAATTACTTGCATGCTTCTTGTCCGGGGGGCTCATCTCAGTAAAACCCAGAATTCTTCCTTCTCTGTTCATCTTTAGAAATCGATCGTCTCGATTCGTTCGAAGTTTATAGCGGGTTTCTCCGGTTGATCCTCATGCAGGAAGACTGATCTCAAGCTGGCAGAGAGGACGAACACCGGAGCGACGAAGTTCCTGGTCAGGTTCCCATCGGAGAGAATACGCTCCACCTTCGCGTCCATCGTGAAGCCTCACCAGCTGCTCTCTCCTCTCCACGAGATATCCCAGAGCGGCGCCGCCTGGACCTTGGGGAAGGGCAGCGGTTTGAGGAAGCTGGCACAGCGGTTCTCCGGATGTCTGGGAATCGGGAAGAAGAGGCCCATCCAGAGCGGGGGAGCCGCCGGCGCCGCCGTGGACGTCGACGAGGCCGTCGTCAACACCATTCTTGATGCCGTGGATTTCGCCGTGAGGAGCGGACGCTGGGCCGCCGTGGGGGCCGAGGGCCTTCGGAAGTCCCCGCCACTGCGCGGAGCCGCCGACCGACTGACGGAATTCACCCTGGAGAGGAATCTTTCCATCAATTCCGCCATTGCCCACTGCAAGATGTCTTACAGCGGGGTCTCGAGTATGCGATGATGGGCTGTGCCCACTCTCTCTCTAGCAGAGATTTCTGTATCAGAGTGAGTGCGGCCTTAAGTTACTATAGAACAAAAATCAAGAATTTTCCCAACATCATAGCCAAGTAGTCGCGCATGAAAATATTGGGTGATTATCAATGAATATACTAAAAGCAACACAGTGGAAAGTAGTGGGCAATATTAAATATGTATTTTTGAATATTCTCAAAAATTGCAGAGGTGTCTGCCTCAAGATGCAAGCTTTCATGCATTTAGTTTGACCGCGCCCCTTTTGGGTCCTCACTTATGCCATTTAAAACCTCGTTTGACTTTTTCAATGACGTGCATATTTTACCGTATATGCTTTGTAAATAGATTACAATATTATACTAGCCTTTTTAATATGATATATTTGTATAAATATATATTTTAGTCAGTCGTATGATGTATAATTGCACACATTATAATATGTTTTACATTAAAATTAAGCTGATTAAAAAAACCCATAATCAAGAGGCTCTCAATCTAAACAACTCATAAAAAATATAAATCACTTTTTTTTACTTCATTAGAACAAAAATAATTACACATTAATTTAAAAATAGCAGTTATGGGAGCATATATCATGCCGACATGAAACGATTACGTACCCAACCGTCAATCTATGGGTGAGTGCAATAGGAGACGGATCTTTTTTTAAAATCGATTAATTATTTCATTTTTTGTACATACTAATGGAATAAATTAGATCGCAATTATATTATCTTTATATTTACGGCCGGTTCCGAATTGAACTCGGGTCGGTCGGGTCGGTCGGTCCGAACCGGTTAGGGGGAGAGGGTTGCGCTGGTTTGCTTGTTGGTGGACTCTGGTCTCCTTGGCGGCTACCTCCGACAAGTGCTCTCTCTCAGGCGGAGGGCAGAGGGAAGCCGTTCCGTTCGTTGCTGCTCTGGATCTCCTGGTTTCCTAATTTCTCGTTTCCGACGGAGATCGCGCGGTCGGAGGGTGCAAATGAGAGACTTCAGGCGCCGAATTTATGCCTCGCCGGCGACTGGTCGTCTCTTCGGACCCCCTTCCCACGGGATGTCTACCGTGCCCTAGCTCTGGTCCTCCTGCTGCCGGAGAAAGCGGAGGTGAGTTGTCTTCCCCCCTCCGCTCGTTCCCCTAGCTTAGTCGTCTCCCCCAGTCCGCGCGACTTCCGCGGCCGCTGTAACGGTAGGGGCAAGGGAGTAAGGGAGAAAAGAAAGGGGTTGGGGGCGATGGAGGCAGTGGCTGAGGGGCTATGGGGCTTAGCAGACATGCACGAGAGTCGCGGAGAGGTGGGGAAGGCGGTAAAATGCCTCGAAGCCATATGCCAGAGTCAAGTATCTTTTCTCCCCATGGTGGAGGTCAAGACCCGTCTCCGAGTCGCGCAGATCCTCCTCGATCATACCCACAACCTCAACCACGCTAAGGCCCACCTTGAGCGCGCTCATCTACTGCTCAAATCCATTCCCTCATGCTTCGAGCTCAAGTGCCGGGCTCACAGTCTCCTGAGTCATTGTTACCACCTCATCGGGGCCCTTCCCCATCAGAGGCACATTCTCCACCGAGCCCTCGACCTGGTTCGCTCCGTCGGTGATGGCGACTGGGAAGCCAAGCTGTGGTTATGTAACTTCAATTCTCAGCTTGCCAATGCCCTGGCCATTGAGGGGGACTACCATGCATCTCTCTCAGTGCTTGAGGATGGCTTCGCAACCGCGACAAAGATTTGCTATCCCGAACTTCAGGTCTGTTCCGTCTGAGCGTGGTGGGATCGAAGTATACTAGTCTTCATATCATTATTCTTTTTTTCTATACTGTTGAACCTGGATACTGTTTTCAAACAGATGTTTTTTGCAACTTCGATGTTACACGTGCATCTGTTTCAATGGCAAGACACGAGTCTGGTCCACGGTGCAGTCCTGAGGTGTAGCGAGGTCTGGGAGTCCATTCGAGCTGATCAAGTATGTTTCTCCCTCTGTGTGTGTGTGCAATTTTCCAGAAAATTTGAATTCTGAAGCCAGCTTGAATCATATGATCGACGTTTTCAACTTCGAGTGTGTCTACAAGATAAAATCTTTTGATTCACACGCCAAGCTCAAAATTCTAATGAATTCAAAAGCACCTCATAGGAAGTACGTCTAAGAGCTGGCTGCATAACAAAACTCTGCCTAAATGTGCCATCTCCGAGAATTTGTCTTGTTCTTCGAGATGCTGCCTGGTTAGCCGTATTGTTGCTAAATCAAGCCTCCGACTGCTCTTATTTTACTTTTTGGATTAAATCAGGCCTCCGACTGCTCCAAGAATTATAATGCTTCATTTGGCATAGATTTGCGTTCCTTTTTCAGAAACGGCAAAACACAGACTTGGGCTGTGATCTTCCATCACTGGTTCTAGAGATTGATATTTCTGAAGGAAGATAATACTAATGCCTTCTAAAATAAGTAAGATTTACAAAAGGATTTATAATCGTCGCTGGAAATCCTAGGTTTTCACTATACCCACATAATTTCCAAAATTGTGTTTTACCCTCGCATTATGTAATTTTTATTGTTTTAAAGTTAAACAGAAAATTGAGGGGGGGGTTCTGTCATGAAAAATGCATCGAATACCCATAGATGAGAATAAACGAAGATTGGGAGCCAGATGAATTCAAAGGTTCTTTTTTGGTTTGAGAAGATTTTAAATTGAGAAATTAATGCAAAAAATGCTTTGAGTAATGACTCATTATATAATTGAAAACTGACGATCCTGAGTTATACTTGAAATTCTGGCGAATTATGTCAAGGTTTTGATCATCTCCAGAACGCCTGGTCTTACTTAAATTGGTATTGGAAGGAAATGAATATTGAGTGAATCGGTTCTCATAGATAGAATGACAAAAGTATAAGTCAATAATTATCAAATGTGACCCACTGAGCTTCTTCCTTTCTTTTCGTTTTTTCTTGTTTTCTTTCGGCTTTCTTCTTCTTACTCTGTTGTTAATCCATTACATTCTTCATTTCTTCTCTTCTGTTTCTCTTTTCTCCGTTTCGTTGTTACTCCCTTTTTTCGGCATTTTCTATTACAAATGATCTGAATTTTTTTTCCTATTCTCTTCTGGTTTGGTTCTGGCTATTTGCATATGATCACAGTTTATAGCTTTGATACTTTGAAGGCTGATCTTACAAGGAACTGGTTTTATTCATCACAGTTGCTTTAGCATTGGTTTTATATTAATCTCTATCTTTCTTGCACAACATATTGTCTGCAGTATTTGGATATCGATTTTCTATGTAATCTTTTCCTTTATGTTCTTTCGTCTGCATAGCATGAAGCTCTATTTGAATATTATGCAGCCGTTTAACACTGCTATTTGTGTCTTTTGTTTATATCAACTGAAATTAGAGACAACAATGCGTTGGCCTGTTCTTCTACAATGAGCTGCTCCACACGTTTTATCTACTTAGAGTATGCGACTATAAAAGTGCATCTCAACACGTTGAGAGGTTGGATGCAGCAATGAAGGGTGAGCTGCAACAAAGTGAACGCATTAAGGAGCTTAATGTCGAGCTCAATGCCGTGAACCAGAGTCTCTTGAGATATGATCTTCAATACAAGGAAAGGTCCGCACTATCCCAGAAAAAGATTCAACTAAATGAGCAACTAAAGGCTATTTCGAATTTAAATTCCACAAGTGTGAATTCTTTTGGAGGATCACATACTGAGAATACAAGCTGGAAACTGGAAGATAAACTTCAGCTTGCTCCTCCACCAATAAATGGGGGTTGGCTTCCGAGAAATGCTGTTTTTGCATTGATTGATCTCATGGTAGCCATGCTAGGACGCCCAAAAGGGGTTTTCAAGGAGTGTGGTAGAAGGATTCAATCAGGCTTAAGTTTAATCCAAGGTATGATTTCAATTTTTTATCGTGAAAATGTGTTTATCTGCATCTTGCCTTTTTCCTACCATGTTTTACTGTGCTGTTATTAATGAATTCATCTCAATGAGCTCAGTTCAACTTAGTCACACACGTGTTTTTTTAGTCATGGAAACACACATCTGCTATACATGCTTAGATAAACAATTCTAGATTCTTGCGGGCTCCAATCGCTAGTTGTTGAGATTCTGAATGCTATAAAATAGATCGGCTGATCCCTAATGGGATGGAAACAATCGTATGGATGTCTATTTCGCTATTAACTGATCGTGCTAATGGATGGGACAGTATTTTCCCATCCTTCAGATTGATCGCTGAATTTGACATTTTATGGATAGAACTCTATATTTAGAATTTATTTAATCATTTCAGCCTTTTGTCTTGTTGATGATTTGAAGGATCATTAGTCTTTATTGAAATGCCGGTTCTAATCAGAAAAGAATTTTAACTCTCTTCTACCTTCAACTTTTGAAAATTGTGCAGGGGAACTGGGTAAGCTTGGTATTGATGACGAGATGATAGGTGAGCTTCAACGACTTTACTAATGATTGCTCGTATAACTTTCCTCTTTTGGACATCAGCACAATAATTGCATGATTCTTACATGCTTTGTTGTGTGAGTTTTTCTTTTTTTCTTATTTCTATCTACGAGTTATGGATTTTCCTTTTTGCATAATGAATGTCATGATCTCAATGTTATGATCCGAAGTAGTTGGAAATGGATATTTTCTGGGCTAGTGGGCTTCCAATGATCTAATTTGTGCCTGAACCCAATGGTCTAGGCAAATAAAAATGGGCTTCCAATGATCTAATTTGTGCCTGAACCCAATGGTCTAGGCAAATGAAAATGGGCTTCCAATGATCTACTTTGTGCCTGAACCTAATGGTCTAGACAAATGAAAATGGGCTTCCAATGATCTAACATAGTCATGTGTTCTACTTTATCCCAAAGCAAACAGGATCATCTATGACTCAATGTGGGCAAGAGCCTATTTGTCTAGCCCAACGCTAATAAGCATCCTATGAGCTACTATAGGCGAGAGGTCAACAGTTTAAGGTAATGCAGACATGTCCAAGACGACTTTAATGTGCCTTATCCCAAAGACTGATTAAATGGCTGTCAAAAACTTGTCAAAAGAGTCTTATCTCATAAATGGGTTAGACGTGTCACATCCCACTCTCGTATCTAAACGGGATTTGTTCCATGAACTTGTCAAGGATCTTCAACCTGCATCCAAACTTGTACATGAATTTTTACTGAATATAATTTTTATTTATGCCATCATTTTGTGTCAGTTAATCACACGTGTTCTTTTGTCCAAAAGTTTCAATTTAACAGGCTTTGGTCAGTATAGAGGGTGCAAACTTAAACCAACCTCGAAACCCAAATCCATAAGTGGACCCAAGAATTAACAGAGTATCCTAAGCATATCAAATTGACTAAAGACAACAAGTTTTCTATTAAAATTAAAACCTGCAAAGATCTCGTGACAACAAATGTGTTAGTGCCGATTCTACTTGCCACAGCAGTCCACTAAGATCCATTCCCAACCCAGAAATTAGAGATGTGGAAATTTGAGATCTTAGTCATTTGAGTCCTTGGGTCTTGAGTTATGTTATTTCTTATTCAAGTATTTTCTTACATTTTAGCTTTGTAATATATCTTTCTTATTTTATCTTCTTCTAGATCAACGTTTATAGAAAAGTTATGATGGTAATGGATGACGGCAAAGTTTTCTGTTGGTTCGCCATTTTCCTCCAAGACCTGAAAATCCAGGGCTTGACTTTTATGCTCATGTAACTTGGTCTGATTCCAACGTCTCTCCCTGCTTAACTATATTTTATAGATGCTTGTGTCAATCACTATTTGCATAAAGGTTGCAATAGCAAAAGTTTAAGCTTTTTTGTTGTTAAGTTTTCTGCTGATTTTTTTTTTACCCCAAGACATGTAAATCCTGGGCATGACCTAATTTGGTCTGATTCAACAGTCTCTCCTTGCTCAGCCATATTCCTGTGTCCTCTTGTATGAAGTTTCTTGTATTTCCCTCCCAATATCCGTAGAGTGCTCTGCTATATACCTTTGCGACATTCTAGCATCTACATTGAAAAAATCTGATGGAAATGTAAGAACTCCCAGAAACATCTTTGATGTTATTTGGCCGATGATTGAGAAACGAGCTCAATACAAAGAATTGAAGCAAGGGTTATTGTTCTGCTGGCCTTATCCTGGTTGGCTGTGTTTTCAAGCAGTGGCCTACCTCCTATTAATGTTGAATGTTGATCATGTTCCCGTGCTAAAATCTCTGATATGTATATGTATATACACACGTTTATTCCAGTGGTTAAAAGTTGTCTTATTGTACTATCTGGTTTTATAAATTAACTATGTCATTAGCTGACAGTAATGACTTGTAAGCCGGCCTGTGGATTTCCGTCTTCTGGTTATCATTTTCACTTTCTGTTTATAGGTTTTCAGAATAATTAACATGAGAATTGGTCCTATGCAGAGGTGGATTTGCAACATTCAGCTATCTGGATGGCAGGCCTTTATTTGATGCTTCTAATGCATTTCCTTGAGAACAAAGTTTCTGTTGAACTAACACGGTCGGAATTTGTTGAAGCACGAGAGGTAATTTGCGCATTGAAATTTCACTGCATTCACCTAGTTTAAAAAGTTTTGAGTGAAATGTTTAAGTTGTACGGTTAGTTGAACTCTAGCAATCTACTTACAGCCTTGCTGGATGTCTAAGTTGCTAAATCGTTGTATATGGTTATCAAGATGCAAATGGATGATTATCTTTATCATATAACTTACCTCGAGATTCTTCACCTTATGCAGGCCTTGTTGCAGATGAAAATGTGGTTTGTCCGTTTTCCGACGATTCTGCAAGGGTGTGAAAGCATTATAGAAATGCTTAGAGGACAATATGCCCATTCTGTGGGCTGTTTTAATGAAGCAATATTCCATTTTATAGAAGCTGCAAAGGTCTGCTATTGATTCTGGTACATATGTGAGGAATACTTATCACATCTAGGTAATTTAAATGGCTTACCACAAGTACATAACTGTATTCTTTGTATTTTCTCAGCTAACTGAGAGTAAATCAATGCGATCAATGTGCCAAGTGTATGCAGCTGTATCTTACATCTGTATTGGTGATCCAGAGTCCTCTTCACAGGTGAAGTTCTCTGTAGTACTGAGATCGCCAATTATTAGGCGTATTAAAGTTGTGGTTTTTATAGAGCTTTTAATGTAAGGATGCTTTCTGTTTTTTGGCTTCCAACAGGCGCTAGATTTGATAGGACCTGTTTTTGGAATCATGGACTCTTTTGTAGGAGTGCGAGAGAAAACTTGTGTCATCTTTGTCTATGGTCTTCTGTTGACAAAGCAACATAATTTGCAAGAAGCAAGGTTGGCACTCGTCATTGAACTCAACCAGTGCAATTCAGTCACAATTTATCTGAATTCTTTTTCCATGTTCAAACTTTAGAGTATACGATTTTATTACCTCTGCAATATATTTGAATCAGGTCGACATTGATCCCACCAAATTTCTATATGACGGTCAATCTTTGTTCAGCAATATCTGGTTATATGATTAGAGACATGCTGTTGATTTTAGCAAAACCGTTAATTAGCTAATCTTGAAAACGCCTCTTGTCTCCTCATTTAAATGCATTGAGAACTACCTAAAAGCGTCCTTTGGCCATCATCACCACTTTTAGGTGGGAGTCCACAGCAGGATAAGCAATTATAAGCTTTTAAAAAATGATAAATATATCTTATGCAAATTTGATTTAATAAAATGCAAAATTTGGCTTCCACTCTTTTATAATAGTTGCTTTGGTAGTCTCACTCATGTCTATACACATGCCTTGGGGGAATTCGGACTTTCATGCATATGGATACCCTGGTTATATACGGTAATCATAAACTTTTGTATAACATCTTTGCTGGTTACACTTCTAGATTTCGCAATGTTATTAAGCGGGAAAGTGTGATTTTTCTGTTGACAAGGGCACAAGTGTTGCATTAGGTAGATTCTGATCTATTTAAAATAGCCTAATCATTGTGCTAAAGAATTTTATGCTTATAAATTACAATTTTGATGATTATTATGGTCAGCTTATGTCGATTTATTAGCTAAAAAATGTCTTAATTCACTTATCATTATTTTTCAATGTGAAAAATTATGGATGTTAATAATTTTGTAGTGAGCTTCTTTTTCTCGCTTCCCACCATTTTAATTTCTCACTTTTGTGTCGTGCATTGCTTCTTTTTGTTCTCTGAATTAGTATGTCCACCTTCCTAGCATTGGTCCATCACCTGGGGCATCCAACTACTAAAACAACTTTTAGCAAGTGTGGCATTCTATGTCGCATAAGTTTCTGCAAAAATGGACATCTTTTTTTAAACGAAGGAAATCGACAGTTTTTTGTGATTTTGTTTTACCCTTAAGTTATGCAATTAAATGCGTTTATTAACTCTAGTGCTCCACATTCATTACTGTGGTCTGTTTGCCATCTTTAAAATGGATGGATTTCACAAGGGTCAATGGACAAATGTTTCATTTCTGCTTCACATGTGAGATAATTTATTTCTGCTGCCAGACCTGAAACTTGATTGATGATTATTGTTTGAACTTGAACCTTGCCAGACTTTTTATGGTTATGGGGGAAACACTTCATTTTCTATATCTTCTTTTATTCCTTAAAGTTGTTTGCAGGATACGGCTTGCCAGTGGGTTGAAGATTGCACATCAACAGCTAGGAAATATCCAACTTGTCTCTCAGTTTTTGACAATCCTAGGCACATTGGCTCTTCAATTACATGACACCGGACAGGCCAGAGAAATTTTGAAGTCGTCTTTGACATTGGCAAAGACTCTTTACGATATTCCTACACAGATATGGGTTCTTTCCGTTTTAACAGGTCTGGGAATAGGTTAAAACTTTTGTTCGTTCTTGGATTCTGTGATTACTTCTACCTGATTGGTAACTCTGTTATATTTTGCCTGCCCTTAAAGATCCAAGCACAAGTTTCATTTGTGTGCCGCCTGTGGTAGTTGGAACATGAATTCTAACGAATGTTTTACGTTGAAGATTTGTATAAGGAATTGGGCGAGAGGGGAAATGAAATGGAGAACGCAGAATATGAAAGGAAGAAAGAAGATGACTTACAGAGGAGACTTTCAGAAACGCAGGCATCCATTCATCATTTTGAGCTGGTAAACTCAATTAAACTGTATGTTTATGTTTTTAATTCGTGTCATGGGATCAAATGGCTTCAAGAAAAAGTGATAGGTTACCGTTTTCTTTTTGGCTTTCTAGTTCGTCATTTATCCTTCTGGGTTAACGGCTATTTGAATTTTGTGAAGAATAAACAAAATGAAGAACAATCGTGGGAAAGAATAACAATCGAGAAATTCTTAACCTCTTCTTGGTGTTTATGGAAGAATGTTTACATTGACCGGTACCAATGACCCCCCAACTTTACAGCTGAAAGTTTTTTTAGAAAAAAACATAGAGCTATTGGGAACTTTCAAGACAGAAAATGTATCTCATAAAGACTTTTAATGGGCTACTTCTGTTAAATGGTATCAACAACAAACACATCTACCAACCGGAGCTCATGACTTAAGAAGACAATCCTGTAGTTTTTGTTCCGTTTTTTGACAAGAAAATGATAGATGAAGCCCAAGTGAACAGACATGACAAAATGTTTTGGACTCTTGAATGGTATCTGGGGCACAACCCTTTGGCAGGTTCGCTCTTCAATATTTCACCTATCAACGTCAACATCCTTTCCTGGATATTGCCAGAGAAGAATGGCAAGTTGAAGCAGCTTACCGGTGCCTTTACTCCTACCCACATCTGAAGCCATCTAGTACCTCGTCCAGAAGACTGCAGAAATCTTGTATTCATATCTGAGGATGCGGTGTTTATCCCAAACTTTAGAATCTTTGGGCAAACTTTGTTGATCTTCCTGACTTGACAGAGATTTCCGCATTTCTCAGGGAAAAAGTTATGATAGGACTTCCACCAACTGTCCTCTTGCCATAAAAACTCCCTTTCTTTGTTGGTGGTCTCATTTACCAGTGCTAACCTCAGAATTAATTTTTGACTTAAATATCCTTCAAATCTTACACCCTTTTAGGCGTTTGTATTGAGAATTGTGTTTTCCTAAGGATACAAACAGGGTGGCCCATTGTCCGCTCTTCCAGTGCATGGAAGGATAACTTCTGCACAATTAGAACAGTGTCCTGGATAGGTTGCCACTATTAGTTGATAAGGCTGGAATGAAGCTGATATATTATACGGCAATATTTGTTTCTAAGATGGTTCTTCCCCTGTTAATGTGTTTTGTTCAAGGAAAAGAGACCTTTGTTCTACCAAAGTTTCTCATTCTCTGATGTCTCTGACTGCAGATCGAGAAGGCCCGGTTCAAGGTTCAGCAGCCTCATGGGCTCGACATGAGACGGCCGACGGGCGGATCAGCCACAAGAGGAGACCTGGACATCCCAGAATCCGTGGGTCTGCAGGCTCCCCCTCCAATGTCAAGACTGCGTGATGCTGACTCCGTGAAATGGGGGAAGAGGAAAGTATAATTTATCACTGACGCTAGTTTCATCCGGTCACTAGATGACGATCTTCAGCAGTAGCTTTCTTCTATAGTAATTTCTTGGGGATTTCTTTGTATATAAATACGGTTCTGCATGCTTCTGAAAGGGGCCCAGTTGATAGCAGATGTGCAGACTACGATGGGATCCTTGCTTCCATTATCGTTTGCTGACGTGCCTGTAAAGATCTCTTCAAGGGTTACGATCACTTGCAAGGCCCATGCAATCGCTCTCAAGTTTTTTTTTTTTTTTTTTTTTTTTTTTGAATCTTGTATAAATTTCCTATTTATGGGTTTTCCACAGGAAGCTAGGGAACATAGGCTTAGAGTTCATCAGTCAGAAAGTGACCTAGGCATAGCTACTTTCAAGTTGACAATTGGAGGTCAGCGCTTAAAAGGACAGAAAAAGAAGGGTAATAGCCGACTTTTTATAATGTAAGTGCTGACAATTGGGAGTAATGGCATTGTGCTCCGGAAGAACAGGTTGGGGGAAAGTTGGTATCTTTGTACCGGGTTTGTTCTCTCCCTAGCCCTAGAACTGTGCTAATAATTTCTTTCTATTTCTGTCAAAGTCTTGACACCTGTTGATTCATCTGGGGTGTCAGCAGTAGTGCGTTTATATGTTACTATTTCCACAGGGGCTATTGACAATGGGCCCCAAGTGTGAACATGTAAGTTCTGATGCTCTGTAGAGTATGTTTACAAAGCGTTGATGGGCGTTTGGCGGTGTAAATGGTTTCTTTTTATTTTCTGTCCAAAATATGTAGACACATGCAATGTTTCAATGCAGGCAAAGAAATAATGGAAAAAGTCGGTCGATTTTTGAGCACTTGTAGAAGGATTTCCAAAAGATAGCTCCCTTTGTGAGTAGCACACGGTCTCACTAATCCGTCATTCACAATGATTCAGCAAATCGAAAGTCTTCAAGAGCAAATATGCTAATAAAAGCCAACGCTTGAAGTACTACGTTCTTTTAAGGTCAATTTCTCACTGACTGTAATTCTTTTCTCAAGCCTTTTTAGGTATTTGAGATAATTTCTTGTTGAGTCATCACTTGATATGAGCCTCTCTTAATCCTTGGGTGAGCCCCCACTTTCTCTCTCTCTCTCTCTCTCTCAATAAAGGTCATGCTTTTTGGAAGATATGACGGCAGGGTCAATAACCTTAGACATGTCTTGTTGTTATGTCTAGTCAAAGATGAACAACCTAAAGCCTTGATTTGTTACTAATAGTAAATATCTAGAAAAGTTATACACAGGTTATTTGATAAAACTTAATTGACTATTATCTTTTATGATGATAATTTGACTACATTAGACTTATTGGAAAACCATGTCATGATAGTATATCATCATTTTAATTACTTTATGATAATAATGAAATTCAACATAAAGACATTAACTTATATTCAATTCAAAAGAATATTGGGACTGAATTTCTAAAATTTCATATGATTATTTATGGCTTAAACTTTGTAAAGAGAAAATGGGCTTAAGGGCATCTTTTTAAATAGTAGTGTTATGTGTACTTAAACCTAAAGGGGTTACTATCATAAAATGAGTTTTCATTTTTTCCCTCTCTCAGCTTGTAGTATTAGAGCCTTAATCGTCCAAATCTGGTGAGATCTTACATTGGTGATGAGGTCTCATGCCCATCTCTACACTAGTATTACCATCTTATATTGTCTCTATCCCACATTGTCACTGTCCTACTTTGGTTCCGCATGGTCATTGTTATGCTTTTTGAGAATTGTTGTTGTCATATGGTGGACATTGTCACCGGCATTATTCACCTAGGACTCGACATTTATTTGTCTAACATCTCGTTCAATTATCTCAATATTTATATTCCTCTTAATCACAAGTCATGACCTAAGATCACAATCAAGATTTAGGGAGGTGTTGTTTCAGCCTTTGATCCATTATGCAGTCCATTGCAATAGTCCAACTTTATGTTCACTCTAATCTAATAACTTTTTGGTTCACCTGAAGTAAAATTAGTCTTCAACTAATGGGGGGTGAATTCAAGCTCACTTTAGTCTTCTCTCTTATAATTACTATGTAAAATAATATCATCACAAATCTAAGATCAACAGAGAAGAATTACAATCAGTATAATAGATGGTCAAGATTTATTTTAAGTTCAAGGAAAGATCAAACGTCTTATGGAAGGTATGCCAGTTTATCTCACCAATCTAACACAATGAAAACAACATGTTACAAATCTCCTTAATATGTTATGAAATGTGATGGAAGTTAATATTTTTGACTTAGTGACTCATCTCAATGCATATAATGTAGTTTTGAATCATCTAGCCTTGATGTATTCTACCAATGTCTCAAATATATATTATATGACCATAGAATATTATATACAAAAACAAGTTGATAAGAGTTTAAGTTAATATTTTGAGTAGACAAGTTGAATTAATTAAGATCTACATTCTTTACTTTCTATCTCTAATAGCATTAAAGTGATATAAAAGTGACATGATTCGATGATAGTTCTAAAATTTATTGATGGTCTTCATATTGAATATGATGTAATTCGTAGTTAGATTATATCTATAGTTGAGTTGTCATCACTCATTGAAATATATCAATGTGTTTCGTGTACTTCTTTGGGTTTGAAAACTTGAAGAGTATTTATACATCAGTGGAGAACATGACTTTGGTTTTTGCTCAACACTATTCTCATGAGTGTAATTGTGGTGGTCACTCAAAGAGAGGGGGAGGTGGAGATAGGACCTTTGGAATTCACCATTGACCTAAATGCATTGTTTGTGGTAGAAATGAACATATTAAGGACACATGTTATGACCTTGATGTGAATTTAATTATCCTATCAAAACTAAAAAATTTAGAGAAGAGGGAGATAATTTAACTATTCACCATATGGCTTTATCAAATGAAAAGTATGTTTAGATTCTTCAATTTTGTACAACCTAATAAGCATCATTATTATTTACAACTATGGGGGAACTTAGAAAATCTGCTAAATCTATTTTCCACATATCTCTAATTTTATCAAGTCAATTGTCTCGTTGGGTTCTTGACTCAAGTGCCACTAATTAAATAATAGATATATTTGGTAAATTCACATCCTATTTATGTTGTCTTAGCCTCTCTAGTGTCACTTATAGTAAATATTTTTATTGCACCAATTTTCGGCATAAAATTAGTCTCTATCTCTTGAGATCTCTCTGAAGTTAGTCTTTAATATTCTTAAATTATTATTTTTAATAACAAACTCAATTAGGCTCTTCACTCTGCCATAACCTTCTTTCTTATTTCAAGGTTCGTATAAGACTTGAAGATGTAAAAAGAGATTGATGAAATAAATGAGAATGGAGGATTGTATTATATGGGGAAAGCTTCTCTTGTTGTATATGTCATATTTCACATCTATAAGTTTACAATTGATTTAGATCATGTGTATCTTATCAAGCTCAAGTAATTGTTTCTCAAACTAAGTAGGTAATAAATATAAGATTGGGTCATGTTAATCAAGCAATACCATTGTCTTAATCTTAGGTAAAAAAACTCTTCCATAAATATTTCATTTGAACACATGAGGCCCTAGTTGTCTCAATTCTTAAATTTATTTTAAATATTTTACAAATTTTATGATGATTATTCTGATCTATCCATCATAACATTGATTGTCTTTTACTCATGTTTTAATGAAATTAAAAACTAATTTGACAAAAACATTGAAGTACTATATTGAAATATTGTAAAATAATATTATAGTTTTTATTTCACTCTATGCTTGGTTCACTATGACCTTATCCACTAGTCATCTTGTTCTCATACCTTTGGTAAAACATACTAGTATAAAGAAAAAAACATCAAATTGTTGAAATAGTTTGTGTACTTCTTTTACTACACATGCTTATAAAATTTTAGAGTGATATTTTTCATAAAGCCAATTAACGACATGCCCTCCTCTTTTTTAAATAATATTTTTTTTTACTTTTTATTTTATCTAAAAAAAATATTATATAACATGTCACCTAAGATTTTTGAATGTACTAACTTTGTGCTCAACCTAAGTGCTGGTCAAGATTAATTTGGCTCCAAATATGAGTATGTGTTACTATCCATCTCTTCATTGACATTTCATCTTGTTGATATTAAATCTCAACTTATTGACTTTCTAGAGGAATCCTTACCTTTACTAGTTATTTTTCAATGTCTCTATAATTGGTCCTCCTACAATTGAATTGAATTAATTATTAAATTAGTTGACAATTAAACATCTATTACGTAGATGTAAATTGATATGACCTCGATACTTATGTATTTTTGGAAGAGGAAATTGACCCAATTGAACAGTCCATAACCTAAATGAGTCAACTAGGGCTAACCTAAGGCTCAACTTGTCACATGAGAAGGAATTGACAACTAAAGATTTTATTAGCCTAAGTAGGAAGCAAAGAGAATAAGAAGCCTTTTGTAGAACTTGTGGAGAGATAAAGCTTCTTGAAATCCCTTCAAACTATTTTAAGATTTATATGTATTTCTTTTTTCAATTTCTCTCCATTATTTTTATTATTATGTTGAACTCTATCCTTTTTCTTCTAGTCCTAATTACAAGAGAAGTTTGAGGTCATATCATGTGTTAGATCATGACTTGTATGCTATGGCGTCTAGATGTAAAGAAACTTGCTTAGATTATTAGGACTTAGAGATGAAGAAGTTGAAGAATGACCTTGTCAATATGTTAGACAAGATCTTTCAACACCTTAACATGATGGAGGACCATCAAACAATTATCAAATAAAGGGTTTCTACCCAATGACAATTAGAAAATGAGAGACTTGTCTTAACTAATACCTCTTGTACCCTAAGCCTCAAGAATATGAGACTAAAGAGTCATTAGTTAAGGACTACATGAGCCAACAAAGGACAACTATCACTTGCTTTAATAGAGACAATGCAGATACCTTGATTTTTTGTGTGGAGCTTTACTTAAAAAGTAAATAGA